TGAGCTCCAGCTCAGTGTTTGCCTTCTCCAGGGTGCGCACCTTCTCCAGGTAGGAGGCCAGACGGTCGTTCAGGTTCTGCATGGTGGCCTTCTCATTGGCCCCAACATCAGCACCACCATCTCCAACGTAGCCTCCACCACCTCCCATGCTGAAACCACCTCCACCACCTCCACCGCTGTAGCCGCCATAGCCACCTCCACTGCCATAGCCGCCTCCACCGCCGGAGGATATGGAGATTCTTGCTCCTTGGCCACCTGCGCCACCATGCACACTTGAAGCATATGACCTCCTCACCATGCCTCCACCAAAGCCTCCACTTGTGCTTCCACCAAAGCCTCCACTTGTGCCTCCACCAAAGCCTCCACCTCCGCTACTTTTATAAGAATATGCACTGCTTGATCTCAGAGACATTGCGAAAACTGCTCAGGAGGTCTGCCTGTCTTGAAGAGAATGAGATGGACAGATGCAGAGCTTTGCCTCCGTTTCCTTTTTATCCTGCACAAGGCTGCCTCTGGTGTGGGTGTGGGCATGCAGGACTGAAGGGAGGAGCATTACTTAAAATGGTTTCTCTGCCCCACCCATCACACATACTCTTCAAGTTCATTTTGTGTAACGATCAGAAAAAGAAAGTAGGATTAAACTTAATCCTCTTATGTTTGCAAAAGGAAACCTCACATTTACCTGCAAACCTCATACAAAACATTATGGTTTCATTATTCATCCTTTCAACCCATGCTCCATGTTAATGTGCATGAAGACAGGGCGTCCATCTTTTGTTTCTACCAAGTATGCTGTGAATTGTCAGCAGCCACCCCCCCTTCAGGTTAGTTACCCAGTCTAATCTATGATGTGTCTTTATTGAATTTGTGCCATAATTCTTGAGCAAGACTGCAATACTGTGCTTGCCAAACCTGTTAGGTTGCCAAGTTAACAAGAACTGTAAATACTGAAAAAATGGATCAGTATGGTTTTTTTTACTTGACTTTCAGCCAGCACACACCTCATGTTATCTTGCATGAAAATTATCTTTTAAGTATCAGCTCTTTTCTTTTCCATAGTTTCACATCATAAACTTTAGAGTTTAATATTCTCTTTTGATTTGCTTATTAACAGCCTGCAGGGTCGCCAGTCAGAAGCGATTTTTATAGACGCTCGTGATGTCAGTAGATACCCGATCTTATTCAAGACTGGGCTCAGCACTGCAGGAAAGCTCACCACAAATGTGTCTGCATGTTATTTATTTATCTTGGCATTGCATGTTGGCATGGGCATCATGCCCAAACAGGAACAAGCTCTTGCTTGTTTGTTCCATTTCTCCACAATTTTTTTTACAGTACTCCAGAGGATTCTGCTCACATCAAGCATGTGGAAAGGTTGATTTAATGAAGGAAACTCAGGCTTTTAAACTTTTACAGTTTTGGATTCATATTGTAAGAATAATGCTTGTGGTTAAATCTAACAAAGAGTTGTTTTACCTCGAACTAAAAAAGACCATTTCAGACTGCATACACAGAGCTTAGATTAATACAACCCAGATGTTTCTCTTCACTGCTGCTTTTTATTTTGAGGTTGCAAACTCATCTCATGCATGTGCTAAAAGGGCTATAAATAATGTCCCAGATACTGATTAGTTTGAAACCCCTGTAATATACAAAGTGAAGATAGTTTTGTCGCTCTGGGGATAGCATTTTCACACCGACACACCAACTTCTTGTGTGGACACACTGTAACGTATAGCTCTGTACAGCTTAGTCGCACTTTAAGGGTTTCACTGCTCCATTGTGAGATGCCCGAAGTCTTTCTTTTAAGAGTGATTCCCAATTTTACCTGCTGGTGTAGAAAGCTTCTGGTTGATCTTCACTTTGATGAATGAAAGAATAAACTCATTGTGCCTCAGTTGTTCTTACTTACAAATATATAAGTTTTTTCATTACAACACAAATCGTTGTTGACATAGAAGATCTTGGTGCAGCATGAACGCGTGGGCACAAACATATAAAAAATGTAAAGTCACAAACGATAACACCTGGTCTTATACTATCTTGGAGGGAGAAAGGAAAACAATTATGGGTAACTGTAAGTCAGTGTCAAAGTGTGTCTCAGTTCAGTATTGTCTGAGCCTGGAAATTTTCCAAGGTCTATCATATCTCTAGCTCCAGTTCTGTTCCTCCTAACATAAAAAATAACTAATCTGAAGACCAACAAAACGTCAAGTGCAACATTAGAAATTCTTCTTACCCATACAGTTCTTACACACCTGCAAGTATTCTGTAGCAACAAAACATTTGCTGAAATTTACAGCTAAGCAAATGTACATTTGTAACCTTTCAAACATTAAGCTTCCAATCTCACATCCTAACTATATGTCCTTTGCACTACCAGCAGAACCAAGTGTTGGTGTAAATGTGCGTTCACATACTACAGCTGAACACAAGAGAGTCTATGCACTGTGTTGTATTTGTGCAATCAGACATCCTTGTGATAGAATAACATGAGGGTGTGGCACAGGTGGGGCAGTTTAAAAACACAATATGTTGTGGAGAGTTTACTGTATGTTAGTGTCAGAGTTAGAACAACAATAATCAATGACCTGTTAATGTTTGAGAGATTTAAGGCACTGAAAAACATGTTTCACTGTGAACAGTGAGTCCCATAAGACTCAATAAAACTCATGTTTTCTCTATAATAGTTGTAAGAATAGCTCACCTTTTATGGAATATAATACAGAACTCATGTTGACACATCACAAAACTTGCAGCTAATGTTTATTTAAAAAATACATTTGAATAGCAATCAGTGTAATAGAAATGATGTAAAGCTCGAATGAGTCATTTTTCGGTAGGCAACAATAGCACCAGCCCTCATGCTGCTCTGCACATTAAAGAAGGTAAAGTTACCTTCTGGGAAGATAAGGTTGAGTTGCAAAATTTGAATTTTTCCAAATTTTCAAAAGCTTTCCTTTTCTGAAATTAGGAAAAACAGTTATTAAAAATTCACCTTAACCAATTTTCACTGACCTAAGTCTGGTCATTCAACGCATTCTCATCTCAATGTATCATAACTGACGCTTTCAGACATCGTGACAAAGCGTAAGGATTTTACGCTAAAGGTAGCCTTCAGCGTCTTTGCTACGTTGCCACAAGGGAGGCTAACCCTACCTGTTAGCAGCTGTTGGGTTAGCCCGTCGACATGTATAAAGTCAGTGACTTCGATTTAGGTACTAACATTTCTGATGGTTATGGTAGGTAAGGGTAGGGGCTTCGGGGGGCTGTCAACACCTTTATCTACACCTAGCTACCCCTAGCTAACTAGCACTTCCGCTCTGTACAGGACGCCCCAGAGCGTCTCACACAGACGCTGAAAGGTACCTTTAGCGTCAAATAACTGCGTTTTGTCACTTTTTCTGAGAGCGTTGGCATTACAGGTCCTGAAATACACCAGTCTTTTTTGTCAATCTGTCTGTCCAGACTGAAATACCTCAACAACTAACAGATGGATTGCCATGCCATTTTTAAAGACATTCATGGTCCCAGGAGGATGATAATGACTTGGATACCTGATTTTTCCCTCCATTGTCACCCTGATGTTGATATTTGTGGTTCAGAGTGAAATATCTTGACAAATATAGGAAAGATTGCTGTGGAATTTGCTACAAACATTCAAGGACTTTTGGTGATCATATGACTTTCCCTGTTCTAATTTACTTAATGTAATAATATATAATATAATATATGTATAATTATTATGGCTCTTACTCACTTGTGAAACACAAAACTGTCAAGTGTGTCCACTTTTAACTGTGTCACATTGTTCTGTTACAGGTCACATCTCTTTGTCAATATGCTTCCTTAGTGTTATCAACCTAAACTTCATAGATGGATTTAAATCATTTGAAAACAGAATGAATTGTATGAAATGTATTTAGTTTTCATGCAATGATCTGCATCAAACACTGCACACTCTTCTGCTCACATAAAAAACTTGTGGTTTAGATGAGATGTGATTAATGGTGATGGTATGTGGTAGGCCAAGGTGTGACTGTGGTTCTCATTGTGGAGTATGAAAGAAGCATGCATTTAATTAAGATACTCCTCGAATCTGGTGTTTGCTTGATTCACTAAAAGAAATTTTCAGATTTTCAGATGATATGATTAAAATATATTCAAAGCTCACTAAAGACTTACGTCCTGCATTTAGTGGACGACAATCTGCTATGCACATGGCATGTGTGGGGGTTATACTCACAGTTCAGCTTGCAGAGCTTTTGCCAAAAATCATAAATAAGTCTTTTTGACACATTTACTGCGTCACACACCCCATCCACTTTTCATGTAAATGGGAATTACTTCTCAGAATGCAAAAAGCTCATTCAAGTCTGAGTACGAAGTGCATCCCTGACACAAATAACCGCAGCTTGTGCTAAAATCAGGAACAGTATGTATGAAATGCGCTGCAGCCTAAGGGCTTTTACCTGGGTGTGTAACTCTCATGTATAAGCCTACATGAAACAATATGTCACTTTCTGCCTCATGTAGTAGGGGAAATGAGGGCAGCATCAGGTGTTTTTTGACAAGACTCATCATCCTATTTCAGGCCCAGACTGGTTTCAGCTGAATCTTGGTATGCCTTGCAGGTAGTGGCCGCACCCTTTTCAGGAATGATTAATGCAACACCTCGGATGTTCAGATACGGTGAGAGGTCTGGAAATTTACAAAAGAGAACTTTGGACTCAAGATTCACGGCCATTAGCAAGATATAAAAGTAACTGATATATTAAATCAACAGCTTTATTGTCTTCTAGATAGTGGGAGTTAACTGAACTGAACTGAATGAAGCACACAATTAAGCACTTAATTGTTTAGGTTTTGGTACTAATAGAGATTATTGTAGTCACCTGATAGGGAAACCTACATTTCCTCATGTGATGTACACAGCCATTAACTAACACGACCTTTTGTGTTGTAATGAAAAAACTTATATATTTGTAAGTAAGAACAACTGAGGCACAATGAGTTTATTCTTTCATTCATCAAAGTGAAGATCAACCAGAAGCTTTCTACACCAGCAGGTAAAATTGGGAATCACTCTTAAAAGAAGTGCAAAAGCAAAAAAAGCACATTCGCAGGGAATTTGACCACCAGTTTTAAATGGGACTTTCTGTATGTATGTGTTAGGGGTCAGGTTCCAACAGCGGTGCACCATGTGTTTTTTGTAAGTGATTTTGTCCTGTCTAGCTGCTGAAACACTGATGATAAATAGCAACAATGTGTTAATAGAGTATAGCACAAAAGCACTGAAAGAAAGGGAGTCTTCTTGACTCATTTTGACTGACAGATTAAGCCGTAAAGTCAATGAATCACTAATGTTTGGATGAATGGACATCTCAAGTCTCCACTTGATTCAGCTCCACCCAAATGAAGAAGGCTTTGATGACTCAAGGGAGACCAAAAACCTCACTCAAATAAATCTATACTTGAGACATATGACACACTATACATAGTTCTACAGTGTACAACATGGCATAAACATTTTGCCTTGATTTTGTGCTTTTTGCTGACCATTGTTTATTATCCAGTTAAAATAACTATAACTTCTAAACATATCTTGTGCAGCAACAATCTGTTTTCAATTAAGCAAAATAAGGTTATGCAATCCAGTAAAGTTGTGCCAGGACTTCACTTTTAAAGAGGACAAAGTGACACCTGGTGGCCATGAGTGACATTACACCCTAAATAATACAAGAAAAATGAATGGCACATTTTGCTTTACTTTAGTTTCTTGTAATGATTTTCACAAGAGTATCTGCAAAGGAAAACTACAGGAGACACCAATCTGGGCTCATACAACAAAAACATTACTAAGTTTGAATCATTTTCTTTCCTTTCCCTTTTACAGTTCATTTGTTATAAGTTTTGCTATGATTAACATTTGTTAATGAAACATCCAAATACAAACTATAACCCACCTTTCTGAATTGTAATACACATTTTTGATTTAAGAATACACATCCTTATCTTTGCTTTCTGGATTTTAATCATATTTTGGTATCGTACTTATCTGAACAAGCATCTGCCATGGAAAGATTATCACTTGCTGCAACCCTGCTATATAAATATAATTCAAAGAAAAAAAAGAACCTGCCAAAGTAACCTCCTTAAAAAGCTAGATAAAGGGATTTGTTTGGTTGAATTGACAAGTTAACAGCTGACTAATTATTCTTAAAGCCAATATTATGAGTCAACTGACATTTAGGGGCCAAATCAACATGGAAAAAAATAGGTTTAGTGGCAGCAGAGGTGAGCAGAGGTGTTACTGAATGTCCTCCACTTGGGTGTCAACACTGGAGGACACCACCTTTCCATCAATGATCTCCTCCACGATGGTCTTCACTCTCCTCTCGATGTGGGGCTTATGCTCTACAGAGGTGGAGAACAAACATAATGGATCATGTGACTACATTGCAATGATTCAATAATATTGTCACAAGGTCAGAAGGTCTTTTTAGTGAATTACGGGGATTCCTACCTTCCACTTCCACGACCTTGCTGATGACCACAGCCCTATGGAGAGAGGGAACATTATTTTAAAACACATTGTATTCCTTTAGCTGTTGGCCTGCTACTTTCACTTTAAAGATGTAAAGAAATGTAATGATTAATAGTTCACTTTTTTTGTTCGTAATGCCTGGTCTCGTGCAGCTCTCCGTCCAGCAGCCTCCTGTACTCAGCAATCTCCAGTTCCAGCCTCATCTTGATGTCCAGCAGCAGGTTGTAATCCGTTTGCTGCTGCTCGAGGGAGACTTTCAGCTGCTGCAGCTCGACCTCCAGCATGTTGATGGTCCCCTGCAGCTGGCTGAGCTGACTACTGTATCGACTCTTCACTTCCTCCATATTCTGCTGCATGCACTGAATCTACAGAACAGACAGGAATAATGTTAGAAAAGCTGTGAGAGTTACCGGGGGAAAGGGCTGCCCTTTTGTCTCCCTGTTGAGAAATTACGAAGTTACAGTTTCATGATGTATCTGAACAACACTAATTTAAAGGATAGGTTCACAATTTCTCTCTCTCTGTCTTTAAACAATAGTCAGGTGCCCATATGAACATTAAAATAGTTTACGCTTGCTGTGATCATTCCTCCGGTTCATATTGGCCGACAAAAGATTCCTTCCTCGTGTGCTTCAAATTGTCAAAGTCCTCGTTCTGGACAAACATACGCAGATTCCAAATTTTATCAAAGTTAATATGAGGCTTCAGCAGTATTAGTAAGTCAGATCCTGTGTGTATCTTCAAGATTTACAGTTAGGCTACTACTTTGAAACCTGAATGTTGTTTTTCTACTGTTTACCTCCAGTCATGTCAAGTCAAGTCAAGTCAAGTTTATTTATAAAGCATATTTAAAAACAACCAGAGTTGACCAAAGTGCTGGACAAGTTATACAGTAGAAGACATAAAAATTTAAACCAGATAAATGAAAACAGGCCAAACAATTAATGACATACAGCAATAAGATAGAAAAACAACACAGTTAGATACAAAATAGACAAATAAAAACACAAGCGCAGGTGCCCCTAAACAGACTCAAACGCTAAAGAATAAAAATATGTTTTAAGTCGAGACTTAAAAGTGTCAATGGTGGGGGATGATCTAATAATCAGGGGTAGATTATTCCACAGTCTCGGGGCCACCACTGAAAAGGCACGATTACCCTTTGTTTTCATACGAGACTGTGGGATGGCCAAGAGGGATTGGTTTGATGATCTGAGGGGTCTGGACGAGTGATGAAACATTAGGAGTTCTGAAATATAAGATGGAGCCAGTCCATGTAACGTCTTAAAAACAATTAACAGCAACTTAAAATCGACTCTATATTTGACTGGTAACCAGTGAAGTGCAGCCAATATTGGGGAAATATGGTCCCTCTTCCTTGTACCAGTTAACAATCTAGAAGCTGCATTTTGAACAAGCTGCAAGCGTGACAAACATGACTGACAGATGCCAGAGTACAAGGAATTGCAGTAATCAATTCAAGAGGATATGAGAGCATGCAAGACAGTTTATAGGTCCTTTACAGAGAGAATAGGTTTAAGTTTAGCTATGGTCCTTTAATGAAAAAAGCTACCTTTAACAACAGAGTTTATATGTTTGTCGAATTTTAATGCTGAATCAAAGATAACCGCTAAATTCCTAGCAATTAACATTAATGGACAAGGGGCTCAGATTTTTTGATAATTCCTCAATTGAGTTAGGGGAACCAAATAATATTACTTCTGTCTTGTTTTCATTTAGTTGGAGAAAGTTCATTGCCATCCAACGCTTAATATCATTTAGACAGTTGGAAATGGACTGTAAGAACATTGAATCACCTGACTTCAGAGGTAAGTACAGCTGTGTATCATCAGCATAGCAGTGGTATAATATATCATGTTTACGGAGAATGGAGCCCAAGGGGAGCATATAAATAGAGAAAAAGACTAGTCCCAGGATTGAACCTTGAGGTACTCCACATTTAATTGCTGCTGAAGAAGAGGAAATGTTAACAGAAAAGGTTCTATCTCTCAAGACTGAAACCACTGTAGTGACACCCTGGATACCAAAAGCTTGCTGGAGGCGATCCGGGATGATCAACGGTGTCAAAAGCCGCGCTGAGGTCAAGCAAGAGTAAAATAGCACAATTTCCAGTATCACCAAACAGCAACAAATCATTTAGTACCTTAAGCAGTGCAGTTTCTGTGCTGTGATGTACCCTGAAACCTGACAGTCAGTCAGTGGGCACTTTGTTTTCAGCTAAAAACGAGGAGAGTTGAGAAAGAACGACCTTCTCCAATATTTTGAACATAAAAGATAATTTAGAAAAATCCATAGGGTCAAGATTTTTTTTTAATAAGAGGCTGGATCACAACATGTTTAAAAGTGGATGGAACAATTCCATTTAAAAGAGACCTATTTATTACAGACAAAAGGCTAGAACCAAGAACATTTACAACATCTTTCAAAAGACATAAGGGGACAGTGTCCGTAGTGGCTAAAAGTAGGCTTCATGAGTGAGGCTATATCGATCAGTTCTGACAAGGCCGCAGGCTCAAAACAATTTAGAGAGACAGGGTATGGGACTAGCTCAGATGGGTAAATGTAAATGCTCCGTACTTGTATAGCGCCTTTCTAGTCTTTTCGACCACTCAAAGCGCTTTTACAGTACATCTGCATTCACCAGTCATACACTGAGCCTAAGTGCTCAAACGGAAACTAACATTCACACACATTCATACACTGGCGGAACAGCCGCCAGGGGCAAATCGGGGTTCAGTATCTTGCCCAAGGACACTTCGACACGCAACCAGGGGGAGCCAGGGATTGAACCGCCGACCTTCCGATTAACGGCCAACCCGCTCTACCTCCTGAGCCACAGCCGCCCCAAGATCAGAAGGTGAGATACCAGATCTAATGACATCAACCTTATCAATAAAGAACCTCAAGAACTTCTCTGTAATTTCGGAGGTAGCATCAGGGAGTGCAGTAGAATGGTTTAGTGCAGTGTTTATTGCACTAAACAAGGTTTTAGGGTTGTGTTCATTTCTAGCAATGATATCAGAGAAATACTTCACTATTGAGACTTTGACCAGGCGTTGGTAAGATGTCATGTCGAAAGATGAAATAGTTGCCACTGTGATAACTTCTGTGTGACTGTCTGAGTATTACAACCGGTTGTGCATCTGATAAGCATTTGAACACATAATCTATTACTCCAACTGGACTTCCCATTTGTATTTCTCTGTTACATTGCACAGAACGAGGACTGTGGATTTTGTCACTTACATCGGAAGCACATTAGGAAAGGATCTTGTAATGGCCACTATGAACAGGAGGAATGATTACAGCAAGCAAATGTTTCTACGTAGACAGACTTGGAAAAAGTAGAACTCTTTAATCTAAGAACAATCCGCTAACCCTACAACCTTAAAAGCCAACATTGTATGTGTCATTTTGCATTCTGTCATTTCATCCATGGCCTACCTCTGTGATGATGCTTTGTCGACTTATCTCCAAACTCTGATAGGTCCTCTTCAGCTCTGACAGCTGCGTGTGGAACGTCTTCACCTCTGTTGTACATGTAGTGATTTGTGTCTTGAGAACATCCACCTTTTTACACACACACACACACACAGACACACACACACAGATATACAATAAATCCCTTGACATTGCCATCTGTAAATCTTTTCATCATAGTTATTTTTTTTTCTTATTTTTTTAATTTTCAGGCACATTGTTCTCCTGTCTCACCTTAGATTGGAACCATTTCTCGAGCTCCAGCTTGTTCTTCATCACCACAGCTTCATACTGCTCTCTCATTTCCTCCAGGACCTTTATCATATCAACAGACTCTGCGCTGTCCACCTCTACATTAACAGTGCCAGTCTGCTGGATCCTAAGTTGAAGCATCTCCTGCAACATAGACATATTTTCACGTGTGCTTCCTGCCCTTCTACAGATGTGTGTCATGGCAGGGACCACCAACAGGTGGCGCCATTGTACTTGAAATCAAAACTGTCAATCTTTTTTTTAACCTGACAAGAGAGAAATTTCTCTGGAGCTGAACGGCTCTCACCTCCTCATGGGAGCTCTTGAGGTACACCAGCTCTTCTTTCAGACCCTCTAGTTGCACCTCCAGGTCACTAATGGAAAGAGTCAGGCTGTCCCGGACTCCTCTGAGACGAGACACATCGGCCTCCACCAGTGAATGCATGTTCAGCTCCATCTCATACCTACACAAGGAATGCAGGTGTAGTTGTAATTCAATTACAGGAGTGAAAGAAAAAAATGTGACCATTCAACTATTAGTCCTTGTGATGTTCCCGTGGATGTAAATGTTATTCCAGTCATATGAATGAAACCATTATTTCCATACATATTTGAAAAATGATAGACTACAATTACAAAACTTTCTTCAAATGTGGTTGACATATAGGCCTATAAAAATAAAATTGTTGGAGGGTGCGTGTGGATTTAGCATGAAGCAACAGAGGAGAGTAAACCTACTTTACTTTAAAGTCATCTGAAGCCAGTCGAGCATTGTCAATCTGCAGGATGATTCTTTGATTCTCTGCATATTTCCTCGAGATCTAAATAGGGGGGTGGAAAAATGTCACTATTTATTCATATGCTCACTTGTTTTATTGGACAGACTCATCAGTACATGTAGGCCCTACGTCATTTTTATGCAGAAGAGACCACCTAAACATGACATCCATCCATCTATCCATCCATCGTCAACCGCTTATCCTGTGTACAGGGTCGCGGGGGGCTGGAGCCAATCCCAGCTGACATTGGGCGAAAGGCGGGGTACACCCTGGACAGGTCGCAAGTCCATCGCAGGACCTAAACATGACAGTGTATTCCAAAAACTGCATTTTCTACAGTGGGTTTTAAAAGAAATCTAAATGATGAAGTTTTTATGTGGAGTTCAATCCCACAGTTTATACAACACGAAGGGAATATACAGCTACTTTGGGAGTGCTCTCCTGTGGCCTGTACTACGAAGCGGGGTAACAGGTTTATCCAGGTAACTTAAGAAGTAACTTCGTGACGTCGGGTGTAACTTCCCGGTGAACCCGTACTACGAAAGGTGGATAGGTGTTACCCGAGGTCTGTTGCCATGGCAATTTACGCTGCATCTCTATACTGCTCCTAGCAGGTTTTGTTCGTGGTAAACTCGAGGTTACCCTGTATACGCGGACTACACACCACATCTATAGGCCTACTCAGTGTTAATGGTGAGAAGTAGGATATTAATACACCGCTTCATAAAATAGGCTATGTTCAGATTTCATGCTGATTTGCTCCTCTGCGGTTGCAATGAAGTTCTGAACACAACAGCATTACGTTACGAGCCCTGCAGCCTCGGTGATTTTAGAGATGAATCTTAATTAATTACCGGGTTGTGTTTGCATATATTTAGATATTTTAGGCCCCTATGTGTCCAAAAAAATAGGGAGCCACGGTCGGGGTTAATAACCGAGAAAAAACCCCCTCCTGAATGAAAGTGTGAAATTTACAAGAAGAAAAATCAGAAATTCCCTGAAATTATTGTCATAAAAAATCGAAAATCACTCTGTTTTCTTCTGAATAGGCCCAATCCAAGGCAAAGTCTCTAAGGTCCATGATAGTGATTGTGGGCTAAACTCAGGAGTATTTCTTCACTACTAAATCCGACTGCAAAGTTTAACATAACTTTCCAGTGCATGCATAATAGTCTGCAAATTGCCTTGTAGACGATCACAATAGTGTGTGTGATGTTGCAGCCTTGCAAAGTGAAGTTTCTCTCATAAATGTGTGACTATAATGTCAGAGAATATTCAAGTTTTTTACTTGTATTAGTCTCGGAAATTAAAAATTGTCTCGGATTATTACCCCCCCGCGCTTTTTTTCTATTACAATGGACCTTATGTGCAGTTGTACCTTTACATCTTACATTTATTAATTTAGCTGACGCTTTTATCCAAAACGACTTACAATTGCTTTGCATGTCAGAGCAACTGGGGGTTAAGTGTCTTGCTCTGATGTCTCACAGTGGGAATCAAACCCAGGTCTCCCACACCAAAGGGAAGCATCTTATCTATGCGCCATCACCACCCCATTTTAAACATATTACACATAAAAGAAGAGCCCATAAAATAAATAATAAAGATTTCAACTACAATAAGAACACTGTGAAGATAATTAGGCTACAAATTTACTCAATGCCATGCCAACAAGCCGCCCGGTCTTTGACCGCGGTGAAGTTAGTTTTAAGTTGGATATTCGACATTCACCCAGGATCCAGTGACGGCTTTTTAGTCAGTTCACCCAGTGACGGTTGTATAAGTGCGGTTAGCTCACCTCTGATGGCTCGCTTTAGGGTGTTAGCTTAGGGACCATCAATAAATTCAAATTGTGAAAACAGTGTTATGGGAAAATCATTATTTATTTCAATAGCTTCCAAGTCATGTGACGCAGGGACTTCAAACCAATGCCGAATTGTAGTACTACACTAGGCAAATGAGACACACCCCTTCATATTTGATTTGAGTGAGTTGCATATCTCACAAATGTACGCAAAAGAATTTGCCCATAAAATACTAATAAATATTAATATAAAATAAAATATGCACTCAAACATAAAGAGGTGTGTCTAGTGCCTAGTGTAGTACTACAATTCGGCATTGGTTTGAAGTCCCTATGTCACATGACTTGGACGCTATTGAAAAAAAAATCATTATTTTCCATAAATTATGAATAAATATTAATATGAAATTTTAAAAAATCACTCAAATCAAATATGAAGGGGTGTCTCTCATTTGCCCAGTGTAGTACTACAACACTGAGCGGTACCTGAGCTCGGAGATCAGCGATGGTGGCGAAGTAGCTGGTGAAGTCCTTGGAAACAGTAGGAGCTCTCTTCTCGTAGAACTCTCTGATCTGCAGCTCAAGCTTCCTGTTGGCTGCTTCCAGGGAGCGCACCTGCACCAGAGGGTGACATCAGGCAGTGACAGGTGCACATGACAGATGTGGATATTTATAGAGCACTTTAGTGCTGGCTCATAACACAACTCAATTTCTTTTTTTTTCTTACTGTGCCATTTACTTTTTTATCCCATAAATGCATTTTGCACCAATCCTAGAAATTCGTTCTCAGCGCCATGAGTGAATGTGGACCATTAAGGTTACTGTGGCTTTATGTTATGTTCATCAAGTTAAGTTTATACAAGAAGGTCATTTATATTTTCATATTTAGTTTAAAAATACTGATGTGAAAAATAATATATTACTTTCTTATATTAGCTTCATGTTTTGTATAAAGATGTATAAAGATACTAGAATGAATAGTCATGGATGTGGGGAGGGGTCCATAGATAATACCTATGTGCAGGGTCCAAAATTTTGTGCTGCATCCCTGTGATTTAGCCAGTGTGTTAGAAGAGATCATATAATGTATTTATCAGGGTAGAAATGTCTTTGCACTTAGCTAATTTTAATGCAGGTTAAAAAAACAAACATTTTGTCTACAGTATAGGTCTAACAAAGATTCAGAGGGTTGTACAGCTCTATTCAGGGAGTGCTTTCAAGGCTTTAATCAAACCACAGGAAATTGGGAGTGTTGCAAGTAACAGTGTGCAGCAATTCGTATAATCATCATCATCATCATCATCATCATCATCATCATCATCATGTCTTACCTTCTCCAGGTAGGAAGCCAGGCGGTCGTTGAGGTTCTGCATGGTCACCTTCTCGTTGTTGATCACTGCCGTGTCGCCGTACGGGGTCAGTGACCCGGAGGAGAAAACAGAGTGGGACTGGGAGATGCGAGTCCCGTATCCCCCAGCTCCCCCGTACACGCTAGGTGCACGGTTCTTAAAGGAGCCCGTGGAGATGCGGGTCTGGCCGGCTCCGAGAAACTGCATCTCTCCGCTCAAGCTGATGGCGCTGCTGCTGGAGATGCTACGGGAGCTGTAGCTGCCCTGGCGGGTGAGAGTGAGAGTCATGGTGAGACGTGGAGGTGGAGCTGACCTGCAGGCGATGAGCACAGCTGGAGAATCTACGAGGAGTGACTCTGCCTGAGACAACGGTGCATTTTATAGGACTGAGAGAATGGGAACAGCGTCTGGTCCGATGCATCAACAATGCATGGTATGCAGTTGATTGGTTTTTTTGTTTTGTTTTGTTAAAAAAAAAAAAAAACTAATAGGTGTGAACATTAGCGATGATCTGTGGAAGAAGGCTGAACATCTAGTAGGGCAACTAGGTGGGAGGTAACTGATAAGCAGACAGGAATGAAGATAATAGTTTGTCATTGTCAGTTATAGCTACTTACTGCAGCAGGTTTAAATGCCACGCACTTATCTGTCTGAACATCTGCTTAGCCCGGCATTTCTACACTGAAGCCTCTTTTCTTTAAAGCCAGACAAAGTCACTTTTATATAACACGATCTTCAAATCTACAAATGAAAAGTTGGATTGATAAGAAATAAAGCAAAACCTCACTAAATTCACTACATTCAGGGGTTTTGTTACAGGCTATGACCAGAAGCTTATGGTGGATGACAGTTTGACAAAGCACCTGCTCACCCAAGTTGAATTCACTAGTTTTGTGTAACACAGTCAGTCTTAGCCACTTTGGTTGGCATTCATGCATTCATATGGCTACCCCCATGAACTCATCAGTCCGAGTGTATTCGCATTTTAACCAATACACTTTTGTTTTTTAGCTGCTCATTGTACACAGAGCAATGCAGGAACAACAGCATGGCAGGCTGAAAACTTTATAAATCGAGCCAAACTAACTGAGATGCAGGGGCGTCGCTCAAAAATCTGAACCCTGAACACAAAGCATTCTTTATGGGCCCCTCCCCGCATCCACCGCCATTCATTCTAGTATCTTTTCCTCGTATCCACCTGGTCCTACTCCGCTGGATGGAAGTCGAAGGATGATGGATGACAGCGTGACGGTAGACAGCGAGGCAGGGCAGTGAACACTTATTTGCATAATGCATGTCAAAGAATTTTCTGAAAGGAATGGAATGGAAACCTAATTGTTTTTATAACCATTACAAACTGGTTCTTCCTAATTGCTTTCTTCTTTCTTTTGAACAGCTAAAAATATTTCTGTCACTTCCAACGAAGCAGGGAAAATACACAAAAGAGTTCAATGTTGTTGACATAATACATCATGCAAAAAATTCCTCTCTGGGACACCCCACCCCACTGCAACCCACACACACACATACACAAAACACTGACACACCTTTTTAAAAAGACGCTTATCTAATATGCGGTCAGAAAAAGCTTTCTCAAGTGATTGGCACAAAATCCATCTCAATCTGCTGTGGAACACACCCATCAGTGGAAAGTGACTTTGCACGCCACAGCGGTCCATATTTAAGACCATTACTTTGATAAAAGGGTTTTTCATTGCAGGTAGTATACAGTTAATATTTGGATTTAGTATCATAACCCAAAGGATTTCAAGGTATTTTTGTTTTAATGTGAATCTTAATTATCAGTGTAATTCAGCAAATTGCTATTAATCCAGCTATTATCAATAATTAATTTGGTCTAAGTCAGTGGTTCTCAAAGCGGGGTCGGGGGACTCAGGGGTCCTTGAGGGGGTTTCAGGGGGTCCCCAGCAAAAAGGGGAATAGTTGATTTTCACTGTTATTCCATCCATAAGTAACACAAAGACAGAATGTATGACTATTTTGGTCATAGGTTTCGAACACTTTCTAATAATATAATCAAAAATGCAATCAGATGAGGGAATCTGGGACAAACTCTTATCTAATGGGGGCCCGTGGTCTAATTTGTGTCAGTTTAGGGGTTCTTGATGTGAAAAAGTTTGAGAACCACTGGTCTAAGTAACAATGTTTACATCACAATTTCAATAAATAACTTGTTTTTAACCCACATACTTTTTTTTCACTGCAGCAAAATGCATCATTATTTTCTTCTGTAAAGGTCCACCTGTTTGAGTGCTTTGTAGCATTTTTTCCAAATATCAGACAAAACCTTTTTAACAAACCTTTTTTATGTCGCTGTTATTCCGTACTTTTGGGTCATGATCAGGACCAGTACTGATTGTGAAATTGTTGTTTTTCTGACACAGACAGACACATACTTTAAGCAAAAGACTCATCATGACCTTTTACCAACCTCACAAGTCCTGCAGCTTAAAAGAAAAAAATGATCTTCTCAAAGTTGACACATAGCTGTGAGGACTCAAGTGAAGATGAAAATAAACAAAAACCAGTGATCAGCCTTGCCTGATAAAGTCTGAATCATCCAGTCTTTGATATGGATCAGGTTTCACTGATGGGTGTGTTGAACCTGTCTAGTTAAGGCATTAAAGTAAAATCTTATGATCTGTGATTGTATTTACACCGCAGAGGAGTTTTGGTTCCTAATCCTAACTTAGAGGTTTTGGTGCCTAAATCCAACCAAGCAGTTTTGTTGCCAAAATCTAAGCAAGTAGTTTTGGTATCAAGGCCTTTTGGAAGAAAGTCTAAAGGATAAAACCCATGTGCATCACATGTGTATTTTATGTGCAGTTGCTGTCTGCAGGTGAGCACATGCATGTGCATTCTTTGCTATCCATTGTGCTGCTGTCACTTCTACTCGTATAAATCAAAGTGTGGCACATAATCAGCCGGCCACTGCTACAAAGTAAATCTGTTTGATGCTTTCACTGTTTGGTGAAAAATATTTTAAGGCTGCGTTCATGTCGTTTCTGCTTTTCTACATCTATTATACATCACATATTGTCAGTGGAAACTAGATATAATAACTGGGCCACAAATCTATACAGTATGTAAACAGCGCTCTGAAGTATTTTTACTAAAAGGCTGGAGTGTACGTCATCAGGGAGGTCTAGGCAAAAACATGACATGTGGAAGGAAATATTCACCTCTAACCAATCATTACATTATACACACTTTTGCTTTTTTTCAAATTACATCACCAGCTCTGCCTTTCTTAAAATTGAAAGTGGAAAACTTGTCTACAGTCCATACAGTGTTAGGTTGAATAGATGCTACACGGAAATGCGAAACAATGACTTAGTCTGCATCTGGTTCCAACATGCGTGAAATGTTAAATGTAACTGTTTAGTGCCAGTTGATAACTTGAGGACACGTGGAACCCCTGTTTTCAGCCTTTAAGTCTTCCAGCCAGTGTCTACATAGTTACATCAGGTGCTCTGTATTGGTCTCTAAAGGAGTATTGGATTTCTTATGTAAACCCATTGACTTGTTTTATTGTTATTGCAGTGCAAAAAATACATTGCCAGGTAAGTGAAAAGCTCATTAATAGGTGTGTGGATGTAGTGATCCATCGTTTCCTTTACGCACTTCCTCCCAATGCATCCGTCTACCAATCAATCAGTGAACACTGTTGATTTTAGGCCCTATCGCTTACACCAAACTTGTGGTATAAAAGGGCAGATCTGCTCAGAATCTCAAACATTGCAACTAAACTCTCCTCGGATTTCATTGTGTACATTTCTCATCCTGTCCTCACAGGTAAAGTAAAGTTTTTGGGTAGTTATTTTGTCACTTCGTAAACTTAAATTGGATTTTAACCAAGAATTCTTTTCTTTTTGTACACAGACATGTCAGGGAAAGTCATTGTGGTGTTTGCACTGTTGGTTGCAGTGCTAGTATTCGGTGCATCCGCCACTCCTCAATCCTCTGCCGCTGCAGATACTAGTGTACTACAGCAGCTTCTCGCCAAGAGGGAGAAAGTGAGAGAGTTGGCTGGCAGACAGGAGCCGGAGTCTCAGACTCACTCTGCAAGGATGGAGAGACGGGCACACCTATCTGAGGATGAACGCGAGACTATGACCAAGAGAATAATGCAAGCAATTTCAGGTATGCTGCGGGGATAGGGGTGTGAAAGTTATTATCTAATATTTTGTCTATTGTGTGTGTGTGTGAGAGAGAATGAGTCGGGACGAGATCCAATCAGATGCTAAGATGTGTTTATTGAACCCTTGCGTGGTTCATGTAGGAATGGTTTGTTTACAGAGATGATGAACTCAGAGTGCATGTCAGATCGAGACTACCAGGGCTGGGTGGACTTTGGACGCCGGGACGCAGAGTGAGACCCAACAATGCCAAAAACAACCCGAGCGCTAAGACTCACTGCTTCATGTTCATAATTTATATGAAGTCAATGTTTTACTCTCCCTGCAACTTTATAAATAAACTATTTTGCAGAATTATCATAATAGTCTGATGTGTTCATTCCTCGCTGTCATGGGGTGATACAGAGATGAAACTGTGCTGGATGGAAATGCAAGGTTTTATTCACAGGTGGTACATTTTACACACACATGTACAGCTGTGATGCAAACACAGAACAGAGCGAACAGTAGTGCAGAGAAACAGCAGTTTGGTTGATTTAGGTCAGAACACAAATTATTACAACCTGTGATTTGGATTTCTTCCCTTTTTAATCCACAGTATCCTATGCCTTTTTACTACAGTTGTTTGTTTAGAAAGATTTCAAAGAAACATGCTGTTTAAACAATTACCACTCTTCTATTCATCTTTAAATAATGATTCCCCTTAACGTCCTGAAGAATTCACTTTGAATGCCCTGAACTATTTTCATTTCATTTATATCCCAGTGATTTAAGAAGTCCTGACGACATGAAATACAGCAGAAGATTTTCAGTCAACGCAACACAGCAAATACACATATTGCTTCTAAAAACTCCCATTCTCTGTCTTTGATGCAGCATGGCAAACCTGATTTGTTTTTGGTGAGGTCTGGCTCAGGATAAAGTCCACAATGTTATAAATTCCAACATCTCACAGGTGATACTGTACTGTATGCAGAAATAACAACATGTGCTATGTGAAAGCAGGTGATGAAATGTATGAAACTGGGGAGAGTGTTTAATTCAGTATATTTGACAATCTTATATACAACATGCTTTTCTAAATTTAGCAGCTAGAAAGCAGGAAGACCAGAGCGTATGTTAGTGCATTTGAAAGTTCTTCAGTGTGACAGCATTGGTTTGGTTTGTGGTTTCAACGAACAGTAATTTAATAGTCTTTTTTTAAACTTTGCCAAATGACAACTTTGTTATATACACATAAGTGATGTTCCACCTTGGAAACAAAAAAAAATAGACAGGTGATGAGGTTTTTTTTTTTAAAACCAGTGGCTGTGTAAAAATGTAAAATGCCAGTCACAATAAAGAAAGTATATAAAAAAAATCTTCATGATGTTTCTTTTTTGTGTGTGTGTGTGTGTGTGTATGTGTGTAAAAAGAAGCTATTTCTGCAGGTTGCAGTCAAACACACTGGTGATCAGGTGGTTGTCCTGAGATGAAGATTTCACACATACATAAACACAACTACTGTACACATATTCATAGAAAAGAATATTACTGTACATTACTGAAAACTTAAAGTATGGCTGTAGCACAATCTGTGGCTTTAGTTTTCAAGACACCAGAGACGTGGGCCCTGAACAGCACAGAGGGAATCACATGGCTGGATGCGAAGTCACTACGGTGAATGAGAGTGGAGTTAAGTGATGAACAGCACTCATCAAACTTTTACATGACGTCTGACTGCTTCTCTCTCTTTGCCATTGCGGCCCGTCATCCCCCAGGCTGCCACACTGTGCAGTCCCAGAGTCTGAAGCTTCTTCACCAGATTCAAGCTGAAAATGTTCCCTCTTCCCTCTTTGTCTGATGATGAGCCTCCATGTTTGTTTTTTGCTGTGGAGCGTGAGGGGTTTGTACTCTGGCTATAGCGCAGGTTGTGGTGGGGACAAGGAGAGGCTGAGATGCCACGCTCATGCAGCAGCTGCACGAGTCCCAGCGAAGAAGTGGTTACAGTAGTGGTGGTGGTGGTCCGGCCTCCCAGGCCAAAGTGTTGCTGGTGGGACGGCGATGAAGTTCTCATGAGCTCACTGTTCCGACAAGATGGCAGGCCGAAAGAGCGAACGCTGCCAACAGAAAAAAAATGTATTAAAAACAAACAATAAGAAGATAGAAAACTATAGATGCTTCTTGTTGCACAAACATGCAAGCTCATACACAAACAACAACAAAACAAGACACTGGAAACAGATTTGGATAGTTCATTTGTTGTTAGTGTCAAACATGATGTTAGTGTGGTGGGATAGTATGGCAGGATCTGGTGGTTTGTTGAGCTGAAAACCTAGAAAGGGCAAGAGACGTTAATAAAACGTGTGGTGTAATAAGCCAAAAATATACAAACAAGTCAGCAGCATGTGTTAGTAGGAGGCGAAGGGTGTGTTTAACAGAAGCACAGTGCATGATTCTCCCATACAGTAGCTATGATCATTTCAATTAGGTCACAGCAAATGTTTCTCTGTCTCTGACCTGATCTTTGTAGAATTAAACTGAAAAGGCTTCTTAAATGATGTTATTTAGTTAACCAACATGGTACTGTGCCTCTGTTGAAATCGAGCATTCAAAGTTGATCCATTACCGTCTCTTACTCTTACTTTGCCCCGAAGGCTCCTTTTAGAGTTGGAGAAAGAGCCTCGCCAGATGTTTTCTGGGGGCAAAGAGGAGAATTTATGGAGGAGGAAAAAAGCAGCATGGAAGAGAGGAAGAGAAGAGATGAAGTTTGGAAAATCCACACATTGAAAGAAAGTGAAGCTGTGAAAAAAATCTTTTGGATTAATGAACATTGAACTCTTATTCACGAGCTTCTTGTTCTAGAGCTGCAATGATTAATTGATTAGTTGTCAGCTATAAAATGAATCGCCAACTATTTTGATAATTAATTTATCAGTTTGAGTATTTTTTAAGAAAAAAGGTCAAAATTCTCTGATTTCAGACACTTAAATATGAATATTTTCTGGCTTCTTTGCTCCTCAATGGGTCGTGGACAAAATAAGACATTGGGGATATCATCTTGGGTTGGTTGGATCTATACCTTGTCCAGAGTTTTATGGTAACTCAGGTCCATCACAACAATAAAAAATCAAGATCAAGCTCAAATTGAACTTTATTACCCAAGAAGGAAATTCAATCTGCTTTAACAAATAGACAAAAAACACAGTACATAGTACATATATTCTTACCTAGTGGAGAAGGAGGGAGTGAGAAGGGAGGGTTGGAGGACTTGGCAGGTGGTAATGGTATGTGTGGGAGAGGTCTGAGGGAGGTTGGGACCGGATGGAGAGGCTGCGAGGTCACGGAGAAAATGGGAGAAAAGCCACATTAAACTATGCATGAATACAAGGACGCAGGATGAGAAACTACAAGAGCCAACGGAGATGGGGGAAAAAAATTTATGCAGCACAATTAATGGGACACAACCAATGCAAGCTAACTGGAATAATGAGGAGAGGAAGCAGGAAATTTGGATTTTAGAGGGCATTTAATGACCTGAATAGGAATGACAAAGCATGTGTTCAGTGTGCCCTACCCATGCCATGTGCTCCAGAGAACTGCGACAGGTCAGGTTCATCCTCCTCCAGGTCGTTCAGGCTGTAGACGTGCTGAATGTCGACCTCAAGCTCCCTGAAGTCTTTAGTCAGGACTCCTGGGCGCGGATGCAGGATGCCTCCAAGGTTTGGTTTGGCCAACTGCTGCCACTGGTGCAGAGTCACTGAGCCTGCAGATGAGAGAGTCAGAGGGAGGTGCGCTTGAAGAATGACATGATAAATGCAGTTACATTTTATTTATATCGTCAGAAATAACTTTGATTTTTTCAGCTTGTTTGTCTCTTGAATCACAATTACTTCATTTTCATGTCATGTTATAAATTTGATTGAGTTGATGGTGTTGGCGTAAGGGTGGAAATTCTTGAAAAAGTTGGTTTTGCCGGGAAAGTTACAAAATTCTAAATAAAATGTAGAGAAAATATATTGGAAGCAAATGCACATAAAGTCAATTGAAGGAGGAGGATGGAGCCACATGTTCATAACTTATGTTGTAGGAGGTGCTGACTGACTGGGGAGTCAAGCTCAAAGAAAATTACCAGGTGCAGAATTTAAAATCAGTTAAATTCAAACAGTCCTCATCCACTTGTGTGTCATTTTTTATAGTTATATTATAGTTATATTGCAGAATAAAATACAGGGTTTCTGCAGGGTACACACAGTTCATTTCAAATCTTAAGGCATCTTTAATATCACATAAAATGCAATATAATACCTGTTTCATGGTCATACCAGCCAAAGTATTAGGAAAACAATGAGGGACTACATGACCGGAAAGTGTCACTACTTTTATAAATCACATTTCTCCACAAAAGGGATTGGACAGCGTGCTGTGTGCACAATCCCATTTTCAACATCTCCTGATCAGATACAAAAATATTTTATAGATAACATTACAGCCTATGGCAGAAAAGACAAAATATAAAGTAAGCCTTAAAAAAAATATTTTTGCAATCTACAGACAAACTTTTTTTGAGGAAACTAAATTCAATGTCTTCGTAAGACTTTTTAAGACCTGCAGAAACCCTGTTATAAATGGTAGATCTCCCAAATTACGCTGTCTTGTTGGTTGCAGCAGCTGAAGTGGTAAGAAAGAAGAAAACTGGGACAAGATAAGGAAGGTTTGGGTTTGGCTCACTGGCCAATTAACGGCCAATTAATGTTAGTGTTCAACATGTTAATTTTTTCACAGAGCCGACGTGCTTGTCACTTTTCATTTCGTTCGTCCAATCACAGTCTGGATGGGGCGGGACATTAAAAAAAGTTTGACGTGCTCCAGCAAATCATTAAATGTTGAACAATATGATTACTGACAAGTTAGTAGTTAGCATTAACAAATTAGAGACAGATGTAGAGCCTTTTGCTTGCACAAGGATTAAATGAATAAAAACAACCCACAGAAATTAAACAGCTGTAACTGGATTTAATATTCGACTAGTGGTAAAATAATATACTATTATATGAAATTATAATGAATGTAGTATTATAGTTATACTAACAGTATACTGTTAACTAAACATTATACCCTTTATATACTCTTTATTTAATAGTATCATAGTCAAGACCGCCCAAAACGAGACTGAGACATAAAAATTACTTTTAGGGGCTGAGATAAGTCGAGACCAATACCAATTCCCCACATTACATGACACACAATAAAATGTGGAACAGGATCATATGTACTTTTCAAATTGATCCGGTCTTGGTCTTGAGACCGGTCTTAAGACCACTCGAGTACTACAACACTATTATTTAATACACTCATGTACAGTTCCTTCTCCAGGTTGTGGATAGAGTCTCAAGCAAATAAAGCTTTAGTTTCCTAGAGTTTTAAGTAATGTAACACCAGAGCTGCCAACTCTCAGGCATTGAGAGTGAGACTCACGCAATTGACACTTTTCACACGCTATACATGAATTTTGTCACGCATTGAAAAACAAACCTATAACTGATAACAACAAGTCGGGGCGAGTGAACTCCACCCAGCTGATGTGACACTGGCACCTCGCGCTGTGAGTCGCGGCAACTAAGTGAAAGAGTTTAATAATAGTAATAATAACCATCTAAAATCTGAGGTGCAGACTTGCTCTGTTTGGGACTGTGAGCTGCATTTTATCTGAGGTGCTTAAGTGAACATTTGTGTGGATTTGTGGTGAGATTTCTGCCTGATCAAAAGTGTTTTCAGTAAGTTTTGTTTTCCACCTTCTCCTCCCATCCAGTAAAGTCTCAAATTACTCTGTGTCTACAGAGTGTCTGAAGGAGCCAAATCAGCAGATCAACAACACAGGCTAATGCACAGCAGAGTATAGGGCAGGTAGACTATTTCTAAATATTATGACTTCTCATTAAATGATGACATTATTCTTGGAATATTATGACTTTTTTCTCATCATGTCAGAGAACAAATATAGTCGATGTGGGAGAGATTCAGAATATGCAGAAAGTTTTGAACATGAGCAGAAAAACTGCTGAAACAGAGAAACTATTAAAGTCCAGGAGTTTCTAACTGAATTAAAATTCATTCATTTATTAATTGAGGTGAGATAAGGTGCCACAGTCATACTTAAAGAGGTTACTTCCCCAAACAATGACAAAGACAAAAAAGGGGAGGGAAAACGAAATCATGCCTACATGAGCTGACTCAGCAGAGCTGATATTACATGAGAAAATATTTTAATACACAAATATTAATATATTAATCTGTTAAGTTCTGTGTGTGCAGCATGAAGGGACTATAAACTTTTGTTTTTCGTTATACAACAACCTTGTGTTGTATAATGACAAATACCTTGTAAAAGTTAAACTACAGGAGAACACATATATCTAAAAGCAACACAGAATGCCTGAGAGCTTAACTGCATTATAGTCTATTATATTATGAATCGTCACCTGCCACCTGAATTTGGTTTCCCTTTATATTAATAAAGATTAGTAACACCCACAAGTTCCCCTGTAACTGCCTCAAGAAAATTGAACGACAGTAATCACTAGTCAGCAGCACATGACAAGTCATAGGATACAGCTGCAAATATGGTTACAATATAATAAGCTATACATCTGTTTATATAATTATTGTCATCATTTCAGCGGACACATTTATACTCTATATATAGTATTTCAGTTCTGCACATAATTTGACCAATACTTGTACAATGTAGTCCTCAAAATTGAATTTGATAGACAGATGAAGTATGTTTATTTGTTCACTCATAATTCGATTTTAAGATTTAATGCTTTGCAGTAATTTCTTCAATGTTTGATTTTACTTTTCTCTAATCGCTCACTTATTGAAGGGCATTTTTTCTCTCCTTGTCTTGTTTTAAGTTAAAAGAAGAAACATAACTTTCACAGTCTTAATTTTAAAGATTTAAAAAAATAACTGTATTGACCTTTTGTGCTTTATAATCATATTGGGTAACTGAATATGTATGCGAGCGTGGCCTGGATGAACACTGAATTTGGAAATGGTCGTTAATGACTCCATCTGTGTCACTATAAATAAGGCTAATTGCCAAGAGCTTTTTTGAAATTGCCCGTGTTTGTATTAGAACTAAGGATGGGTGGGTTGAGGTGGTGCAGGAGTTGAGGTGGTGCTGGATTGAAAAATGTTGTCCCCCTGTCCATAATTCCTGATGGCGGGGCTGTTGCTAGCAGCACCTTTTTCGTGCACTAGTACATTTCTGTTGATCAGTTGACATTAGCTGCCAAAGTCAAACACAGGTCAAATTCTCGTTTTACTTTTGCAATTAAGTAATCAACCTTTTCTTTCTTCCTTTTTTAAAGAATACATTTTCATTTTAAGAGCAGGGCAGCTTTGCACTTGTGGCATTTAATTAGCATCACAGACTAACTTGTCAGTCTTGTTTGAATTTTAACAACACTTTCTCATGTTCCATTGTGACTCCACATAATGCTGAAATAAGCTCAAAGTAATTGATGAGAAGCAGTAGCAAGCTGCAGCTTTTACCTTCCAAAGGTTTGACGATCTGTAGCCGGTCGGGCAGGTAGGACCTGGATCCTCCTGAGGAGCCACAGGAATGCCGTGAGCTGCCATTGGAGTAGTTAGTGCCAGTCGATGCCGCTGGGCTGGAGGCCAGGCTGTCATTTGGCGTTAAGAAGCCACTGGAGCCCTCGCCCTCCTCGCAGTTTGCTGCCAAGGCATGGAGTTTACGCTCACGCTCTACATCAAAGAAAGGCCGCTCAGAGGAGTGGTTCTGCTGCCGGGCTGAAAGGCTGCGCAAGGCGGCTTCGAGGTCCTGGCCTCCTGGTGTGCCTGGCTGGCCCAGACGCTTTGGACCACTAACACTATGGTGAATAGATGTGACAATGTTTTAACTGCTTCAATCCTTTGGACCTTAAAGTGGACTAATCTTTATAAATTACTACTACTTGCACTGTTACCACCCAAACAAAGGCATTTTAACTTCTAGTCAAGATTGTAAATAAAAACAAACAAAAAATATATATATACATATATATACATACATAGTCTGAACACATGGAATGGAAGTCTGAATATATGGAATGAAAGTCTGAATATATGGAATGAAAGTCTGAATACATGGAATGGAAGTCTGAATATATGGAATGAAAGTCTGAATATAGTGAATGAAATCTGACGTCAGTGATATGAAGTGTGACACTGTTAGTGAATCAGCAAGAAAGTGTCCAACGTCCGCAATTTTGAGCAATGAAGAGATTATAAAAACACTGGCGAATGCATGTATGAGCCAAAATATTGGAAACCACATCCAGTACCGTTCTCCTGATCTAGAAATGTATTCCCTATTATCGTGGAAGACCAAATGCAGGAACCCTCCCAGTTCAGGCAGTTCCCGTTTATCAGGCAATCTGAAATACGCCTTTAACGTCACAGATGCCCCCCACAACAACCCCTATATACAATCTTCGTATGTCCACCCAAAAGGGCTCAGGCAGTAACTTTTTAAAGAGTAAGATCCTGTGTTTAACCAGAAATAGCTGTTATATCGCTCTCTTCAAAGCCACCGAACTCCACTGACAAAAAATGTTACCGCTGCCAGGTTATTTTTTCTGTGACTTTGGTGTTTAAAAGATTAGTTCGGATGCGAACTAACTTAAGCTGTTGTGGGGGCACGTGTGAGGTTGAAGGCTTGTTTTCCTGATAAACGGGAACTGCCTGGCCTGGGAGGTTTCCTGCATTCAGTCTTCCACGATTAAAGAGAATAAATTATTTCATCAGGAGAACTACTGGATATGGTTCCCAGTATTATGGCGTGTACATGCATTTGCTAGTGTGTTTGTAATCTCTTCAATGCTCCAAATAGCTGACACTAGATTTCTTACTTATTCGCTCATAGTGTCACAATTACATCCATACGGATTAATCACATCAAAAACACAAGATGGCGCCAGTGCCTTAATGATGTCAGATGATGATTTCATTATATATATTCAGACTTTCATTCCATATATTCAGACTTCCATTCCATATATTCAGACTTCCATTCAGTATATTCAGACTTTCATTCCATATATTCAGACTTTCATTCCATATATTCAAGGTTCATTCCATATATTCAGACTTTCATTCAATATATTCAGACTTCCATTCTATATATTCAAGGTTCATTCCATATATTCAGACTTTCATTCCATATATTCAGACTTTCATTCCATATATTCAGACTTTCATTCCATATATTCAAGGTTCATTCCATATATTCAGACTTTCATTCCATATATTCAGACTTTCATTCCATATATTCAGACTTTCATTCCATATATTCAGACTTTCATTCAATATATTCAGACTTCCATTCTATATATTCAAGGTTCATTCCATATATTCAGACTTTCATTCAATATATTCAGACTTCCATTCTATATATTCAAGGTTCATTCCATATATTCAGACTTCACACACACACACATATATATATATATATATATATATATGTGTGTGTGTGTGTATGTATATACATAGTATAAAATAGATCTGGACTTCTACATTTGACATCATAATGCAAGTATGTGCATGAGCACACACTCACACACACCTGTTATCTTCTTTCTGAGCATTATTGGAGCTGGGTTTGTCCTCCAGTGTAAAGCTGGCATTATCTGAGCCATAGTAGCTGGTTCGGGGGGTGCTGGTACAACTGGAGCGAACGGACACCGGGCTGGAGCCTGGCAGCCCCGGGGAGTGACACTGAGACCGCAGTCTCACGGCCTTGTTCACCACCTTTACGGTTTCAAACACACGCCAAGGGTGGTTCCTGCAAGGAGTAGATGTTTAGTTCATTTAGTAGTTTACATCATTTAAATTTAAGTCTCTCCATATGTTTTATTACAATAGAAAGTTGTAGTGGCTTGCTGTGTTTGCCACAGAAACCTGTATGGCTGAACTGACAACGGAGATGCAATTTTTGTCACCTTTTAAGGAATTGGTAATGGAAGAGGGATACTCAAAAACACAAATGTAGAAATCTCTAATGTGAAATAAGCAAAACTGTTCTAATTTGGCAGTAAAATATGTATTCATGTGGGACCTCATCATCAATAGTAACAAGCTAATTAAAAAAATAGGTTTTCAGGGCCAAAGCCATGATGACTCACATCAAAGTAAATGTCTTGGGTTTTATCTAGCTATAGAAATTCAAGCAAAGCCTTCTACATATGAGAGCACACACACAAAGTCACAGACTCACTTGTACTCTGGGGTAGCCGGGGTGTCCAGGCCTTTGCGGAAGGTGCCCTCTATCTCAGCTGCCAGTGAGTCCATGGGGAGGACAGAGGCCAGTGCAGTGTACCGCTGCACCGTGCTGTTGGGTAGGCTCTTATTGCGCAGGTTCTTAATGTCCTCTCGGGCCTCATGGAGCATGTCCTCACACTCTGAGTATTTGTCCTGCAGGTCCTTGAGCTGAAGAAAGGGGGAGACATATCTGTCAAACTGCAGTACAAGACGCTGAATATCTGAATATCAACATTTTAAGAACAAAGTAGGCTTCTGCAAAGATACACATAAACTGGTCTGTGTGGGGTTTCTGGGTAACCATGTGAACTATATTAACAAAATCTCTACAACTACATATGATCTGTACCTGCAGTGCACACAGACCTTCTCACAGAGGCCTGGAGTAAACAAGACCTTATTTATGAAAGTGTGATCTTTGAAATCAGAGGCAGCTGTTCCATTGGCCACCTCCACTGTATCTAGACTTTCTCTAAGCCTCCAGAAGGTTGACACAAGATCTGTTTGTTTTATTTATCCTCTGTTTTGAAATAATTTTATTTATTAAATGTATGTCTAAAGTTGAAAATAGGCTTCTGCATCTAGTTTGTCAGTGAAAGCAGCTTGTCTTTGTAAATGTTTTCAAACGACACCTGTGCATGTTTGAAGACTTAAAAAACACTTGCCTCTGATTTAAGTTTTAGCTGGCTCTCACGGGAGGCACTCAGGTTTTGGTTCAGCTCCTCGTTCTCATGTGTGAGCTAGAAGGACAGAGTAAGAAAGGTAGCAGAGTTTTATTGTAACTGGACGTTAAATCCACAATGCAATTTCCAACATGCAAACGTTTGACAGCAAAGGTAAGTATTCAAAGTGATCTATTACACAACTCCTTATAAAGTCAATAACTGTTTTATGGAAGCTCCTAGAGGGCACCTTAACTGGAGAATTTGTGTGCGTGCGTTTCTCTCACCCCTTTGCAACGGGCCTGCAGGTCAACAATCTGAGCGAGCAGTGAGCTGATCTCCTCCTGTTGTCGGAGAGTGTCCTCCACCTTCCGCGCTAGCTCATCTGACAGGTCGACCACCTGCTTATTGACAGATGCTGAAACACACAGGTCCAATTAACACACCTGCCACTCATCCTCTGTACACCATTTTCATATGGTGAAACAAGACTGGTTACACTTACTGAGTTCTTCCACACACACCATCATCAGCTCCTGTTCTTGCTCCTCGTAGTTGGTTGTCTCCGTTGTGAGCTCATTGGCCTGCAGGGAAAAATGTCATACTTTTAACGCTAGAGTAAAGTAAAAATGTAAATACATAAATCTTTACATCTGTGATTTTATTTTTTTTTATTCAATCAACAGCACACATTATTCAAACCTAATGCTAACACACATAAAAAAAAAGCCATGATGAACAAAAAGGTGTTACTCCCCCAAATACTGACTGAACTCCTTAGCAGCACATAGATGGGTTATTTATACTTAGACATGTGTTTAGTTTGCATTATATAATGAGATTGCGTACTCCATGTTTGGTTTTCTGCATATAAATGTTACTGTATGAATGAAAATATTTGTTTAGGATTAAAGCTGAATGTAGTCAGTAATAAAACAGTGTTAAAAGCTAGATTTTATACAGACATGAACATAACAATTATGATATGATGTGTTTTATTTTATCTTGTGTATTTGAGTTACCTTCCTTTCATTTCACTCTGCGTTTGCACTGTTGCATACCTCTAATCTCAGTTTGCGGTTCTCGTCCTCTAAACCCTTCAGTTTCTGGTGGAGGAAGTCATAGTGGACGAAGTTGCTGAGCGAACTGCTGGACTCGTTCCTTTTTATTCTACAACAACAAAAGAAACATTTACTTGCATTAGACATAATTCTGTTTTTCTCACTTGGAGAGAGAAAGCTGAGCTTGCAAAACACATGTAACCAGAACAGGTGGGCAATTACCAACTGTAGATAGCTGAACAAATCAAGTTTGTTGAGTGAGTGAGTGGTAATAAATGTACTTAAAATGGTTAAATAAGCTGCTGCAATGAAAATAAATTAAAGGAGAATAGCAATGAATTGGGACAATGATTAACTGCTGATGGGAAAGAATTAAGCAGGAAGCTTAGCTGGAAATTTTGAGAAGATTAGTGGAGATGTTCTGACGTATGTTTACTTACAGACACAGCAACACAGGAACATTCATCACCATAAACATCTCTGTTATTTCACTGAATAACTTTAGCAGGAAGGCTATTTTGAAATTGTTTTGGGATAGAGTGTTCCAAGCACAAATGATTGTTTTTTTTATGTTAAAAGAACAAGAATGAAGTAGTAGGAGGATCTTGTCTGTTATTACACTGTTTATTGAAAGGAGGAGGCTCTATCCTCTTATGCTCTGAAAAGGAAATAAGATGTGTATTTTCCAAGTAATTAGTAGCATGAATTACAGTAATACATACTTACTTTGAAGGATATCTAGTCACAAACCTATACCTAAACTTTGTTTTAAAACAAACTGAATACTATATGTTTGCATGGAGCGAAATATTTCCAGTGGCATCATTCATCAACCTCTGTGTACTGCGTGTGTGTGTGTGTGTGTGTGTGTAAACTTACAGTGAGTGCGATTCAGCGTTCTCTATTTCCTCAGTGCTTGCATAGAACTGAAGGAGGTCGTCTCGCATCGAGAGCTCATGGCGAAGTTGAGCGATCTAGAAAACACCGTAAGCTAATGTCACTTGAGCTCAGCAGGCTGTATAAACACCAAATTGTGTATTCCAGTGTGACTGCAGAAGTGTGTATCATGAGGCTTGTTTATACCTCTTCCTTTGCAATTTCAAGCTGTTCATCCAGCATTTCATTGCGTGCGGTTAGTTCCTGGTTCTGCTTCAGGAGGGATTGACCGATTCGCGCTGCTAACTCGAGATCCCGCTCTTTCTGCAAAGTGATAGAAATACTGCATTTATTCTGCTGAGCAACGCAGAATGACACACATCATACACAACCACTGTTTTAGTAAGTAAGTGCAGCTGTATTTTCCTCCCCAAATGTTATTTACTTTCTTTTTACCGCACTGACAGAAACAAGAGTGACACACAGTGACGGTCAGTGAGGCAGATCAATTTAATCCTCTATAATCCCATTCATCTGTCTTTCACTTACCTCCTCCAGCAGGTGGGTGACTGCTTTAATGTCATGATACGTCTTGGTGATCTGGCCCACTCTGTCTGAGCACAGCACTGAGGGAGGAGGGAGAGAGGGATTTCATGAATGGAGGCAGAGGCAGAGCTGTAGACAAAGGATGCTGGAACAACACAGCCTTACTGACTGTTTTGATGAGAGGGAGTTTTGAGCCATAATAACCTCCAGATGGTAGAGCATTTTTTGATTCTGACTGGTCTCTTCCTCTATTTGTATTTTTCAACCAGCTAGTTAGCAAGCCAGCATCGCTACAATAGAAAATGACTAGAATGTGAGTCTGAATAAAGTTTGATATGTTTGAAATCAATTTATGCTTTGATTACGTTGGGCGATATTTCTTTTTCTGAGCAGTTAGCACATTTTCAAGAATTAACTTCATCCCGTGTCCGGTGCTGTTCAGTGTCTTTCCCTTAGATTTTCTTTTAAAAGGGTCCGGTTTTCTGTTGAATTTCTGAATGCACTGCACTGATGAAAATGGATTAAGGATTAAAAATGGATTATTATTCATAGATTACATAATCATATAAACACATGAAGCAAGAGAGGCCGCCCTCATGAACATGCCCTTGTCACAAAATCATTATTAAATATTAACCTGTAAAAACACCAACGACACATCCAGACTAAAAGCAGCATTGTTTGTATGAATGAGTGCCTCGGGCAGATCTCGTCTCTCCTTTGAGCTTCCACAGCTACAGACCACAACATCTCCATGTGGTCAGCCAGATACTGATCCTCTTAGCTTGATCCTTTTTAGCCCAGATAAGACGCCAATAAAGACCTCGTTCTCCTGGATACCAATATAGCTGTGTCCACACCAGCAGGACAGTGACTGGCTACTGACCTGCAACTTTGTTTACATTCCTGGAGAATGGTTTGTTTATGTCTACTTCAAAGTCAGTGTTCAAGGTCAACAAGTCATTTTCTCAGTTCAGATCTAGTATTGAAGTTGTTCAAAATTAAGGCCATTAATGTATAATAGTTTGTAATTTGCTAATTACACACAAGGTTTTGCCTACCAGTGACTTAAGTTATAAAAATAACCCATTGAGTACAATACTGTGTTTTAATTTTGTGCTACTTTTGTAATACTACCTGCAATTGTAGGTTTCAGGCTTTTGGAGCCAAACTTGTTGACTTAAGATGCATTCTGTCTGTATTTGTCTGGACTAGCGTGCGATTCGGAAATCAGTTGTGTAATCTTTCTTCAGTTAAAAGCTTAGCTGGTCTTTAAGATTTGGGAAGTTGCCATGCAGCAAAGTAATTAGATTGAGGTCCTTTAATTTGGCCTGGAAACACAATGATTGGATAGTGGTATCTGTGTCTAATCAGCCTAATGGAAAGAACCTAACCTGGCCTGAACTACTGCATTGTAAAATATATTGTAGTATGAACTGTATCACAATAAATCATGTCTATAGCACTGTGAGGTGATGTACTCTAAGGTAGAGGTCATGTTTCCATTTTCAAGTAGATTAAAGAGTAATGCAGAAACACAAATGTTTAGTGAAAACATTTCAACCTGTCATAAATACTCACAAAGCTCAAGAAGACAGCAAACAGTGATAGCACAAGTTGAATCTGGGACTCCAATATGACAAAACTGTCAAATCATGATGGAAACTCTCCTAATTTAACTTCAGAGCTCACTGTTGTCTATGTTACAGGTCCACTGCCAGGATCTCGTGTTTCCCTCAAGGACTTGGACACGGGGCAAATTAACTGGAACAGTGACTCTCAAATAATAAGGAATAGGGGTGCGATATTCATAAGGATGAATATCGCATAAGGATTCATATTCATAAGGATGAATATCGCACCCCTGACTAACCCCCGCCTCCCAAATGCCAACATCAACTCTCAAATTCTGAAGTACTCAGAAAATAGACATTTGAACATGTTAACTTGGTAAACTCCATCTGCTGATAAAAATCCTGTAATGTGATCAAAAACTCTACAACACCAAATGGACCTTGAACAAGCTTGACTGATTATTTAACCTATAAAAAAGGTATAATAGATGTACGGTCATCATCCACCTTCCTATAGTGTCAACATGTCTATTTCTGATCTTGCCAGCTGGTTAAAAACATTCACTAATTTACTAACCAAACAATCTTGTTAATAAACAGTAAACTACACCCTAAATTACACATAATTATGTTGAGTCTTCTTTAGCACTGAATGGCTTATTGTGTAAAGTGAATTCAATACATTAACAAAAGTTGAAAAGATAATAGCTCAACTTCAACCTCAAATCCTATTGCACCAAAAGCAAAGTCAGCAGCAGGACTGTCAGTGGGTTTCACTTACTGTCGTGTCCACACACACTCACTCACTCACACACACACACAAAATAAGAACCAGTACATTTTCACTGAAGAATGAACGAGATGGAAAGAATGTTCACATCACGTTATGTCAGACGTTTCGTGCTCTCTTGAATGGCTTAAGCCATTCACCTTCATTCAGCAAGCACTTAAACCGTATATCCAAAAAGTGTCACCAGCCGAAATCCTCGATCTGTTTCCTCTTGACCTGACCGCTGCCGCAGCATAGAGCAGGTCAAGAAAAGAGACGCTGTTATGCCAGCTAGAGGTTTTAGGGTTTGGGTTGATCTAAATCCAGGCTGCTGCCCTGAACTGCTAGCCTAATACTGCACCTATGGATGAACCTTGCTGACTTAGGCATACTTATGACGTCTGTTATGCTGTGGGGATCAGACGGGCATGGGTGAGCTCCAAGAAGAAGATTCGCATTCATCCCCTATTGATCTCTATTGTTCTGAAGGTGCATCCTTCACAAGATTGGCAGGAGCAAAACTTTGTCTCACAGAGCTTCCTGCAGTAAATCTGTCTGGATATTTTTAGAATAATTAAAAAGTGTATGCACATTTTATTCTTAATAGTAACATTAATCTCACTATAAAAAGTCAGATCCATCACTGATCGGTAATAAATTTGAGCTGGACTTTAGCCTAATGCTCCTGGCAATACACAACAACATATCAAAAAATAACTCAAGTATTTGTGCACCAAAAATATATGTGTGATTCTATTGCATAATAGAGAGACCAAAAATTTGCCAAGAGTGTCGTTTTTTTTCTGGAAGGGTGCCCGTGTCGCAGCATTCGGTTGCCAGTGCCCGTTTAGACAAAGAATGGCCGATACAGAGGAGGAATAGAGGAGAATCCCTGCTAACATTAACTGATCTCTTAAAGCAGAAGATGTTTTTTTAAACACACGTCAACTTGACTACACTATAAGCCGGGCAATACACATTTGTCCAACAACAGTCGTATGTTAGGAAGAGCGTTCAGGTCATTCCTTCAATCTCATTTGATCAACTTAATTCACAAAAGAACAATTCCCCTTTCAGATTCAAAACATTTCAGGGAGAAAGAAATACCCCCAAAAAATGGAAACTATACATGTGCACAGGGCTTAATGGTGCTGCTGCAGCATGTGGACACACACACACACACACACACACACACACAGGCTTAGTGACCTTCACCACACTAACAAGGAAACAGTCAAGCAGATATATATACACAAAACTTTTCACATCTCTTTCGTGTTGAACTAGATGGAGTCTTCTGACAAGAGCTGCAAAAGCAAGCATTTTGTTGGTATCATCATTTGTGGGATGCACCTTCAGTGATTTCACTGCACCATAAAATATTAAAGCACTTAGATAACTAAGACCTTGTCCATGCAACTTACAACAAAACACACTAGACAGCAATATCTGGCTTTAAGGGCAGAATAAAATTAACCATGACACTTCATATTTGCAAACTGCATTATTTCATTACTCTCTCTTCAAGCATGAGCTCTACAGATCACTAATCAGTCTTTTTACTACTTGCCTGTTCTCATCCTCACCTTGTGTCACCTCCCTGCAAAGGCTATCCTTGTTGTTGTTGTTATTGTTATTGCAGTTGGTGCCTATCTCCTCCACCTCTACTACTTCCTCTACAAGACTGGTTGTGCTCTTCTCTTCATCCTCCTCCTCAGATGCAGAGGAGCTCCACACCTCCATAGCAACCAGAGAAAAACTGCCCTCCGTCTCTCCGTACATCGGTTAAATCCCTTGTTCTTCTGATCCTACTGGGTGTTTGCTGTGCTGTGACACACCAGTTGTGTCTCTGGCATCATTCTGCTGGCCTGTGTTTCAGAAAACCATATCCATTTGCCTGCATGAGTGGGTGTGTACGCCTGTGTTTGTGTGTGCAAGAGAATCTGAGCTGCTTGGTGTTAATATATAATCCCTCACACTGTAAGGGCCATCTGTCGTCATGCCTGCCTCCGTTCACCTGGCCACGTTGGACTACCGGGTAAGAAAAGAGGGGAGGAAGAGGAGGAGGGGTGAAGGAGGAAGGAAAATCTAAACCACGAGCCATAAAAGCTGATATTGATCACACTGACATTGTTCAAGCACAAAAAGACAAGTATTATATAGCTGGAATTGAAAAAACAAGTCAGGATGGGAAAGCTTATGCAGCATTCAAGGATGCTGCATTAAGCCCACCAACCCCTGTGAAACAGAGGGAGATGGTAGGTTCCGCCCATGCTGATGGCTGTTCTTGTTCTGCACACAGACGTAATACCAGACAGAGAGCTCTGCGTCATACTGGTGCAGACAGAGCCACACCCACTTTACAGGGGTCTGATGGAAGCAATTGAGTGAATACATTTTATGATTTTATTTGTTTTGATAGGGATTATTGAGAGGAAACCACAAAAGTTGATATTTTTATAATGTGTAAATAAGACTATAGATTTCAAATTATTAATACAATAATTTTTACTTAAAAAAACATAATTTCTATGTTCTGAGGCTCAGAGGGTTAATTTCTGTGATACAATGGTAACTAAATATTCTGTTTTGTTAGATTATGAAGGATAGATTGTTTCTCATTGTGTATCATTTCATTCTGATCAAAATCCAAACAGGACAAATACATTTCCAGTGATTTTCCATTGAAATCCACTGTGCTGTGATCATCCGTGGTCATTCTGCACCGAGTCATCACATTCACTGTCCTGTGTCTGTCGGCCCCACGCCCTTGCAATTGCTACCCTAGCCACAGCAGTTTTCTTCAATCAAACATTAACCTCCTCATCAATTTTTCAACCACAAACGGACTCTATCCAGGTCAAATGCGCACGCAAGAGACAGTGGAGACACAACTTTCGCCATCTGTTGTATTCCAGTTCTTCCTGCGCTCTTTGCATGCATTTTTTGTTCCTGCAGAACATCTAAATGAAACATATACAGTTCAAGTTGAAATAATATCAGCCTCTACGGGAATGGTTCAAACAGTTGAAGTTAACAGACCAGCACAATAACAATAGAACTAAAAACGTTGCAAGGGAATATGGGTTATAAGGAAGTAATGTCTCAAGTACTTTGACCACTATAACAAGCAAATACGTGACAAGGACTTCGTAGTCCTTGAGTCACCTGCCATTTATAAAATCAACACACATCATATCACATGGATGACTGACCTTGCATTAATTGTTTTAACTTACTATTGACATAATCATGAGGGGCAGTTTGTTGCAAAAACACAGGCAAGTACAGTTTGAATAAAATCTTGATGAAATCAACTCAACCGACCACAGTAACTTAATGTGAGCACCATATCACCAGTAACAAGTTTCTGCATGCGTGAGAGCTGATATCACGGGTCAATATTTGACTGAGGAAACACCCTGAAAGGTCATTTGTCACATTGCTTTGGCTGCCCCGCACAGCAGTCACATAGTGCTCATATTTCCGATCTAATATATAAACCATTCACCAACCATAAACCAAAAATCATTATTTATTAAAGATCAGACATGCTCTATCCGTCGTCTGCCAACTCCCCACTACAAGAGCAAACATGCTGCAGAAAAAATAACTTAGGTGAGTTCCCTCTGCTGCAGTTTGGTTGGTTCGTGGGTATTTCTCATGCACTCCTTGTTGTGGATCAGTGATTTTGCTGTCATAAATGTTATTGTAGGTGTGGCTCTAGTGCTTCCACAGAACAGTGGTTGTATTATTCAAAGCTTTTTGATTTGTGGTTTACTCACTTCACGCCTACAATCATACTATTCACATGCTATGTGAAAGAAAATAATATAACACAATTAATTATTTTTCCAGTAAACCTTTTCAACAAACAAATCTGTGTTGTGCAACTACTGAAACTGAAAATTTGCATCCAAGCATTTAAAAAAACACTCTGCCAAAAATCTTATTCTGCAGCAGCCATTTTGGGGCAATGCAACAAGCTGTCAACACAAAATCAACTTACATAAAGTTGATATGGTGAATTTGTTAGCAAAAAGTTGTCTATTTACACATTCAGCAGACACAGAGCAACATGGTCATTCATTTGGAGTCGTGTTGCAGTCCATTTGATGTTGAGATACTAAATGCTCTTCACCAGCTGGCCGCCCACTTTGTTGGTGTGCTATGTGGTGCTGAGCAGGTAGTGTACACGGTATGGGGCTAATTTCCTGCCAAAACGTAACAAACAATTCACTAACAATCAGTGCAGAAAGATTGTGCCAAAAGTCACTTGATATTTTTTGTCTTTGTAGGATATATTTTTTTTTAAATGCTGTATCAGTTTCTGAAGCATCATGTATGAGAAATATGTTGTGTATTAGTTAGAATGGGTATATTTTGTATTTCTAAAACAGAATGCATTAGTTTGCAAACCACACCATGTTAGAAAATCATAGGGCATGTATAAAATGTGTTTTGTTTGTTTGTTAAGTTTCTGCTGGAAATTAGCTCCATATCTGAGGGTTTGTCAGAGCTTTTTGACTGAAAACAGCAGCTGGAAACAAGGTTGATGAGAGTACTGAGTAGGGATGGGGATCGAGACCCGGTTCCAAAATTTCTCAAAACCCGAAAATCAATAAGGTTCGAGCTTATCGATACTGCTATCGAGACTTACAGGCTATGATGTAACGTTATGTCTCGAGCGTCAAATGTGACTTAATTTGAAACGCAATGGATAAGAAAATCATCAGACTGCAGTCTCTGCCTGCTCTCTGTCAGCTCCCACACACACAAACACACACACACACACACAGACACACACACACACAGACACACAGGCAGCAGAGCGAAAGGGTTAAGTTAACTCCAAACTACTGTAACGTTAGTTGATGACAGCTACACTCGTTACTGTAAGTACATGCAATAAAACCTTCGCAAGTAAAAAGACAATACTTTATCAATACACCTGTCTGTAAGGTAACGTTAAACATGTAGAAATGGTTAATTTAATCATCTCTGTCCTCAGTATCTCATCCAGTATGTTTTATACAAGCACAGCTAACGCTAGCTTTGCATTAGCCAAATGTTACAAACAAGCTAAATAGAAAGCTGTCTGTCTGGAGCACAGACTGGTCTGTAGTCTTAAAACTAGGTAACGTTACCTGCAGCCAGCGAGAGACGAGGAGGGACTGATACAGACTGATGTTATTCTTTCTAAACATCACTCACTAATGTTACTTGTGATGTCACATAAAGTTATTGAGTAACTTTGCTGTTGTCTAGAAACAACATTTAGCCGTATTTAAAATATTAAATTAAAAACAACCATGCAGTTAATATGTACACTTCAATATATGTTTATTTATCGCAAGTGATATGTCATCTCAATATATAACGTTGTCGCACATTGAATATTTTCCTCACAGGCCTACCTCAAGCCCGTTGGTTCTGGTCTTATGATCCTCATCCCTAGTACTGAGACAGAATCAAAACATTAAAGTGATGAACTATTAACAATGAACTAAAAAGTGTTAAAACACTCTGTAGAGTTAATGGACTACTCGGTTGGGGGTGGGTTTGTACCTATGAGCGATCCCTTCCGCATAGTCATTTGATGTAATGTTAATATAAAAATACTTATTATCGCAGCTTTAACAACCAATTAGCTGGTGTGCCACATTGCGCAGGTTACTGTTATATGTAGGGATTTCTATGTAACAGTGATGATTATTTCAGACCACCAGAAACCTTAGTCACAGAAAGGACTGGAAAAGAGTTTTTGATAAATGACACATGCAAAAACAGTGCAAGACTGGAATTAAAACAAACAGATGGAACAGAGATGGAAGCAGTAAGCCAGACTAAAGAACACTAAAAACAAACACCACCATATGCTACCTGACAAAAAGAGTCAAACACTGCAGCAAGGCACAATCTGCATGGACCAGGTTAGTCTGTCCTGGTCCTGATAGGAACATGTGGCTTGGCATCAGCTTGGTACAGCCTGTCTAGCATTATGGGGACGCAGTCATACAATCTCATGAAATCCTATCACTATAAAGCAAGGTCATCAGGAGTAAAGGACAGCTTAGAATAAAGTTCAGATCACACAAGCAAACTGTTAAAAGTAAGTTATTTTGTAATATTTGATAGTCACCCTATACATATAGATATATACATATATACATATATACAGATAGATAGATAGATAGATAGATAGATAGATAGATTGCTGATCATTTCTCGATTTTAAATATCTGAGCAGATGTCCACAGTGTTTTAGGGTAGTCACTACATATGGTGAAAAATTATCGCTACAAAGGCAAGTCTTATAGTCATAGTTTTGTCAAGATGTGGATGCACACAATCTCCCATCATCCCAAGTCTAGACGACCTATGTATCTAATTATAAACCCTTTCTGGGTTGCTGTGGCAACTGACTTGCCAACAATGTGGCGTCTGGGATATGGCGCCTGCAGTCCTCCAGTGGAAACTGCTTAGGAAGCCAAGTGACGGCAGGTTAATCGGCTTGGTGACATTTGACATCTGTGACTCAATTGGTGAAGAGTGTTTGGAGGAGAGGGGAGAGTAGGCTTCACACACTCTGGCCATTATAAACACACACAAAATACATGGGCAAAATACAAGAGTAAATGAGAAGGCAACATCAACCTACTGATCAGCTGTTTTCATTATCAATTAATCTACAGATTTCTGTCTTAAAATACTGAACAATGGCCACCATAATTTCCTAACACCCAAAGTGTATACATCAACATCTTGTTATACCTACACAAAACTTCAAAACCTAAAAATATTCACACAAATAAAAAATCTGTGAAATTGAAAAGCTGAAACAAAAGAAAGTTAAGAATTTTTACTGGATAAATGACAAAAGATTCTTTGATTATTGTTACAGTTGCCAATAATTTTTCTGTTGATTGACTAATCGATTAATCGTTTCAGCACTGAATCCCTTATAAAGGTCAGTCTAGTTAAATGCCCTCTCGCAAGAATCCTAAACCATGTCTTTGATCTAATAAGATTTTTCAATTGTAGGTACGAAATATAGTGTTAAGAATGCTAATTGTTCTTCTTGTGGTTAAATTTTGATTACCCAATCTGAACTTGGAGGTGCAACCATTTAATTTAACCATTTTTCCCAAACTTAGGGTCCCGGCCCAAAAGGAGTCACAGGCCTGTTTTTATTGGGCGAAAGTAAAATGCATAACAATGCTCTGCAGTGCTTCATTTGTAAATCAGGAGGTCCTGGAACACAGAGAGTCTGCCGGTGGGTCAGAGGAAGAGAAATAGTCAGGGAATGCATATAAAATCCACAGTACCCAGAGCACATTGGACAACACAGAGCTGTTCAAACTAAACTAAACTAAACTAAAACGGTCATCACAAACACAAGTATCATTTATTCACGTTTATTAAAATCAGATCATTCACAATAATCACTCAAAAACACAGCTGTTTCTCTCTCTCCTTTCCCCTTCACTTCCCTGCCCTCTGTGGTCGCTGCTACAAACGTGGAAATGGAATCAGGGCAGAAAGTTCTTTTACCAACCATGTAAAGCAAACAGGCGAAGAAACCAAACTAATCTCCGGTCTCCTCCGCTCCGTTTCAGTACTATGGACAGCGCCGTACCTACACACATACATCCAATTTAGCCAGCCTCATTTCACCATTTCACAACGTAACACCCACTTGCTCAGCTGTGGGGTTTACAGTAATCATGTGCCAAAATATTTAGACACCAAAAATCAATAAATCACTTCCCTGCATACAGTGCAGCTACCAGTATATGTGGGGCTTGCAGATTATGAACCACTCCAGCTGACTGAATTTGTTGCCTTACTTCTATGACCTCATTTTTCAGTGCGATGTTATGAGGTGGTGAGAAACTTTACACTCTGACACTAATGCACTTACTTACTCCTGGTTTCTTGTGTTCTTTATCAGTAGTTTATACATAAACATGTTATGGCAATTCATTCATTTCTTTTGGTATGTTTGGGTCCTGGGGAGACACCAAACGTCTCTTTTGGGTGTCGTATTGAAAAGTACCCCTGACTTAAAGGAATACATCAGCATGTACATGTAATAAAGTAAGCAAAAGCCCAATCCACAACCGACTCTTTATGTTCATAACCTTCCTTTTAAATTTGTTCAAACATTTGCTGAATACAAAGCTGCTGTGGTCCATTTCTTAGTGACACATCAACTTTCAACAACTTCACTTGTGCAAAGATTGAACTTGTAAAACAAAGGCTGACTATAAACACAAACACAGTGGTGACAGTTGGGTTGATCCCTACTTTCTCATATGTACTTCCCTGTGAAGACACACAGTCTGCATTGTCACACCAAACAGATTCTACTGATGAATATGAGTTACAGGGAGGGAGTTACAGTCTGCATTCATCTAGTAATTGGCATTTTTCCTCAGCTATAAAACATCTTGGAACCAATGTAAGTATGAAAATACTGCAAACAAATGCCCTAAAATCAGGTCCAACCATTTAATGGTGCTCCTCCCCAGACTTTAAAACAACACACGAGTCACCCTGTCCCAAAATATTTCACATTCAAAAGGTCAAAAGGTCATTTGGGGAACATGAAGTTGGGCTTAATTTCAATAAAGCCCACAGACCTGACACTGGTTATTCCATCAGTACACACTATGCTATATGTTAAGTGTAAATAAAACAGTACTTACAGAAGTACTTAAACGTCTCTTCAATCTGCTCATACGTGAGTCCCAGAACGACTTCCTGTGGCAGCAGAGGGGTGTGCAGCCAGTCGTCATTGTCGTATCCAAACACACTGTCTGCTCGAAGAGTGTAGTTGGGCTGACCCTCTGACAGGAGACTCACTATCTCCAGCTCTGGCAGGTCTGAACAAAGGTCTGTGTGGAGTGTTGGTTTGCACATGTGTGCATTTGTATAAAGATGAATAATTATGTATGTTGTTTGTGTATGAGGACATAAAAAACAAAAAAAGAGAAAGGAAGCTGAACTTTAACAACCACAACTAGGATGACATGTCATCTACTATGACACACTGCCCTCTACTGATAAATATATGAACCTACAATGTTCTCTTACTTATAAGTGTATACTATTCAAAATATAACTGAATTAACCTTTGGTGTAATTTGAAGATTGATGAGTAAGTAAAGTCATTCTTACATTTGTTGTACATTTTTACAAGAGGCACTTATATATATATATAATTATCTTTTAACGAGATGGGTCTATGCCCCCTTTGTGACTTACCGGTTAAAGTTGACACATCGTGGCGAGGTTGTTGTTCCAAGTCCCTGAGCTTCCCAGGTGAACTAAGATGAAGAGGCTGCGGGGCCACATCCGGGGCCCCTGACGCCTCGCCCCGCCCCTCATGGAGGGAGAAGGCTGTCTGGGAGTCCAGGTGGGCCTGTGGGGGCCAGGAGGGAGGAGAAAGATGAGCAGAAGGAGAAGAAGAGGAGGGAGAGGAGGCAGAGTGGGACAGCTTGACTGGGGCTGTAGGGTTCAGGGTGAAGGCAAACTCAGAGCTGTCCTGTGTCCTGCTGTGGGACTGAGGCCCCCTGGTGGCTCAGGGAGACAACGCAGGCTTCCAGGACATCAGGCTCTGATAGGCTGAGAAGGTAACGACTAGATAAAGGAAAATACAAAAGAGGAAGAGAGGGATAGAAAGAGAATAGAAACATTAGAATGTTAAAGAAACTACAGTATGTGCATAAATGTCTTTCATAGGGCTGCACAATACTCATATTACAATTACTCTGCTAAATACTGCACTTTTGTCATATACAGTACTTTATGCCCAGACTGCAATATGATGTGACAACAGTTAGTTTTCAATCTATTTTCAGACATTTGACGTTTTTATTTTACCATAGGAAATTTCATAGACCCACAACTGATCTGAAAACAAAGTATATAACTTCTCTCATACTAGTAGGTGCAGCCAAATCTGACATGGAAATTGGGGTGAGTCATTCTGTATTTTTCAATTTTTTATTATTATTTCTGCAGCTCTCCTCTACTATAATTTATCTGTGATAAAACTAGCAAATAAAGTTTCATATCATTGTTATAAAAAATAAAACTCCAATGACGCATAATATGTTCATTGCATACGTTCAATGCCCACTTGCACAACAGCCAGCTCCATAAAGAAATGGTTTTCCTAGTTTGGTGTGGAGGAACTTGACTGGCCCGCACAGAGCCATGACCTAAACCCTATCCAACACCTTAGGAATGAACTAGAACGGAGATTGCGAGCCAAGCCTTCTCATCCAACATCAGTGTCTGACCTCACAAATGCTCTTCTGGATGAGCACTTCCCACAGACAAATCCTGCAGAAAGCCTTCCCAGAAGAGGAGAAGCTGTTTTAGCTGCAAAAGTGGGACCAAATGCATATAAATGCCTTTAGATTTAGAATGGGATGTCATAAAGGTAATGTGTAGATGTCCCAGTACTTTTGTCCACATAATGTATATTTAGCTTCTCCTTGTGTTACATTTTAAAAGGTAATTAACATTAGAAAAAACTCCCTCACACTTAACTGACATTTAAAAACCAACACAGGGAAAATAAAGCTACTGAACAACACTTGTTACCTAGGCTACAATTTCTAATACATCTAATGATGTAGGTGATTGAGACTCATTTATTTTTAAAAGATTGGAACTCTCCCAGCATCAAACCTTTTGTGTGATCAAAGCGCCTTTCAATAGAAGCAAAGCAGGGCCTGGCCTTCTGTCTGTGTTTCAGGGTCACAACGATAGAGTTACCACTGCCTGAAGCAACAAACAGATCGGGTTCCTCAGCATAACTGTAACACACGTTTAAAAACACACACAGCGTAAGGCAACGCATGCTGTATGAGCTACACACAGAACGCCAGTAGCTACCTCTAGGAAAGTGTGTGTCTTATTCCATAAATGTCAGTCAAGATTTGCACTGATCTGCAACTGATTCAGTACTGTCCCTGACATTACGTGCCATTTATGCACCCCATTTTAAACCTTGCCCAATAACATACATAAACAATTGCAATTGAACAAACATACACCAAAAAATTAACATTATAATGTTTGTTGAAGAGAAATTCTGCCTACTTCTTAATAAAACTCTATCAACGTATCTGTGTATGCAAGTTTCTGCACACAAGCGGGACATGAAAATCTGACAACATATGTGTGGTAACAATGATATTTGGGTGGCAATGGTGCAGTGGATAAGACACATGATCTGGTGTGGGAACCCCCGATTCAATTCCCGCTGTCATTTAACAATGTTTCCCTGAACTTAGCCTGGTTTGCTCCAGTGTGTGTGACCTCTGACATATATAGCAATTGGGAGACGCTTTGGATAATAGCATCACCTAAATGACTAATTATTATTTAGCAACATGTGCAGTTTGAGCAGTCTCTGTCCCTCAGGAATGTCCCATCCCTTATTATTCATACAATTTACTCAATCTCGGCTATTTCCTTCTTCCCAGTGCCTGTAGTCCAGCACGTTCGAATGTGCTGACACTGCCTCTCTCACCCTCATCACTCCTGTGCACAACCACAATGCCACCTGTTGCAGATTGGCTGGAAAAATGTCGTGTGGCAAGGTCCACACCACTTTCTTTCTTTTCCATTTACAGAACCAGGGCTGTGTAGGAAAACTGGATTGTTTTTTCAGAGCACAAACAAAACAGAGAGCTAACAAACCGTGAGGAAATATCCACTGAATTTAATAAAAAGTGTTATGGATTACAATCACTTACTATGCCTTTAAGCCACAATTTTTACCTACACCTTTGTGAAGGTGACCGCATTTGTTTTAGCTAGGTGTACCTAATAAAGTGATAAATGAGCGTATAATGTATGAAGTTCTGTCTTTAAAGATAATAGAAACAGATTCAATATTATAAATCTGACGACCATATTTCCATACTATAACATCATAGCAACCATAAATGTGGTAAAATACAAAAAAAACACTACAGGCATAAAACAGAATGTTGTGTGAATAAGAGTGAAAGACACAATACACATAGTATATGTGTTTTTAACACTAATCCTGCAGATTTTTTTGTATAGAGAGTTCAAAATGCTGTGGATTATTGTTACAATAATGCTCTTTTCATAAATTCAAGTAGTATAAAGGCTTTATGCTTTACCCAGGCTGGTAACAAAAGGACACTTGATACCTCAACCCAGTTATTGCAGCCAATAAAACATGCTAGCTAGAGGGCAAAGGGTTAGGCCTAACTTAAGCAACAGCTACTAGACCATCATGGTAAGAACAGTGCGGGCAGGTGCACGTACACTGAGAACATATCATAACACCCCCCCCCGCCCATATGAGTATCAGTATCACCACCAGAAGCCCTTTATTTCCCTTTATCCTTGTTGGTCTCCTTTGCTCACCACTGCACAATCCATCCAATCAGATGAGTGTGTTGGTTTGTGGCCAACCATTCCCCATCAATCCTCTCTCTCTTATACATGTCAGAGCAGTAAGACCACCTGCACACAGTTTAGCTTTTATATTCACCCCCCTCAGACGGACCATTACTGGCAGTAATCTAGGTTTTCAAACTAAATCTAGGTTCTTTTGTGGGTATAAATATATAATATAATATAATATACTCAAGGAGAGAGAAAATGCAGGCATGTCGGAGCTTTTCACATTAACACTGTCAGTTCCAATTTAGCAGTGAGTCGAACACACTGTGGGTTTGTTAAGCATGCAGCCAAGCGAGACCCTGTCGGCCTCTTAGGGCGGACACTCGGAGACATGGTTATTAGCCATCTCTCCCTCTTTTGTGTTCTCAACTTTTTAATGTGCTAGGCAGGATGCCAGAGGGAAAAAAACCCCCAAAACTTTCAGCTGAGTAATCAGCTAGAGTATCATTCATGCAGAACATAATAGAGCTGCAGAGAAGATTAGCACACCAATGCCTGGGATCAGAATAACTGGCCAAAACAGACTTAAAATGCCATATTTTTTTGAAAGTACATTGTAACCAGAATCAATGTGACATTAATCTCATAAAATATTATCAAAATGAATGAATGAAATCACATGAACTACAGCAAGAAAGGCTAACAAGTCACACCTGAAGTTAAACTGTGTAGCAGAAAATCCTGCCTTTGACCTTGGAGCCTGGACTCGACCTGAACTCCACAGAGGCAAAGGGTGTTTGAAAAGCTCTGCGCTGGTACTCTGTGCAAACAATGCCCTTCCAGGAGGGTGTGTACGTGAGCAGAGGCACACAGGAGTGAAAGAGAGAAGGAGGGGGAGGGGAAGGGAGCAAGGATGCACTAAAGGGGTTGAAGGAGGGGTGCATTTGCGACATGGGTACTCAGTCACCAGCACATTGAGTACGTCAAGCTGAAACCAGTGAGTTTAAAAGCCAGTGTTAATGAACTTTAATTAAATGAATATCCGGTAGTCAGCATGTCCTTGGTTGTTACTTGTTCACATGACCAAGCTTCAAATTACCTTTCATAAGTTCTTGTACCAAATAATGCCAAGAGATTGGATGCGTAATGCAAAATAATAAGAGGTGGATTAAAGGGAATGAGAAGAAAAGTAAAAACACACTCTCTGTTTTGCCTCAACTCAACCTAAAAGTGTAAAAATAACTTATAGGGCAGTCTACAGTTCTTCAAGGTTATCTAACAAGACAGTTAACAAGATTCAACAGAAAATTTGATTTGTTTACTTCTTAAAAATCTACAAGAACATCTGTAAGATTAACAATAGCAGTAACTTGGACCTTAGCTTAAAGGTCTTTTAATTCCTTGGAGGGCAAATAAACTCACTTAACTCCAGCATGCACCACACTATTTAGGCCTTCAGAATAATGCAGACATGGTCTGGATAACTGCAGCCATTTAATGATTAAATGTCATTAGAGTTTTACAGGCCGAGCTAAGAGGTTATGTATACAGACATGCGTCAACATATTCAGCTCTACTGCACATTTAGCATTAACTACTTTTTTGATGATAATGCGAATGATGTAACCATCTTACAATACTGTGTGACACTATAAAGCCAGTACAACAGAAAATCATCAAGTTCTTCAAAAGCCCCACTTCCACTAAATTTAACAACATCCCCTGACTTATCAGTGGAAAATGGCAAGATCCAAACATCAGGCTGGATTAAATATTTGAACCTAATCAGCACAGGATAAGATGACCCAACAGTGTGTCTACAGTATGTTATAGTCCAGAGATAAGCAGCCGTGCATCAGTTCATGATCTGAGGACACCTTCAAGTCCACAAACAATTCAGTATACCTGCAACCTGCGTGCACACACACTGCATCATGAGACATTTATGGACCAATCAAACTGCAATATGATGTTTAACAAGATCAACTAACTCAATATTCTGCTGCTCAGGTAACAATATCTGAAACATTCACACATTGATCCTTTACTCTATTTGAATCCAAACAAGACAGGCAAAAATGTAAGAATAATTTATTAGTGGTGTTAAAAATAAAATATACTGAATTAATAGCTCTGTATGTCATTAAATTGACTACATACTGTACTGCAAACTATAGATGTTTCTAAAATATTGTTGCATTTTTGTTACCAAACACACGCACACATATTATGAGACCAAATAACCACAAATCTGTCTGAGAAAAATAATATTGTACATAGTACAATAGAAAAACAGATACGTGCAAACCAGAAAAATTATTTAAAGACTACACACATCTGTAAAATAAACTTTTTTGCTATGCTTCTAAATTTCTTATTTCAAATTGTTTCATTTAGGAGCACATGTACTTATTTGGGAAAAAGTTAGAACGTCATGTAATAAATCAACTCCCTTTAAAACCTTTGCTATCATTAAGTCCAGTACAATATATCCTTAACTAGAGCGAGCACTGATTCAAGGAATACATTCAGGGAAACCTTATAAAAAATGATTGACTGTCAAAAGAAAATGAATATCAGATTTATCATCATCAGATTTTTAAAACGAGTTTTAAAACGTTGTGATTTGCTATTCGATTATAATGTAACAAATAGTACTCTGAGTCTACTTGCTTAATTATCAAGGAATACACGAAATACTGACATTTTCAAATTTTTTTTGTTTTTCTCAACTTGAACAAAGTTAAACAATAAACAATATTTATAACAATAGCTTTAGTTAAACAGATGTAAAACAGAACAAGGGGTGCGTGTTGCTCTCAGGAGGAGATGGCTAAAAGGAGCAAATATTGGCACACTGGCATCCTTTTAGGCGCACATGCGAGAGCCCGGTGTGGACGGAGATAATGAACAGACTGCATTGCAAACTGAGAGGAGAATCTCACACACACAGCACATGACGACATCGCAATTGCGATTGCAATTATATTACTTGTGCAGCCCTAGTATCGACTTTAAAAATCCTGTATCGGTCAGGCTACTTCATTTTCCAAAATGTCCATGTCATCACTAACCTGCTACACAGAGCCACAAAAACATCTGTCCTGCGGTGAAACCTGCGTCCAGTCTGAACGGTAATTAGAATCCCACAAATGACATCATTCCTCCATAGAGCTGAATTAGGAAAACTGTTTGGTTACCCATTAACTACATATACGTTCTTTGCCAAGTGTCCATAAAAGGACACGTTTAATAGTCATTCCGGGATATCAGCCATAAAGGTGACTGAGGAAATAGCTGAGAAATGGGAGTTTCAAACTTAGACAAGGATTTTAAGCAGCAGTACAGCCATCGACCACTTTCATACAACACAGATATGTTGGAGAGTGCTATCTGTGCTGATATCTGTTATACTACTAATAACATATTTTAAAATGTCAGCCTCAGGTCAGCACAGTGCAAACACAAAGCCTACATCATGACAAAAGACAGGATATAATGCCCGACACAGAGCAAACATTGAAGTGCCACATTAAAGAGAGCTGGAAAGGCTTGGGAAGTAGACTGATATAGATGTGGCAGCTTAGATGAAAACCTGGGAGGAAAGAGTAGGTCTCCAGCTAATGATCAGTTTAAATACTGATCAATCTGTCAATCATGTTTTTAAAATGATCGACTAATCGTCTAGTCTAACAAATGAGAAAGACAGCCTAACAGCTAGACGGTATTAGACATAGAGCTAAAATAGATGAACAGGAGGAAAAGAGCATGGGAAACAACAGGCTGGTGTGTAGAGGACCTAAACATGAGCAAGAATGTCGCCCTGACAACTGGGAGAGCTATATCTGGACAGTAACTCCACATGAAAAGAAAGTGGTCAAAAAAATCCAAATGCCCATTACTCTCACTCTCTAAAGGGCAATCTGCTCTGTTCACTCAACATGCAGGCCTTTAAATCTGCTGCAGGGGCTGTGAGGGACACACACACAGCTTTGGTTCAAAACATTAGACCCTTATTACAACTGTATCGCCCTGTAGATGTCTGAGATTTGGGCAGGACATTTCTAACACAGAGTTAAAGATTAGGCTAGAGTACAACAGAGTCACAACCTTTAAAAAGAAATATGACCAAGAGGCAAGTTTGAAATAATTATTACATACTGCAGATTCCCATCAGTACTATTGAAAGCCAGTATTTTTCCCCAGTGAGACAGCAAGCAGGATTTAGACTTTAAAGAGTTTATCATGTTGCTAAAAAAAACAGATTATTTTAGACTTAAGGCCATTTGGAGTATTTATACTAAAATACATCTTGTTGTCTTTAATTAGTATGTCAGATTGTCTTCTTCAGCAGCAAAGTTCCCTGAGTTTGAACACTAATCTTAAGAGAATTACATATGTAACTGAAACACATAACACTAACTACCTCAAGATTACACCAGATTGAGATGCAGGTTACTTTACTCCACTATGTGTCTTTGAGACAGAAATGACAGAAAGCATATCTGCACATGCTTTGGGTCCACAAGATGATTTACTCAAACAACTAAATGGGGGGGGGGGGGGGATATGTTTTGTATTATTAACCTATCTGATAATTGATTAAATTAAACAAGCAGAAACAGTTTTTAAAACTGTTTCAGGATACAAACTCTTAAGTGAGCTGTAATGACAGTTACAGCATGAGGTCAACATGTTCAACCATGAATGTGTCATGTGTTATGAGTCCCATCATACACCTCTTCAAATTAATTGATAGGCATTCTTCTGTGTTGTGATCAGAAATAGCTGGACATTAAACAACAACAGACAATGAAAATGAAAAGGGAAGTTTCCTTCACTTTCTGATAGATGACACTACAGAGACGAACATAACTTAGTCAACAAAAAATTAAATTGCCTCGGGACATCTAATCAGCAGGGTTGGTTCAAAAGTACAAAGAGACATGCCTAAAGCAAAATTTTAAATCACAGTGACTAATTCATAAGACAAAATGATCAACAGACTTAAATAGCATAGGATTGTAATTCATATATATTTCTAGATTTTTTCTCTTTTTTGCACACAAAGGGGCACAATTAGGCAGACAAAACATCCTTTTATTTCAAGGCTAATCAACACAGACTGACTACAGCAACAGACCGACACACCATGCTAAATGCTAATACACTGGATTAAGCCAGCAAGCCATTGAATTAATTAAAACACTGAAACAGACTTACAGTGCTGCTGCAGAAGTTTTTGTAGCTTGTGATGTTCTGTGTATTTAGGGTACTGTCTCCTTTAGTGTGTGTCCATCAAATGAAATGCTCTCAGCTGCTGGTGCTGCTATACCGGCCGGCTTCTGTCCTGTCCTGAGTGTGTCCTGTCAGGAACAGAAGAAAAGCAACAGTGAGGCAGGGAGGAGGTGGGGCTGAAGGGGGAATGAGACAGGAGGAGGAGGGCCGTGCAGAGAAAAGGCGTTCTGGTTTATCATGTCGTGTGCCTGGACGGACCGAAGCAAATCAAAAGAAGAGCAAGACAGAGGTCTGTGAGCCTGCTCTTATCCACAGTCTTGGACTACAGCAGCAGGTCAGGATGTCGCTCTTCCTCATTGACACAGCCATTTGCATCAACCGAAGACTTCAAACAGCCAGGCTCTGGTATCTACTGTATTATCCAAATTAGATTTAAACCTATAGTGCAGTCTTTATCACAACAACAATACCAAGTCTGATTCCCAGCAGTGCTGGTCATTGATTTACAGACAGTAATGAGTGGTTCATTACTAGCTATCTAAACTGAAGGAACACCGATAAAACATGATCACAAAACAAAGACCAATACATTTATGCTATTTGAATTCCTTTCCATCTTACTGATGTAGTGAAAGTAAATTTCAACCTTTAAAATGTGAACAAATAGCATTTACTCTGGTCTGCATGATTACATTACAATTTAGGTCTGTCTTATTTGGTGCATGTTTACCAAAAAAGGGCATTGCAGTTTCTCATGGATTCTCCACTTGTTCTACAATAGCAGCAAGACTTCCACCTCCTCCGCTACCCAACACGTAACCTGATCCAGTTATGAAATCATAGGAAATAGCTAAAATATTTAATTACATCACACAAGATGGTGTCCAAAAAGTAAGAGGCTTAAATTCCTCAGCTATGCTGAACTATTTGAGCTGAATCCGTTGTTTAAAAGAAACAACCTCCACACTCCACAAACACGCAACAGCATTTAAAGTAAAGGGCTATGAAACGGTTTTGCTTTTCTATCTCTAAGAAAAAGGACAGGCTGTCATGTCTTAAACACCCTGTATCAAATAAAAGTATATGTTTTTGCTCCATGTTTTGCCACAAGACTTTGTCCTTTTTTGTTTTGTTTTGGGGTTTTTTTGGGGTGAAAAACAGAAAAAAAAGGAAAGGAGTGAGCGAGAACTCATGTTTAAAACATATTTTTTATTTAACTCTGCCCTCTAATAATGTCTAGTCTAAAGAATGTAAGAGATTGTTGTTATTCATTAATAACTAAGGCTGCGTGTTGGTTGAAACTTCTCAATACTAGTGGCCATTTGATACCTGCATATCAGTGCCAATGCTATAATAATACCAATTTTGATACCTTGCTGAGGAATATAAACATGTTTTTCAACAAGAATTTTTTTTCATTAAAAAAAGAAACCAAACTTCTAAAATGTCTAAACACAAGCAGACAAACAAGAACTTTCCTTCAATAGATTACGGTGTAATATAGGGAAGTTAAAATCAGAAACTGTCTATGGATCTGAGCAAGAATTCAAGGCTGTCTTACATGTAGGGGAAGCATGTGCTTCTTACTTAATACAGTATATAATAGCCTACATAGACCTCATTTTAGTTTGTATTTGGGTTAGCAGTGTTTTCCATTTGGCCTAAGCAATGCCAGTTCCCTACTTTAAATCTCAGTCGACAGTGTGTCACACGGTGAATAATGTGCGGTTTACACACAAAGGTGCCATTCATATCCCACCAGTTTATGTACAGAGAGTGCACCTCCTGTGAGTCTCTGCTGTCTCACAGAAAACTAGGTATACAGAAGCTATTGTTACTGCAAACTCACCATCTTCAGAAGGATGAGATGACTTATTTTAACCAAAGTAATCAGGTATTTAGACACAGGAGGGGTTGACGACCATGAAAGGCAATGTTTACTGTGTTTAACATGTTGATGTAAAGTAACAAACACTTTAGGTTTTTAAGTTACTTTACTTTCAAGGCATTGACGCTACCTGTCATTATGATAGATAAACAAATAGCTAGCTACAAATGTACCTGAAACAGCACCTTTAATTATAAGCAACTTCTTCATTCACGTCTGACCAAAGTGTCACTGAAGTAATTTTTCACTTTTCAAGTGTTAGTGAAAAGGTAAGCGTTTATAAGATGTTAAAAACAGGAATCGTAAGATCAGCACTTCCACCCCGGAGGAGGAGAAATCCCACCCTGCGGCGTTATGGAAATTCCCCCTCGCCGAGTCTGGATTTAATAAACACCAAATGCGACAAGTGAACAACCGACCAGTCTATGAAATGACAGTAAGAGGTACATAAAGGGGAACAGATTCAACTTACATGTTTCTTTCATTCGTGTCAAGTCAAAGTCGTGGTCGGGTCTGAAATTTGCTGAAGCAAACTTGGTGCTCAGCTGTCACAACGGCTGGTCTGCTCGGTGTTCCATTGGGTCATCTTGAAAGCGAGGCATCATGGGACATGTAGTTCTTCAAAGTAAGGCATTTTTTTCCCCTATTACATAGCAGTAGAGTTTCTAAAAAGGCAGCCATTTGTGATGAACCTGACCATCTGGGGATGTCTATTAGTAACATAAAATGATAGCTGTAGTCTTATAACTTGCCCTATATTTACTGTAATATATATTAGAGGGTGATTGACTCCTGGAAATTAAGCAAGGCTCTATAGTAGTAACTGGTCACATGCTAAGTATTTTAAGCCCGCGAAATCACATCACACAGTGCAGTTATATTTTTGGGTAGTACTATCTGACAGAGAAGGATAGAGCTTGCACAGAGTATGTGTCAGGTGCCAAACCATCATCACTAACTGCTGGAGTTAATCACTATAAGTACTATACATATATATATATATATATATATATATATACACACACACACACACACACACACACACACACACACACACACAATTTAGCAAATGAGGTGTTGATGTCCTTCCATATCTCAAGCAGACACCCTTCCACAACATCTGTCTGATTGTTAGTTATTTTCAGCTGCCTCTCTTACTTTATCTGAATATTCCCAACTGGTGAGGGCACCCACGTGTGACTGGATCAAATGCTGAGCTATTTTAACCCTGAGAGCCAACCACCAAGGCTGAGAATGTGCACAAACATACTGTGCACAACCTCCCAACCTCCAGTCTTGCTCTGCACTGATTGTGTGAGTCTCTGTCTACCTCTAGTGGTAAAAGTCTGAACAGAAAGATTGTGGCCACCATTGTAATCTAGTTCAAAGATGTCTTGCTCAATTATCTGTTAAGTTTTGTGGCTGGCTGTATACATTCAGTTTACAATTAATAGAATTATATTATGGGGAACAAAAAAAAATTTATGGGACTTGAGTGGGAATTGTTTTGTCTGCTGTTTCCAAAGTCAAAAAAATGAAACTGTCAAGCTCAGCTTCAGTTTGGAAAACCCTGTGACTCTTGGATTGAGTCTGGTAAAATTAAAACACCTTTATTAGTTGTATTTTATTTTCTGTTATGCTCAGTTTTACACTCATGAAAGTCTCCCACCCATAGTAAATGCTATAGCCTCTAAGACATGTCTGTACGCTCGAAGTGCCAGAGTATCTCTCTCTTCCACAGGTGGTCAACGGCAGCTCTACTTGTCCATTGTTTTCCAAAACATTCCTCAGCGGACAGCCAACACTACACTGTCTGTGTGTCTTCCATTTGGAACTGATGATTAATAATTTACCACAGTCTTAATCAATCCAGTGAGCTACTGGTCTGCTCCAAGCCACTTCCTCTTCCAAGGACAATAGGGCCATTTCCTGTGGGGTGAGAAGCGGAGGACCAGAGAGAGCCAAACAGGCCAGTATTGTAAAGCAGGGATATCATATCAGCGTGTGCCTGTAGAGTAAAAGACAGATTGGAGCGTACGGTGAGTTTCATGGTCAGTTTGCTGGGAAGTTACAGGAACCAAGTCGGCCACACACCAGCGCAGACATCTTTTTTACCCCTGCCTAGAAGATATCCAGAAAACTTCTTTGGAGGTATATCATCCTTTTTTAAATATATCTATGATGTGACATATTACAGAAACAGACGGCTATAAAGAGGATAAAGTGAATTTATATACAAGCTGTATCTAAACAGCCTATATTCTCAGTGAGAGAAATTCTTCTGAATAAAAACGACTGTTTTATTAAAGAAATGGACATCAAAAGCTAAATATTGAATGACTGCTGAAACCAAAAGGACAGGTGTATTTTTGACAGAGTGAGCATGAGCTGAAGTCCCACATGAATCCCACTCTTTTAACTCCTGGATAATTTTCGAAATAAAGACGCTGCTGTGTTCAAAACAAAGGCACCATTCATGTCACTGCTGCCGCTGTTTCCACTAGGATGTCTGAGAAAACAAGTCAAAGACATGTAAAATACCAGGAAAAGTAACAGTTTTGAGTGTATGACAATATGAAGGCACTGTTCCACTCAATCAATAGTCTAATAAACATCAAGCCCCTCAAGCAACACAAGACAAACGCAAGAGTGTAATTTGGGCCTGAGGCTGTTTTTTAAAGCGAGGCTGTCAGTCCACACATTCACTGACAAATATAATGGCCTATATAACCAGCAGTGGCCCGGCATGCCTTGTCCTCCTCCGTCCCTGTCCCTTTCATTCTCAGAGCTACAGATGATGACTGTCACAATGGCCATATAGGAGACAGCCGTGACAATATGCCCCGAGGCAGGACATAGTATCCAGCCTGACCTATCTGAGCCCGTCATCAAGGGTGTCACATATGCAGCTAGACAAGTTTCTGTTTTACATTTAACTGCTCCACCAGTGTCTATGGGTGGAGGGATGTCATTTCTTTTTTCTGCCATTACAGGTCTGAAATGAAATGAGGAAAAAAAACAGATAGCCTACATCTTTGCTGCCTGCAGTACTTTTTCAATTGCTTTGTTGTTGTCAAGTTTTTGTTTTTCCTTTTTTTCCTGTGCAGGGAAGAGCAGATATATTAGTCACAGTGATGCTTAAGCACTTGCCCAGTTGGGCTCCCATCAATAAAGTAGCCATGTAGTAGTAGTCATTTAAAAAAATCAGTTTAGCCATGAGTGTGGGACCTCTGAACCTTATGTCTTAAATGGAGAACTAATCTGCATCGTTTTGTCTTCCTTACAGCTCTTTGTAAACTATAGTTTTTTTTATGACTATATTCTGACTCTGGGTCACAGGCAAAACTAAACCCTGTTTTTACCATGTGCTTTAAAACTCGCCTGATTAAACCAGTAGTGAGCCAAAGTTATCAGTGATCGATATTGAAAAGAATTGTTAGTTGCAGCCCTAGTCACTTTTATTTTTGTGATTTCACTGATTTCAAAATCCAGTTTTCGGCTACATGCCAACAGTAAATCACTAAAGAACTATGCGACACAAAGTTTTAACATGCCATGGTAGGTATTTATCTTTCACATGATAAAAAACATCTCCAAATATCTCATTATCTCCCTCCCTATCGATACCTCCGAACAAACCACTGTCAGAAATGGAAAAAATGGAAAGATTGTGTCTGACACAAACATACATATAATCGATATAATCTTTTTCTCTCTCGCGTGGGCAGCCCCTCTGACGGCGTATCGTTTCCCGGCTGCAGTGACTCACGTCGTCGTCTGGTTCCGTGTTGCAGTCAAGGTGTGGTCACACAGGTGCGCGAAATGGTCTTTGTAGTCTCATTAAAATGAGAAACATAACGAATGAAAACACGAACATAATTGTTATATCAGCATGAGCCACTCAAGAGTTCTTAATACTTGACTATAGGCCTATATTAGACTCGAACTGAGCCGTAGGCTGTTAGTGTTAGTGTGTGATAGATAGTATTTTCTTGCTCAACTAAAATGTCTGCAGTGCGAGTTGTACTTTGCTCTTGTCTGTTGCTTTATCATATAGGATAGGCTACTAGCCTATAAAGGCTGTCTGTATGCTATAGTTTACAACCATATGGCGGATTTAAATGTAAAAACACTTTAGACGTGTGGTAAAGTTTTAAATGATATTTTTAGTATTTTTTTGTAAATCTATTGCATAGGCTATGGTCCCTTAAATGTTTGTGATACTAAGTTCAACATTTTCTCTCACATTAAAATACGCGCTGTTGCGTAAGGTCGTTTAAATTCTCAGTTTATTTGATTGACTGCAGTTCCTCCTAACAATAAAACAAGCTCTAACGCCTGTCCCAGCGTGTGGAGCTGTGGCAGGGTGGGGTCGGGGTGAGGAGGGCGGAGTCTGGGCTGAGGAGACGCTTCTTTTACTAATTTTTGCTCAGAGGACTGTCGGCCGCCACTACCAGCAGCAGCGGAGAGAGTGAAGTGAGGAGAAATACAGACAAGTGTCCCTATCCTGAAGGAAACAACGCTGACCTGGAATAATATAAACCCGCGTGTTTCGACAGGTAAGACTCACTGAATGTATGTTCACTTTCTCCGACAGTTTCCAAACTGCTCATAGTGTCTTTGTCTCCGACGTAGCCTGTTTCTTCATTCTTCTTGCTGAGTAATTCGTATCCCGCTTTCTACGTGAGCGTGTGTTTGCGTGGGGTAATGTTTGCTTACATTTTTCATCTTTCGCTTACCTTGGTGCAAATCCACCCTTGGATTTGGAATTCATTTCCGCATGCCTCCTCAAACTGGCCACTGTGCCTGCTGCTGTTGTCACGGACCTCTCCAGCCCCCTAAAAGTTCGCCTTTTTACGTTAAACAGGTTGTTTTTGCAGTCCGTCGTGTCATAGAGCTCGTTCTGCCAATGCATAAGGACGTTTTTGGCCCCATTATCGATCATTCAACTTGACGTCACTTGTCAATACAGTCCCACAGTGTCATTAGTGGTGTCCAAGTTTGCGCGTGCGTGTATACGCGTGTCCGCAGGTGAAGAGAGAACCATGGATTTTTGCTAATGTAGAGAATATCTTTCTATTAATAGAAAGAAATTTGGAGGTTATAGAATCTGTATCAGCGTGGTAATCTCTCATAAAATTTTATGGACGTTGTTGGCCAAATAACAACAACGCATTTATTGTTCCAGCTAACTCATAAATCTAAACTCAAATAGAGCTGAGACAGAAAATGAGTCGGCAGCTATTATTATAATCGATTAATCATTTAAGTACTTTTTATAAACTTTAAATTTTTATGTTAATTCGATTATAAGTTGAATACATTATTGGGCTGTCCCTCAGACAAAACATTTGAAGATGTCACCAACAGAGTTTTCTGACCTCTTGAACACCACCAGGTTGATTAGCACATTAATTGATAATGAAAATAGTCATTAGTTGCAGCCTGAATTTAAATATCTGAGCTCAAACAATAGTAAATAATACAATGAGCTAATTGTGTGGGGGGGAGTAAGTTCTTGTTCACACACATCTGTAATGACAGTGAAAAATGAATCATATTCCTTATTATATGCCTTGGTGTTTCTAAAGCTTCCAACCACTCCCACACCGCTGTTCACACCAGCAGTGAAGTCTCCAGGTGTTTCCAAATCTTCCATGATGTCACTATCTTAGTTTGCAGATGATCCGGACATGACAGGACAGCAGTTTTTCAATCCTGCATAGTGACTGCCGGTGCACACATTTCTTTCATTAGATTTCATGAGTAAATCCTCCGAAATCAGCATCCATTTTAAAAGACTTTTATCTTATCCGCTTTTTTCTTATCCGATTATGTAATTTGTGGTGTCCTCCGCTGCCAACTTTAATATCTGTTAAGGTCAACTTTGACATGGGTCACATTTGGAATTAGAAGTTAAACAGCTTTTCTTCAAAACTTGGAGCATTAAACACAAAATCACATTACATTACTGTTGTTCTCTTGTTGGAATTATCTGCAAGTAACACCATCACAAAGCACCAAGAATTGGCACCAAACAAGTTTGTGGCATCCAACTTGTTTCTAGACTAATGCATCCAGCTGGGGTTGTTGAATGTGTGTCAGATTGAAAAGGACCGGGTGCCAATACTTTCTGCCAGTCAGGCCTCCACCGAGCTCGCCCTGGGTCTGGGTCATCAAGTAGTGCAGCAGCAGACAGCACCCTAGTTGGAAAGCTGTTCATGTCTGCCCTCGGGGAAGAGGGCGGATGGGTGGTGGGACGGCGGCGGGTGGAGGAGGGGTAGGAGGGGTAGGGGGGTGACTTACTGTAGATTTCGTAGCTACAGCTGTGGTGGCACGGTGCTAATCTCCCCCCTCCTGCTTAATACCGTGATACTGTCCTACATTTGTAGAGCAAGAGGCCAGGAGATCCTTCAGTTTATAAATAGGTCTACACTTTGCAAAGGGGATTACTGTATGGCATATATCCTAACCTCTTTGTTTAGCTTGAAGGATTTCTTTTTCTGTGGATTCACTGGTTTACCTCTCCCCTGTTCAGTGGTGCCTTACGGAGTACTTTCCAGGGGCTCAGTTACAGCCACTCGGCGCACGTTGTGTGACCTGCTCTGTGTCTTACTGTTCCCATGGAGAAAGGGACACAGAGAGATAACGTTTCCCGTCAGCTACGATAGGGGTCTTTATGGTTGAAGTCAAAAGGGAGGCGGTGTGACGGCATCAAAATCTCCACGGGGGTTAACTTCAGAGGACCTATTCATCAGACAATGCTGTCATCAAACCAAAGCAGATGTATTCAACCCTGCTGCCTCCTAGACACCCAGTGCTCCATTATTATTATTATTATTATTATTATTGTTATGATCAAACTTAATGGCAAGAAGGTTATCATTCACTAGGTAAACCAGGCAGGTGCAACTTAAGACTAGATTTAACGGGGGGAGGCTTTCATTAAGTCAAGCCAAATAATTTCTCTTTGTTTAGGATGAATACAGTAATTAAATACTTGGCAGGATCATCCAGAAACAATCATTTATGTAAATATTACTGCTGTGACTGACAAAGATCAAATCAGAAGCTTCTAGCAGAGCACAGTAGTATAATGCTGAGCAAGTAAAGCTGACACTGCCCAGCTGAACCCATGACAGTCACTGAAATGAATTATTTACCTTCAGCAGTTCTCTTGGCTAGAACAAAAGAAGACAAGAAAATGTCCCTTACATAAAATGTCAAAGGCCTAATGGCTGTTTCTTTCCATCACTAACACTTAAAAGCTGTATTTATGTCTGCCAGGTTGGTGATTTCAAGTCAACTCCTATCAAAGCTCTCCTCAAAACACCCAGTTTAACAACATGCTTGAAATTTCTGAACCCTACTGTTTTCTTCATAAATACATAACCATTGATAATTTTTTAATTCCTGCCATCCAAGCAGGGAGGGAGTGAACTAGATTCCAGCAGTGACTCAAAAGATAAAGTTTTCACAGTTGGATGATTTGGCTGAGTTGTACTTCTCAGCATAGTGACTCTGATGAGTCCTGTGGTGTCTGTTTTTCTCCTCCTCCCTGTCCCTTAATTACACTTCTGTGAGAGATTGAGGAAAGTGAGGACAGCAAGGGCGTGGTTGGATATCACCAGGGAAGCTTGACTTGTTGGATGCGCAACATCTCACAAGGAGGTTAATTTTGCATATCGTCACTGTTGTGTGAAAATCTCATAACTAACTTTTTTTGTTGTTGTTATTTTCTGTGTTTCACTGCTTTTGATGGATGTCATGCTCTTCTGGGTTAAGAAAGTTGTGCAACCCTGGGGCCTCTGAATACAAAACACTGGATAAACTGAAAAATGCATGGGCGTTTTAGACAATCAAGGCTGTTATTCTTCTTTTTTCATTTTCATTGACATTTTGGAGGTTATTAGGACAGCAGCAGTATATGAAACAAATGACATGACTGTCAGAGTAAGCCACTCAATTTTTAATAGTGCTAGACTTCACTCTTCAGATATTTGGATTTTATGTAATTCTTTTATTTTGGTTGTGGTTTTCATAAAGGTAAACAAACTGTGAACTTGAACTGGCTCCAGAGGAGCGCTCTATTCTTTTGGGTCCCTTTAGACTTTTGCCCTGCACTCCAAAGCACCCCCCCCCCCCCACTCCCTTGTGCCTCTAATCTCCCTGAAAAATTAATCATCTGTCACATCGCCTCAGCGCACAGCCGCACACCGATGCGTAGCAGTGGCAGTTCAAGAAATAACTCCCTGTCAGGCAGGGCTTTGGATGCAGCGTTGGCCACCAAACTTGGCCAGTGAACACACAGAGCCATCTTGATGTGCTTCAGCCTTTTTGGTTGCATCCAGTGGGGACACTTGAGACCCGGTTTCCTTTTCACTCTAACAGCAGTCAATGGGACAATGCGGCTACTCTTTTCCTCTCTACCCCAAACAAAGTAACACAGAGGCTCTCTGTGCTGTATCAGAGACTTAGTTCATCCTCTTCTTTCTTCCTATTGTCAACCAAACAACATGGAGAGAGGGGCACGTCTAGACTAACTGTAAGGCCAAAGACAAACCATTGCCCTAAAAACACTTTCTTCACCCAAGAACCAGGTAACAGGGCATCAAATGTTCAAATACTTAATTTCTATAAGAATACTTGGGAGATCTTTTATGATGTATTGTTCTCCTGATATGGAAGATAATCTTTGGACATACCTCCTACAATGTAATGGACCATTTTATGAACTTTGATGCTTTGCTAATGAGGGTTTATTGCCACACAGGGTACACGCCTTTTTACTTGTTCCCTCCTTCTTTATCAACTTTGTGTAATCTGATCCTGCTCTGCAATCGGGCGCCTCCTCTGAGACTGCTCACATTTCCTTTGATTTACAGAGAGATCCCACAGGGAGTAAACAACTACACACACACACACACAAGTTTACAGACACTATTCTGCATCCACTGGCTTAATTCAACTCATTAAAGTAGCTGCAATAAATCAACTGACAGATCTAGGGCCTTTATCCATTCTGCTGTTTATTTTATTCATCGGCGTGCTGACTGTGGTCGACTGTGTTGTTGGGAATGTTTCCAGATCAGGCCAGGAAGGGGAGCATGCTGTGCTGTATCTGCCACGTTTAGACAATTTCACTTAGTGTGTTGCTCAAGTGCACACCAGCAGTATCTCATTGTCTGTTCCTTCTCTGTGGCTCTTGGCATGCCAGCGTTGCTATGGTCTGGATTTTATCAACTGCTTGTTACAGACAATTGACAAATGCTCTCTCTCAAAGAGTGAGCGCTTTTACAAAATGTGGACTTTGAAAACATGTTCTTTCTGAACGCATGACGTGATACAGCGTATGTAGGGACAGTTGTGAGCGTACAGCTTCTCCTAATGAACTTCCCCTGTCTGACCAGACAGCCCAGCAGTGATGGTGAGTCAGATCATGTTGACCACCACTTCCTGTCACCCACCACAATAAATCCATTAGCTGTGCATCACTTCACATCCTTCCTTATTGATTTATAACAAACAGCTATCCAGTTAGCCCCTGCTGCCTCCATTACACTGCCATAACGGCTAGTGTTGTGTGGTTTTGGGACCAGGAAGTTTTGTGGTGGTCTTAAGGTTTATCCCATTGGGACAGCTGAATCTAGACTCTGTGGAGAAGACATGCAGAGAGCACATTGAAGGCTCATCTGGCTGCCATGGCCATTTACTGTGTCGGGACCATTTGGTGGGGGGGCGGACTATATGTCGAATAGTTGATCTGTGCAGATGGTGCAGGAAGCTTTACAGATGTGTGGGAACATAATCTGCTTTATTTGTGTGTCCGTCTAAGCATGACATTAGCAAGCCTGTTAATAATCACAGACTACCAGATGAGGCTAAGTTTCTACGACAAAGCCGTAATGTTCTAACAGCCATGAGAATGTACAATTTAATATAAAAATAAACAAAAGAAATTCTTGCGTTTTTCTTTTCTCAAGTAGTGATTTAAATGGTTATTTTGGTATTTTTAAACCTGGGCCCTATTTTCACATTTTGGGGTTGAAATGACTAGTAGTTATAGGTTAAGTTTTGAAATGCGTTAAACGCAAATCTGCTGCAGTGGCTGCAACATTTTCCTTTCGTGCAATTGCACCCATCAAAATTCCGTCCACAAAAAGTGCGACCCTTTTATAGGGTATCTTACGTCTTTTTCAACCTGGACATTATTTTCCCGTGTTTTTGTGTCGGTGTGATTAATTAAGGCAACATTTTTTTTTTAAATTGGTCTAGTATTGAGCGAACGCCCCGTCAAAGTACATCCACTGAAGTGCTTGTTTTTGCCACAGACAGGCTCATATTGTTATTACAATTACAATCTGACAACATCTACAGAGATGGACCATTCTATTAAAGAGTAAGATCATTTTTGTTAAACTAGAAACGGTCACTATTTTGTTCTTATTAAATCTACCAGACTCCATTGATAAAATAGTAATTTTACCTCACTGAAGAAAGTAATTGCTGGTCTACCTCTGCCTCAGTTGGTTAATTTATTTGTGTAATTGTGTGACTGTGGTGTTTTAAGGGTTAAAACAAAACCCCAAAATCACACAATAACACAAACTAACCGATCGAGGCAGAGGTAGACCAGCAACTCCTCCTGTGTTCGGTGAGGTAAAATTGTCCCAGGAAGGTCTCACAGACGTGTGGGGAAAATAGGGTCCAGGTTGAAAAATACCAAAGTTACCCTCTAAAGGAATGGCTCGGCATTTTGGGAATATCCTCATTCACTTTCTCTCTCATGTCGGAGTGGTATGAATCTTCTCATCTAACTCTTGGCAAGAGTTCAAATATTTCAATGCCTTTACACTTGATACTAATTTTGCAAGCTTAATCTTCTCAAGCACGCATGTAAAAGCAGAGTGGACGGCAAAGGCCCGTTGGCATGTTATTTACGCCCCTGCCTGCCAAAAAGGCATGAGGCTAAATAACAAATCACTGCAAACTCTGTAATTTATGTGAGGAGCCACTCTGGAGTACGACCAGACTACATCTCCAGCCCCACTGGGCCTCTTCCCTGACCTGATTCGTTCCTGCTGTGATTCAAAGAGGAGCTTAGGCTAACAAAGTCAAAATCTAGCCAGCTATAATGTTTTTCATATCCATAGTGAGTTTGTAACTGCATAGCTTGTTAATTAATGGCAGGATATACTGAGAAGAAATGAAGTATCAGATCTACAGTTTAGCCCCTCTAGCTATTAGGTGTATTCAGCCCTGCCCAGTTCACTCATGCACCCATACACTGTGCCGCCACACCCTTCTTGTGAGCCTGTCACTGCTGGGGAGACACTCCCTGTCTCACAAGCCTGGGGCTCATCCTTTGTCACAGTGTTCATGTCGTCATAGTATTTGTTAGTTTCAGCAATTTATGAGTGAGTCATGAAATAAGATGTTCAGATGTTTTGTGGCGGAGAAAATAAGTGTGCACTTTCAGCACAAGATTTACACGTAGACACAGAACAGATTGAATATACAACATTAGCGTGGAATGTCACACTAGCATTTCAGGGGTGCTAACAGTATCCATCTCAGCTTTTCTGTTGCAACTTGTTCACTGGCAGCCTTCACTGATCCGCATTCCTGGTTTTACTGTGCTAGGGGTTTTTTTTTTTGAGGGGGGAGGGGTTGGAAGAAGCCCACTTAAGTCATCCACAGAGGCTGTTGCCTAACAAGATAGTGGGAAGTTGATGGGTGTGAGATGTTTTCCTGAGTAAAAAGTGTGTCTTCCATGTTACTGTGTGTTTGTGTGGGTGGGTGGATGAATGATTGTGGTCATCGTGGTGACAAAGCAAGGTACAGTGAGAGTGAAAGGATGTGTCATTCATTAACTGGAAGAGAGCAATGTCTAATCAGAGGTACACTATACAATCTACAATGAACAATGGGGGAGGGATCAGCAGATAAGCCTCAGTACAAAGTTTTTATGCTGACCTTTAGTTTATCTATGCTGTATAATATTTTAAATAAAACTTTCTAGGATTTTCTTAGGATTTCTTGGCTCATACTATGGTTGTGAGCATTGTGGGGAAGGGAAAACCCAGAAGAAAAACACCAAAACAGTTATGAGAAAACCCAAGAGGCAAACAACACTTATCAGTAAACAAGTAAGCATAGCTTCAGACATCAAATGGGACAGCAGATAAAACCCCCACAGAGTTTCGGTTACCTAGGCAATATGCGGGGCGTGTCCCAGCATTGCAACAGTTGGCTGAACCCACTGCCTCGCCCAGGAAAACAAAGACTACACAAACACTGTCCCTGATTTACAGAGAACAGTGGGGACATGGTGTACATGCTTAAAACAAAGTCACGTGGGCTTTGTTTTGTAGTTCGTTTGTTTTTAAAGCCCTTTGAAATATGTAGAACTTAAAGCTGACGTGTGTCTAGTTTATGGCAATTTATTCCCATTTCTATATTGATCAATGCATAGATAGCCAGTAGTTGCTTACCATCTTGGCATACAGGCTTCCCATACTTGTGTTTAAAAAGAGGCCACGCCTTGTCAGCATAGTTTCAGTCTGTGCTCTGGTGAGTCAGTGCATAAGCTGTGAAGTAGCATGTAGCTGCAAGCAGAGACGGCCCTTTCGGGCCTGGTCCTGCATGATCTCATGCCAGACTGACATAGCTGAAACTAACTGATCTGCTGCTTCCTGTGAAGATAAGCATCAGATAAGCATATCTACAGGTGAAAGTATTCTGCATTTGACACATGCATGCCCCAAAAAATATTTGGATACTTGCAAATGTTTTGCTAGTCGATTAAAGTGCCAAAGAGCGAAAACTAAGGACACACACTAATGAATAACATGCAGTAGTAGGGGAAAAAAAAAAATACTGGGGCTCGCATACTATTGTCTGTTTCTTCTTCAGACAAATCCCCCACATACAACATGATGCCTAGGGGAGAAAAAGTGGGATAGTTCTGAGGGACTAAAACGACATCAACAACAACACATCCTTATTACATTGTTAAGTTGTGCTAGTATGAATTTGTTTCATCAAGTGTGAGCAGAGGTAAACATGGTAATTTAGGGGTTTATAGCTCATTTTGTGCCAACACAGCAGCTTGAGATTGGGGCTTTTAGCCCAGACTTGTTTCATTAGTAGTAAAGTCGGAAGATAAGCATAGCATCAAGCTATAACCAGCTGTCGTACAAAAGAGCCTCAAGGATGGCAATAATTTCCCCTCTTTTTGTCAGTTGAAGCCTCTATTTGTTGACTTTGCTGTGTGTAGAACACCCCCCGGTAGTTTCAGTGCATCTGCAGTGCCGGCAGAAATCCGCTAACACACTCTTACATGTACAGACACACACATGCCAAAGCACAATGCACCCCTGCAACGTGCTCAGCAAAGAATCCTATCAGACATCTGTAAACACTTGTAACCAGCATAGTGAATGCATTGTACTGTATCGGTCATATGTCACATGCAGTGGCAGGCAGCTATTATGGATGCAGATTTGTCAGTGATGAAGAGGATTTCTGTGGTGGGTAACATTCGGGCTGCAGAAACATGAATTGTGGTTATTTTGGTTCTGTGGAGCCTCAAAACAAGGAAATCTTGTATTGTAGTCTTCATTTTAAGATTACAAATTAGAATTTATAATAAGGAAGGAAATCTGACAAATACGACAAAATCAAATTTAGTTACATGGATATTTTATGAATGTTAGATGTAATTTTTGAGAGTCTCATATTGTTGTTCTGAAAGGAAGTAAAATGCATTTGCTTCTTTTCATAAACTCTTTTAAAAAGTCTGGCATGGACAACCCAGTATTGACATTTATAATTACTTTTTTATGTAAGCACAGAGTAAAAATGATTATTTCACTATGAGAAACATTAAGATGTGCGGGCTGAATACCTGAGTAAATGTAGCGAGAAGAATGATTTTTTTTTTTTTTATTATTAGGAAAACAAGATAATAGGAGGTGTCGAACAAACACGCACCAACAAGTAAGCATGTCAGTTATGCAATCTGGAGCACTGTGAAAATAAAACTATAGCACACAACATGCCTTAGGATTTCAGATTACTAGAAACCTATTTAATCAGACCTAGAAGGCAAGTAAGTGTTACAAATAGTATGTAGAACTATTTAAAATTAAGACAAACAAAAGTTAAAGACAAGCTGCAGGCATTTTCTTGGAGGTTTAGGCTTTTGTGTGTGTGTGTGTGTGTGTGTGTGTGTGTGTGTGTGTGTGTGTGTGACACACGCGCTCAGTGGAGTCAAAACCTGACAAGCAGGTTCCTGATTGCCATGCGTCAGCAGCAGGCTGCTCCCACGGCTGTATGGGTGGAGGCCCGAGGTGAAAGGTCACTTGGGCTGGCTAGCATTCCTGACTTATAGCTGTGTCTCCGCCCACTTCACCCTCCCACCCCCATGAGCTGCTCTGTGTTGTCATTTTCAGGTCAGGGTGCACAGCTCTTGTGAGCTGTCATACTCTGAAATATAAAATCTCAATGACAGCCTTGTGCAAGAGAGCAGAGGCCTCGCTGGGATATTTATTAATTCATGAAAAGAGCCACTACAGTTGATCATCATCATTATAGCGGCAGAAATGTTGACTTTGGCTTTCTTTGTGTTTTTTTAGGTTTGCTCCATCGTTGTTTTGATAACGGGAGGCAAGGATGGCAATGCGCAGTGAGTAATTCTCAATTCAGCTCTTGCTCTTAAACATTTTTATGTATTTTATTGAAATTCTGCCAACTATAATAATCTAGTGATTTTCTGCTGATTTTTATATTTAGCTTGTCCATTTTTATGTTCACTTTGGTCTTTCTCACCTCATTCTGTGATACATTTCAAGGAAACTGTTGAACATTTTGATCATGACCTTTCCTACTTCCATCTATTGTTATTGTATGTATTTATTTTGAGGTCACTTCCTTAACACAAGCGATAACTAAAGGTTACTTTTATTAAAGGGTTCCTTTTTTATGCGGCATAGAAGAAAAACACTGGTCCACAGGGGAGAAAAATGGTGGCAAAACACACACTTTGTTTTTTATTGTTGGTAAATATTGGAATAAAATATAATAGCAGGGCACCACCCATCACTCCATTTTTATCAAACTTGTAAATAAGATAATGACATGGGTCCAACACCTCTGACATCCCACAATTCCTCTCTCTGTGCTTGGCAGTGAGTGAGGCTGACGGTGGCGTGGTGAAGGTGGCAGAGTGGCAGCAGACAATGTATGGCTTAGACTCGGGCATCCAGTCTGGAGCCACCACAGTCAGAGATGACGACGGCGAGTATACCACCTCCAAGCAATACACCATGACTACCACTGTCACAAGGGAAGAGCCCGGTAAGACGACAAGCAATGGCCAGACCAGCCAATCTGCATATATACTATAGCTTTTACCTTAATTACATGTGGCCTGTCATCTTCATCTCCTCGCTTCTTGATAGACCTGGAGACCCAGTACACTATGACCAGAGCCCAGCGGGTGCGGGCTGCGATGTTCCCAGAGACGCTGGAGGGAGGCACCACCATCTTGTCGACTCAGACAGACTCGTCCCAGATGACCAACGTCCAGCGGTTGGCCGAGCCCTCCCAGATGCTCAAGACAGCCATCATCCATCTGATCAACTACCAGGACGACGCCGAGCTGGCCACACGTGCCGTGCCTGAACTCACCAAATTGCTCAATGATGAAGACCAGGTGATGAACGTAGAATCATGCCCACACACACACAGAGTCTGAATTACAGTATTGGATACATCATTAAGGATCTTATGACATAATTATATTGAGTTATTACTGTTGGACAAAACCTGATATCTTTTATGAAAATAAATAAACTCACGGTGTCTTCTATCTATTTTCATAATGAATTAAGCCATTTATCAAGAAAAAATGCCACTTACTGGTCCCAGCTTTTATTTGCTGTGTTTCTCTGTTTTGGAGGTTTGAAAAGTAATGGTAATTTGAAGCCATTGTCTTGAACTTTAACATCTGGTATCTTGTATTTACTTTTCCTTAACCCTTTCATTTCTCATCAGGTGGTGGTCAGCAAGGCAGCCCAGATTGTCAACCAGCTTACGCGCAAGGAGGCGTCCCGGCGTGCGCTGATGCAGTCCCCTCAGATGGTGGCAGCGGTGGTGCGGGTGATGCAGAACACAAGCGACATGGAGACAGCACGAGCCACAGCCAGCATCCTCCACAACCTGTCTCACCAGAGAGAGGGCCTGCTCTCGATCTTCAAGTCTGGAGGCATCCCTGCTTTGGTCCGCATGCTCAGGTACTTTCAGATGAGAGAAAGGGACATAACTTATGATTAAATCCTGGTTGTTGTCTCAGTTGCTTAAATATGTTGGGAAAATTTTATGTATTAGTAGTAGTTGTATGAAAGGGACATCAACCCTAAAACACTGAAATAGTTTTAGAAAATAGCAAACCCCACTTTTTCTCTGCTAGAAAATCATATTGTTCCTGCCATCAGTTCTAATTTAAGCACATTAAGCACAGCAAAATTACTTACAATATCACTTGACATGTACTGAGAACAGGGAACACATCCAATGGACACACTTAACCCACCCATTTGTCCCCCTCAGCTCTCCCATGGAGTCTGTGCTCTTCTATGCCATCACCACACTCCACAACCTGCTGCTGCACCAGGAAGGAGCTAAGATGGCGGTTCGTCTGGCTGACGGCCTGCAGAAGATGGTTCCCCTTCTGAAGAAGAGCAACCCCAAGTTCCTGGCCATCACCACAGACTGTCTGCAGCTGCTGTCCTATGGTAACCAGGAGAGCAAGGTGTGTGTGTAATTGTCAGTGCACTTAATACAATGGCAGGTTCGCTTCGTTCCAGCCAAGTACTGTAATTTGAGACTGTTTAAGTTGTCGAGCTTGTCTGTGCATGTGTTTTGTTTTGGGTGTGGCATGTGAACAGAGTTGTTCAGGTGCTGGCACAGTGAGGGTATGGGTGTGATTCTTTATTGAGAATAGTAAAATGAGTGAGGATTAACTGGCGTTTATCTGCCTGGACAGGTCACAGCTTTGTGTTGTACATTGTAAACCAGAAGTGTTTCTTTAGAAAAGGATCCTGAGTGTTAAAAAAAGAGAACTTTCACTCCATCTGCACTTTATATACTCACACAGTCCTCTCTCTCTCTCACTCTCTCACTCACTCACTCACTCTCTCTCACAGCTGATCATCCTTGCCAACGGGGGCCCAGAGGGTCTAGTTCACATCATGAGAAACTACAACTATGAGAAGCTGCTGTGGACCACAAGCCGTGTGCTCAAAGTCCTGTCTGTGTGCCCCAGCAACAAACCCGCTATTGTAGATGCCGGTATGTAATATATGTGTTCTGTGTGAGCACCCACCTGTGTATACAAGGTAGTCACACAGGTGTGTCAATTTTTTGTTATCTCAGCTGTGACTAATGGCATCTTGTCAACTGCATAGCTACATGACAGCAATTTATGAGATGTTGCTGAGAGATGAACGACCTAACTTCTCTGTTCCCTGCAGGTGGGATGCAAGCCCTGGGTAAACACCTCACAGGCTCCAGCCAGCGTCTGATGCAGAACTGTCTGTGGACGCTCAGGAACCTGTCTGATGCTGCTACCAAGCAGGTCGGGGTCCACACTCACTCTTTTCTTCTCCTCTTCCAGAAATTCAGGTATTTTTTTTATTTCTCTTTGAGTAACTGTCTGAACTCATTCTCTTCTTGATTCCAGGAGGGTATGGACAGCCTGCTGCAGGTGCTGGTTGGCCTGCTTAGTTCAGACGACCTCAACATGCTTACCTGCGCCACTGGCATCCTGTCAAACCTCACATGCAACAATGCCCACAATAAATCACTGGTTGCCCAGAGCAACGGCGTGGAGGCACTGATCCACGCCATATTGCGTGCCTCTGAGAAGGAGGATGTGACTGAACCGGCCGTTTGCGCTCTGCGCCACCTTACTTCACGCCACCAACAGGCTGAGCTGGCGCAGAATGCTGTGAGGAACCACTACGGCATCCCCGCCATCGTCAAGCTGCTCAACCAGCCCTACTACTGGCCTGTCATCAAGGTAGAGAGGAGGGAGTGATGGAGAGAAGGGTGGAGGGATAGTGAGCTTGTGGAATTATGTTCAGAAATCACATAATCATTAACTTATTTTTTGTTTCACCAATTTACATAGAGTGATGGGCAACAACAGTCTTTGAAATAAACATGATTTCATATGCATAAACTCTTACAGGCCCTTAGGTGAGCCCATAGGTTAGAGATGAGTGTAGTCCTACTAAGACGAGGGAAAGATGGTGGGAAGGACTCCAAACAGGAAAGTGTAGATTGAAAGCAGGTGGTTTGAGTGAATGTAAGTTAAGGACTGTGAAGCAAACACATTGAGGAGTTAATGGGTTTGGTCCAAAGAGAGAGACTGGGGAGCACTAGACAGATGGAGAGAGGGGATGGCAGATCCGGCAGAAGGCCAGAGTCTCAGTCAGCCTGAAAGAGCATGAAATGCACATGACCGCAGGAACAGTATGTTTTACAAGACCAGGCTTTAGGGGGGAATAATACCATTTCATATGCCTAATGGAGAAGCTTGAAGTTGTTTGTCAGCCTTGTTTTACTTGCTCACCAATAAAAGTAAGCAGCATCATGACCGTATCTTTGCCTCTCCTCCCCGTCTGAAGGCTGTGGTTGGCCTGATCCGCAACCTGGCCCTTTGCCCAGAAAACCAGGCCCCTCTAAGGGACGCCGGAGCGATCCCCCGTCTGGTCAACCTGCTGATCAAATCCCACCAGGACGCCCAGAAACATGGTTCATCCACGCAGCAGACGTACCAGGTACATGAGAGGATGAAAGGATGCTTAAAGCCACTTATGAACTATGTGTGGGTTTAAGGGGTTGCGGAAATTAGTAGTTGTACTACTAATTAGTAGTATTCGTGAATGATTTATGAAGTTCGGATCCTCGAGTCACATTTATTCTGTTTTTTTTGTCCTTCTCCTCAGGATGGAGTGAGGATGGAGGAGATTGTGGAGGGCTGCACAGGAGCACTGCACATCCTGGCCAGAGATCCCATCAACAGAGCAGAGATCGCCAACCTACAGACCATTCCTCTGTTAGTTCAGGTAACGGAGGAAACTGACTCACACTCTCCTGTCTTGCTAATTAACTTCATTATGTTTGTTTTATTTTAACCAATTTTCTTCCTCCCCTTCTCCAGCTCCTCTACTCTCCAGTGGACAACGTGAAGCGTGTGGCGGCGGGCGTCCTGTGTGAGCTGGCCCTGGACAAACCGTCAGCTGAGGTTATCGACAGCGAGGGAGCGTCGGCTCCGCTGATGGAGCTGTTGCACTCCAACAACGAGGGCATTGGTAGGACATCCAGATAATGCACTGCGATTAGCTTACCGTAATGTAGCATTGAGTCATAGTTGGAAAGTAACAAAGACAATTTACTCAAGTGCTTTACTTTACTGTAAGTGCAGTTTCCAGGTACTTCACTCTACATGACCATGTCCATTTTGCAAGACTGTATACTTTTACTCCTCTACATTTCAGAATGACGTATTGCAGCCTACATTTAAAGAGTGTGATAAAATTATGAGTTAAAAAACTGTTTTATAGTAACTGAAAGATACTAAAGAAGTCTAGAAATAGCTACTCATGTCTTCTTCTATTACATATTTTATCATACTAATAATGTTATTCTGTTATGGTATTGATAGTTTCTTGCTAAGGGTTAAATGAGAAGATTGATACCACTCATGTCTGGACGGTAAATATGCCAGCAGCAGGTTAGCTTAGCATGATCCACACAAAAGCTAGAAGATATACCATGTTTATTATTTGGCTTTGGAGATGCTGGTGCTGGACAAAGCCAGGCTAGCTGTTTCCGTATCTAGTCTTTATGCTAAGCTAAGCTAACTGGCCGCTCCGGCTTCATATGTTGCATACCAACATGAGAGGGTACTCAATCTTCTCATCTAACGCTTGGCAAGGAAGTGAATAAGTTTTTTTGGGGTTTTTTTCCCCCAAAATATCAAACTAATTTGCCTTTTTAGGTGGTTATTTTTCCTCATGACACTGTTTTGCTGGTCACATTTAAGGGAAATGTGTTAAGTGGCTTTTTATTAAATTTTAAATCATCAGGCTTAGCTATCTGAAAGTATGTCTTATATTACATTTACATATGCATGTACCATGGTTAAATTAAACAAGGCTCATTAACACACATGCAGAGAGATATGTTAATTCCACACGTTATATCTTTTATAATCGATGCTGTAAATAATAATACATCAGGGAGAGAGAGAGAGAGATAGATAAATAGATATAAAATAATATTTTAAATCTACGAATCACACATGCAGTAATTGGCGTTGGCACTAAAACTATTGTGTTTTCACTTTTACTTTATCCTTGAAAGTTTAACCTCAGGTGCAGTCCATACTGTTTCTCTTTCAGTAGTCTCACAGTGTAACACTTCTTTCCCCCTCAGCTACTTACGCTGCAGCTGTGCTCTTCCGCATCTCCGAGGATAAAAACTCCGACTATAAGAAGCGAGTGTCCGTGGAGCTCACGCACTCTCTGTTCAAACACGACCCCGCTGCCTGGGAGATGGTGAGTGTCTGGCGCCCTCCACTGACAGAACACGACACCTGAACAAAAGTCGATTATTATTATTATTATTATTATTTCTTTATTTTTTAAGACATTTTTTTTTATTCTATAACTCTCTGGGATTTTATTAATCTCTGCTCCTTTATATCATAGCAGTTATACATTTTGGAAAGCAATTGGTTTTTAAGAAACTTGATTATATGATTGTTAATAATACCTTAAGGACTATTAATAGGCTTTCTATATAAAAGTATTGGCTTTATTTGAAAATTGCCCTCTTGCGACTTCTTTGCAGGCCCACAATAGTGTCCCCATGGATGGACCCTATCCAGATGGTGAGTAACTATGGCTGAAATGTGCACATACAGCACATTCCTCAACACTGGGTCACTCCACCACAGGGAGCGACCACAGTGTTAAAATGCTTTACTCAGGTTGCTAACAGGTTGCCTCCCTGCTGAAAATAGTATTTATAGTTAAAAAATGGTTATTCAGTGACTGGAGCAGCACAAGTATAACCTGCATTGATTTTTAATTCTTTCTTACTTTCATGTTGTCTTCAAATCAGTCACAAATGTACATCCTTCTATGTTGAAGTTATACATTTTGTTGTTGTCATTGTCTTTTGGTCTTTTCTTCCCATGCAAATGATATGGCCAAATCACATTGTGCCAAAATGATGCAAATGGATGTAATAGAATACGTCACTTCAGTGCCTGATTGTTTGTCATTCAGCCTTTGCCTTTTCTTTGTTTTTTCTTGAATCCTTTATCTCGATACATCACTTCTTATTCGTCACAGAAAAATCTAAAAGGTTTTCTCTCCATCAATCTCCTTCCTGGCATTTCTTTGTCTGTGTTTGCATCTTTCTCTTAATTCCCTTCCTTTCTTTCTCTTGACTTTTCTCCTTGTATGGCCTTGGTATTTTCCGTCTCTCAGAGGAGAGAGACTCTAAGGTGAAAAGGGATCAGTTTCTCCTCTCTGCAATCACTTTGTTTCAAAAATGTGCCTAAAATGTTAAATGATTTCCACAAGCTTTCCATACAGCTGTTGCCACTATCATGACAGCAGCAGTAAATAAATTCTCCAAGTACACGGGAAGTTAAATGACACATAATCTATTGGTGCTGTGTGTAACAACTAAAAAAATAAAATGTTGTAATCTCTTGCAGAGCTGGATGCTGGTTTCCAAGGCTACGGAGGGTATGCAGCTGAAGTTCCCATGGATGGCATGGACGGAAATATGATGCATGACGATTACCAAGGCAGCATGGCCTACGACAGACAAATGTACCCTGAGTACTGACCTAAAGGTGAGTACATGCAAACGTTACCTCAGCAAATCAGGATATGTTGCTTAAAAGTGAATTTAAAAAAATAAATAAATTTTAATCGGGACAATGCCCTGGCAACTTAAACAAAAACCCAACAACTGCCATTTTTTCAAGTCACCATAGCATGTCTGAACACAACAAGTACATGATACAAGAGTGTTAACTAACTTAATGTGAGTGCAGGAAAAAACACACAACTCTATTGTGAAATAAAAGTGTAAAAAAAAAACACAACTGTGGCAGAAATTGCTCAGGTTGGGGCACATCGCTCATAGAAGGAATCTTGATTAAGAAAGTGGGTTTTCAGGGCCTTTCAAGCCTACAGTCTACAATATAATAACTTTTAAACAACCCATCTGTGGAAGAGCTTCTCTTTGTGTTTGTGATCTCATCATGTCTTTTTCCTCTTCTTATAGACCCACAGGCTGAAGAAAGGTGGAAAAGGAGGAGCTGATATAAAACATAATGGGACAAAGAAGAAGAGAATATAGTCATCAGTAGAGATTATTCCCTCTGCTTCCAGCCCGATGTAATATATGCAATTATCACTGAGTACGGGACTCGTAATCTTAACAGGGCTCAACTTTGTTTTAAAGCATACATTTGCTTATAATTCTGACAGTGACGATGCTTGTAGGTTTCTGCTAGAGAACCTTTAGAGTGTGTGTGTGCGCGTGTGAGAGAGTTTGTGTGTGCGCATGTGTTTGTGTGTTTATGCTTTTGGGTGGGTATTCTATGCCAAAGAGATTTTATTTTGTGAAGATAATCATTTAGCTTGGTTTTCTTTATTTTGTTTTTTAAGAAAAGGAAAAAAAAAGACCGTAATAATTGAAAACACTGCCAGAGGTGGCTCAACGTGCACGGTGCACTTGCTCACTGCTCTGTTTCTTCTTTAACGCCTTTGTAACAGACACTACTGTCTATGCTGTAGTTATGACACTATATACTGTCGACGTACTCCCGCTGCGACCCAACGGTTAAGATTCAGTGAAGAGTTGGTTAACACAGGCTCGTTCTTTCTCGTGGCACTAATTCAGTAGGAGTGGACAAACAAAGAGATATGGCGGCCTCTGCCAGAGAGAGAGAGAGCAGGTTGGGGCAGCCTCCCCACACCTATGTAATCAGCTAAGGGTGGATGACCAAAGATGGTTGATTGTTTTAAGGAATTGTTTCTTATCTTATAAGTTATTCACTAGGAGCGGTTCACATAACCCGGCATTAATAGAATATTAACAAATATTTCATCTTTTATCATAAACTTAATTTAAAGGATGTGACTGTAATAATTTGCAGGAGAGCAACAACAACAATGTGGTTTTACAGGCGTGTTCAGCAGATTGACTGATTCATTAGCCAACACATGAGATGATCTAGTCGGGGGCAGCCCTACAGCTGGAGCAAACTACTGACAGGGAAATTTGTCTTTCTACTTCATAAGAGTTTTTACTGAAATTTTGTGTAATAAAAATAAAGGATATATTAAACATAGTATGGTGTCCATGTTTATTGAGTTGAAAAGGATTTACCTGTTTTCCAGTCCCTGTAAATTGAATGCACATTTTCAGTTTGCATCACTTTAATTCTGGAAAATATTAATGGTGTGCAGTACAGTGTCTATCCAGTGCATTTTTTTTCCCCCTGAGGAGGCATTTAGCGTTTCCCTCGTTCAAATTCTTCTCTCAAACAGTAGTTGTGGATTGTTGAGTGTTTATTTTAAGAAGTGCAGGTTTTATACTCAGGGACCAATTGCTTCAATCTAGTCTTGGGTGGAACAGGTCATTCAAAACGGTGATTTCCGTTCATATAAAAGGTATTTCTAAGAAAATATTACGGCTTATTCATCACATTGATGTGAGGCACTCCGTGTCACATTTTGTCTCTGAAGCAGCTGCAACAGGTTCATTTATGATCTGATGAATCAAACAGCATATTTACACTTAAAACCATATAAATTCATTGTTTTGGCTTATGTAAGTCTATAAACATCTGAAATAAGTTCTGTTAGTAATATTCTCAGTAATATGAAACACCATCCTTTTCTCCTGTGTTAATTATTAACTTATATATAGGAGGTAAGTGGAATTGGTCTTTAAAAGAAATACTCAAAACAAAATCTGACGCTATGATGGAGGAAAGTTCTTTAGCCTACTTGTCTTGTTGCTTCTGTCACACCTGTTTCTGTTTCTACTGAGGCTCAGTATCCTCCATGTCTCTATTCCCTATTTTCACCTATTTTAATAAGAAAAATTATGTCTCTCCATCTCTTTTGGTTTCTGACTTTTCCATAATCATCCTTCAATTTGTACCTCCTTTTTGCAGCAAATGTTTGATGTTTGAGACTGAAAAACGTTATTAGTCATCCATAACTGCAAAAAGGAAAAAAAAACATGTTACATACTGAGAAAATAGATTTTCTGTACAACTGAAAGCCTTTGCAAGGAATTACGTTTTTCAAAAGAAAAAAAAACTATAAAATGACAAAGATGAAGTCTAAACCTGTGGCTGGGACACCTGTAACAAGAACAAGAGGTCAAGGAGGACTGTGGCATCAGCGGCATTTAATATTCCTGCTGGTCAATAATCAAGTAAGTAAGTGCTTTTGCATAGCATAGGATTTGTGTGGTTTTATTCAATTTCATCATGATTGTTACCATGTCCATATAGAAAATATATTAACACTTTAATTATACATTTCAATGGCCAGTCAAAATAGACACATCATGCAGATACAATATACAGTATTACAATAAATGTGAGTGGAGAACAGACAAGGTTTAATAACATGTAACTTTAAGATTATTGCTTGATTTAAAACTTAATCCCTTTATTAGAGCCGTCCTTCGTTGTAATATAACTTTGAGTATAGACAGTGTGTGATACTCTGCAACGTTTTAAGCATTACTGAATTTCACCCATGTGTCTGCACATTCATTCATGCAAGAAAGAAAAGATGCTAAGTTTATAGTCATCATTTGTACAAGTGAACAGGCCATGGCAGTTTCCTGTTGATTTCTGGGCCATCTGTTAATTAATTAAGCAATAAATATGCTTGTTCAAATCGGCCTGCACAGCTCAATCTATCATGATGCTCTTCAAACCCCAGAATCCACTTTTTGATGACTTCCTGTAGTATAGGAATTTTTGGACCTATACACTCACACACAAAACTGCAAAACGTTAATAAAACCTGCCCAGAAACACGGTCCACTCTGGTTGGGGTCTGAAGAACAATGGATGAGCTCCAGACAGGAGGGAAAATCTCTGTGTCCACCGAGCCTTAGATCACATTGTCAAACATGTGCATGGACTGCATGATATTTTCATCCTGGAAGGAGAAACAAGAGGACAAAGTTAAACTACTGAGAAAGCTGCAGATCATATGATAAGGTAAGATAATATAGACTTTATCAATCCCACACTGGGGAAATTCACTAGTGGAAGTGAAAGTTTTGTTAACACTTGATGCAGGAGACCTTTTGGCATGTCTCCAAGAACTCCTCGATGGTGACCACTCCGTCGTTGTTCTTGTCCATTTTCTGGAAAATGCAACACATGTTTCAAAGGTTAACTTAAAGGCACTCTGTGGAGTTTGCTTGTAAAAGTTATGTTTACGTTCAGTTTTCTCACCAAATGCAAAGTGATTTTTTTAACCTGCATTGTTTACATCCATGTTTGCTAGCTAGCTAGTCTTCTTCATTGGCTTTTGTTGGACTTTGCTACATTTCTTGGCGCGTTAACACCAACGACTGAAGATCAGTGGAGCAGCCTGACAATGATGACAGGACAGGGCATCCTTGTGCTAGTGCAAGACATACAAACAAATCAGCTGCTCATAAAAACAGTGCTCCACATCGCTCCTTGTGGTCAAAAACTCTTCAGGGTACCTTTAAGAAGCCCAAACAACATACACAGAAAAACAAATATATCTGGTGCAGTGTTTTAGGTCTTCCTTTTCTATCTACAGCGAATGCAGTCCTGAACCTATGTCTTGTCATCTAGTTAAATAAGCATGGTGTATGAGTAGATTATGAGGGACTCATATGAAATGCTTCAGTAGTTCGGGTGGTCCATAAAACATGACTGAACACTTAGAGTACTGATAAGCTCATTTTAAAGCAAACTTTACAAAAGGAAATCAAATATGTGTGAACCATTTGAACAAATTCCTTGACTTGACCTGATTTGTATGTTCTACCTGGAAGAAGTTGTCGACATGCTCCTTGGGAGCATTATCCTTCATGCTGGGGTGGGTGTACTTCCCCATCATGTCATAGATGGAGTGCATGATATCTGTCATCTCCTGGACAGACCAAAGTGAGGAAAAGAAGTAAGAATATCATCATCAATCATCAGAGTTGCCAACACAACACAAGACACAACTCGAGTTCAAGTACCTCTCTGGTGATGCAGCCGTCTTTGTTGAGATCGTACAGATTAAAGGCCCAGTGGAGTTTATCATTGATGGAGCCTCTCAAGATGATGGAGAGACTTATAACAAAGTCCTACAGCAGGAAAAAAAAACACCCTGAGCATATGTGGTACTGTCACCAAAAATGCCAAGAAAGTCCATATTAACAATGTACCTTATGTGTCCTTATGAATTTAAATAAATGAAATATCTTAGAAAGAGTTATGTTACATGGAAAGACATTTGGTAATCTAGAGTAGTGAAAAAGATTATAACAACCAATAAATGTAGGAAAGTGCCTCACTGTGGAGCATAAAGGAAGAAAACACAGAAGTGAAGGGATGGAACAGTCACCTCAAAGTTGACGGCTCCATTATTGTGGGTGTCAAACGCTTCAAACAGGAAATGTGCATACATACTTGAATCTGGAAGAAAGAGAAAATAAAGTGACCATTCAAATGCTTATGAATATGAACAATTGTACAGCAAATCAGAGTACGACAGAGACCACATGTACAGATTTTTATGGGCTCACATAGGATACAGTAAGATTTTGAGTTTGTGAAATGACATTCTTTTTAAAGCCCATGGTTTTATATCACCCTTTGGAAACCTGTGAAAGCATAGATTTGTAGTTGTAGAAACATTTAACAATGTCTTAATAAAGACTCAGAATGACTGAAAAAAATGCTTTTCACTACAGTAGAAAACCATGAGTGGCCTGTCAATCTTCTGATTCCAGAGACATGCTGGTAAAATAAATGTTAAAGATTAAATACAGGGGTTAAAGGAAGAGGATCTGTCTGACCTCCCTGAGGAAAGAACTGGGAGTAGATGCTTTTAAAAGTCTCTTCATTCACCACACCACTGGGACACTCCTGTGGCAATGAAAAAAACACACACTTTCTTATACATATAAACAATGTAAACATCCATATTGTATATAAGCACTCCATATTCATATACAAGGCCAATCAAAAGAGTAAAAAGAGAGAGAAAAACTAATCAAGAAGTCACAGTAATCTTTGACTGACGTTCTTGAATCCCCGGTAGAGGACCTGCAGCTCCTTCTTGCTGAAGTTGGTCTGCTGGATGAGGCGGTCGAGCCCGTCCGGTCTGTAACACACTGTCGACACTTCAGCCTCATCAGCTATACTTCCTGCATGGAGGGATGGAGAGAGGACTGAAATAGTTACTCCCTGAGATACACCAGAGTGTGCATGAAAAAGCCTTGTTTAGAGAAATAGGAAAAGTAAGAGTGACATGTGAGCATTTCATTTTCTCAGTGACTAAATTCACATGAAGAGTGACTGTGTGGCCTGACACTTGCTTTGATTAACTGAAGAGCTGGAGCCAGAGCGACAGCAGGGGAGCAGTTTGAGGAACCGCTGCTTTATGGTCTTTTTATTGGGTTTGGATTGTGGGTTACCTGGAAACAACCAATCACAGCAGAGTTTAGAAGCAGATAGAGTGGCCCACATAGGGACGCACTATGTTAAAAGGATGAAACACTGGCCAAACTACACTCAAGTACTTTGAATGACTTTTCCATTTAACTTTTGTGCAAATGAGTTTGCTGACCTGGCTCTGAACCAGTGTGACCCTTCAGATCAGAGCCGTTTGGCGAGCATCCAGCAAGTGAGGGCTGAGTGAAATGACACATGACTGAAGTCATCACCAGCTTCTCTGATTTAAATATGGTGAAAATGTTGCGGGATTTCCAACACGTTTTCTTTTAATTCAGTAGGTTTAAAATTGAGTTCCTCTAACATGGGTCTTTTAAAAGGAGTTTTTCATGTGTTGGAAGAAGACTAAGCATCTACAGCTACACTAGCATCTCTGTGAGGCTGCACAGTGGTGCTTTGAGCTGACTGCTATGCAATGTGACAATCACATAGACTGTATATAAAAAGGACCATCAACATCTTAGTGTGGTAGCATGCTAACATTTGCTAATTAGCGTAAATGGTCATAAATATTATTTCCCCCCTAAGTAACTTAACGTACATTAAGGTAATCTAACTCCACACTGAGAGCTTATTATGTATTTTATGATCTCTTTCCAGCTCTTCATTGAAGCTCTATAATGTATAGAAAGAGCAAATATTTACAACACAAGGCTAAAACATTTTTTTGGCTGCACCATTCAATTAAATTAAAAAGAGACATAAGCATCATTCCACACACATTTCTTTAAAATGTAGCCTGACATTCTTGGTATCTTCGGAATCTTTCTACTGTAATTTAAAATAAACTTCTGTGAGTTACAACAAAGTCTGCCGTCACAGCATGAGTTTCTAATGACTGACCCACCAACAGTTCAGTGAGGTACAATGCTTTAAGCTGAGAAAGGAGAATAAAAGTGACAATGAAAGGAGGGTTAAGAAAGACGCACACACACACATACACACACACACAGGCAAAGATTTCACTGAATCCTTGCGATTACAAATATTAAGACTGGACACCCACCATCATGGTCCCCTGGCTTTTACAGACACCACAACACAACACCACTTACACGAAACACAACACGACACCACACCTTCTACCAGCTCTGTGTCCAACACACAAGCAGCTGCAGCAGCTAAATGTCATTTCAACAACCATAGAACTAAAAGGGTGACAGAGTACCACTGACATTAACAAGTCACCCCTCAATTATCAATGTGCACACTCAATTATTCAACAGAATATTTAAACTTGTATGACTAACCTTCACTCACTAAATATCATACATTATACATGAATCCTCACTCTGTGATCTTTAAATAAGTAGTATGTTGATTATAGAGACATTTTATCAGTCAAATAAACAACTTCTTTGCAGGCTACATCGAATAGAGTCTGATTACTTTTACTGTATTTAGATCCAAATGAATGACAGAAAAAATATATTACAAAGTGAATATCACAATTTCCTCTGTCAACTCTTCCCTCTAACTCAACAGTACCTGTTGACAGTGTGCCAGTCAGCCAGCTGTAAAAGCGTCTGCCCATCTTCAACAGACTCTGGCGTCTCCTTTTCCTCTGCTCCATGCTCACTGTGTTTGAGGGTCAGCTCTGGCTCGTCTGCAGGGCTCTGACATCAGTTTTCACTCGTCCTTAACGGTGCATCTGATGAGCTTCTATCTTCTTCTGTGAAAGCCAGATGTTTTTGTCCTTTCAAAGAGGATGTCATTCTCTCTCTGTCAAGTCCTGATGAATTTGAGCCCCAGCACTCCTTTGCTTCTTATCTTTGTTGGATGACCTTTCTCACTTCAAACCAGAGTCTTTCTCTCAACTTCTGTTGTTAACTTGTAGCTTGCTCCAAAGCTGCATGTGAATCAACTAATAATCCTGATCTAGTGGATTGCAACCATCTTCATCAAGCTGATTATTGAACAAAACATTTGCATGTCTTCCCTTTCCCACCCAAGCTCAACCCCTCTCCTTCCTCCTCCCTCCTCCCGTAGGAGCTCCAGAAAGGTTGACACACCTGCTACAGTAAAACACTACCTTCCTCTTCATCCATCATTTCCAGTCTCTATTTGGAAGTTTCGCCTGCTCCTAAATTCTCTTTGTGTTCTGTTTAAGGGTCTCACTTGCTTTCAGTTGCTGAATGCATCTTGTTTTGTAGTCTCTCTCATCCAAAGCAGACACAGAGACTTTATATATCGACCCAAAACAACCCAAGAACAAAGAGAGGCTGTAGATGTAAGGTGCTGAACTATGCTGACATGCTCACACAACCAACTGTTGATGTAATTCTTTTGGTCCATGCTCCACTGTTTCATTCTCATCTGTCTTCTTTTCCACACTCATTTTGTGTCCTATTTCCTTCATCTGCTACTTTCCTTCACACTCTACCCTTCACCTTTTGTCTCATCCCCTCTTTCTCACCTCTTACTATGTGAACTTCTCTCGCTCTGCTCTTATTTATCCTCCCACTTAAGACAAGGACGCTTCTTCACCAACTATTGCTTGAAACACAGCACATATAATTCACAGTTTAAGCACTGCGAGGGAGCTCCCTGAACAGATTTCTACAAGCTTATATCAAATGTAGGCATACAGTGGGTTAAAAAAGACAATTTGTTTGAAGTGATTCCCAAATGCATCCTGTAAATGATGGTATTCACCAGTCTAATATCAGCTGAAAGTGTCGTGATAATATACACATATATATATATATATATATATATATATATATATATATATATATATATATATATATATGTATATATATATATTTTATATCTATCTTAAACGTGTATTTTAGTCTTTTCAATGTTTTCTTGCTTTTATCTTGTATTGTTTTTGTATTATTGTCTTTATACTTGTTAAAGCACTTTGTAACTTGTTTTTGAAAAGTGCTCTACAAATAAAGATTATTATTATTATTATTATTACATGACAGTCATGTGTCCTTCCTGCCACTAGAGGGCAGTGTTGAACTACAGTCAGATTACGCTGTCAAAGGCCTTAAAGTCAGAGAAGAGCTTAACAGACATACAGACAGGAAGCAACTATTAGCATGGCAGCATACCAACAGACAGGTGGAACATCCTGTTGCATGTTTCAAAAGTAGAACTGATGCTGCACCTCCACTCTCAGTCTAGCCCACAAGATGCTGGCCCTAAAATCATATCACAAGTAAAAGGTAAAACAGGTACATGAAGCACTCTCTAAAATATTGAATGTACTCATAAATATGTAAACGCACGAACAGCAGTGTTCAAAACCGTCGCACTGCATTATCACAATTTGACAACTTCAACAAGTAAACGGATAAAGGTGACACAGTTCAACGGGATGCATTAGCTTATTGCAGGCACAATTCAAATCAGACTTATTATAACAAACTGAGACACTGATGTGTTTGGGAAATGGTCATCAGTAATGTAAAGTAAACAAGGGTTATATTTCAGTCATAAAGCAGCAGTACTACAGGTTGAAACACACAATGAAACTCATTCATTCACACCTGACAAAAAGGATTGTACAGAACAGCTGCACTGCAGTAACACAGAGACTAAAGGTTTTGCTCAAGAGCATATCAGAAGCATTTAACAGGCCTAACTTCTCACTTCTTCCTTTATATTATATCTGCCGATGGTGCACATACAGCCTGTGTACATAATCAGGAATTAATAATATAATTTCATTCAGTGAGAATACACCAGTTGCTACCCAGCCTTTATATAGTACAGCAGCTGCGCAACTATGGAAAAACAAACAAAGCTTTACGGGGCCTTTCACTGGCAATAAGGATGACACAAACATCTCAGCGTTTTGATGCAGAAAAATAAAAACTGTAAAATGATTTCTTTTCAAACAGGAGAACCATTTTGCTGAGAGACAAGGAAACAAATTCCCTGCTGCTTGCTTGCTTTCTTTCAGTTGGTATTTTTAGACTTTTTAGAGCACGGGGCATTGATCAAAGATATTTTCTAAGTTATTGAAATGGCTGCTAAGGGCAGCGGTTTGCACAGTAATCCAACAAAAAACCAAAGCGGGAGGTTGTTCTTAGAGAGACAAGCAGCTTATAAATGTCTGAAGCACCGTTCCAGCTGCTTGTATGAGTTATATAAGATCATTAGCTGAACATAATGTGGACATGCATACCACTCACTGTTAGCCAACATAAAGGATGTTGTTCATGATGTTAAAATATGAGCAAATGCAACACAAGTAAGTTGCATTATCTAAACTTTTAACTGTCCCACAGTATGAAGCAAACATCGACCATTTCCAGGGTTTGACTGATGAATAACTGACTGACTCACCAGTTATATCAGCAGGTTGCTGAGCTCATCCAGCAGCCTTTTCCTCAGTTCTGGAGACCCTCTGGGTGCCTTTGTCTTTGATTGTGTGGATCAATTTCAACAAATGAAGCCCTCTGAGGCAGATCAATACACTCTTCCCTGCTGTTATTAACACATTTAAAGACTCTTTTATCCACTGGTGCAAAGCCTCCAGGCTGAAAATACTTAAACTGAGTATAGAGAAAAGTGAGAGACAATGAAAGAAAGAAGCTCTTGAAAAGGAGGGCTACACTTGTAAAGTGTTTATAAAATGTTTATTAAGGACTCTGAAAAGTCCCAAACTCCTTTAGCAGATTTAGGAGACCATAGCATAAATCTGTTGCATCTCAGTTCATTTGCTGCTGTTTCTCAAACCCAAACTTCTGAAGTGGACCTAATCAATGGGATCTCAGTCAGCTGGATCAGGGAGGCAAGTTTCTGGCATTAAGAAAAAAGCACTTGACAGTATTGACTTTGGAGATATATTTAATCACAGTGGAAAGATTAAAGCCTCCCAAAGTGGCAGTTTTGTGCATAATGAGTGTTTTTTCTTGGTTTTATTTCTTAGTTCATCATCTTCAGGCACATTTCTCTTAAAAAACACCCAAATCCACAGAGAAAATCCAGAGGCTTTGACCTCTTTTGCCCTCTATTGTCCTATAAAGGACAAACCTTTCTTCCCACAAGTTAGCTTTCCTTCCTGACTATGAGCTGCAAAGAAAAAGCAGGGATGTATGTACAGTATATTAGCAGGGAATAAGTAAAGCTTTGTTTATTGTTTATGTGCAATATTAATTTGTCAATCCATTGTCAGAGATTATTATTAACCTGTAAAATAATAGTAAATTATTTACTAACTGTGAAATAATTTTAAAACTTGCAAATGATTATAAAGACACCTAAAACTGTTCATGTTATTATGACACTAAACCCAAACACCCTCCCTCGTTCACTGGTAGCATTTTGGGTTTACTTGGAGGTCATGGCAGCTTAAGTAGGGTCATGTAACGTTAAATGAATGTTTGTAAGATAATGTTGCCCAGGCAACAGCCTCTGTGCTTACCATAATCCTCAGAAGGACATGGTTCAGATTATAGACGTCCATCTCATACAAACCATGAGGGGTTACAGGGGTTTAATGTCCGGACTATTTCTTGGCCAGACACACACACTCACACACACACACACACACACACAAACATATTTAAATCCACAAACACCTTCTCTATCACTGGCATCGCGAGCACCCCAGTGATTATTACAGAGGTTTATATCAATTCAATTTACCTCATGTGCGCTCACACAGTGGCAGACAACACCTCATCAGTTGGGTCAGCTTTGTTACACAACATTGATCTTAATACAACACTCTTCATCAGTCCAGACTACAGCCATCTCCATTTGGCACCTACACCTTTAAATCTGTTTGGCTCAGAGGGGCTTTTATGTTGAAATCAGCTATGTAACTATGTTATATAAATGTAATGTTTATGTTGTGTTCACAGGTTTTGATGCAGTAGGGAAAAAACAGTTTACTCTACAAAAATTGAATGAATAAAAATGTAATTAAGCGTTATCACAAGTAGATATGGGCTACGACTACAACCTACAAGCATCTGGTTAGCTTAGCTTAGCACAAAGACTGGAAACAGGGGGGAACAGCTAGCCTGGCTCTTTCCAGTGGTAACAAAATCTACATACCAGGACCTCTAAAGGTCACATTATCGCTTGTCTGTTCAACCCATGTAAAAGCCTTGGGGTAAAAACAACACGTTGCATTGTTACAGGGGATTATGGCAGGAGGAATAACTCCCTGGAGTCTCCGCTGGCTGCCCGGGCAACTGCTCCTGGCCAAGAAATAGTCCGGCACGTAACTCCCTGTAACACCTGACTTTTTTGTTTTTACACTTAGGTTGTTGTACGGATGAAACAAACAAGATGTAATGTGTTAAATAGTAAAATTTTATTACCGTTGAACAGAGCCAGGCTAGCTGTTTCCCCCTTTTTCTAGTCTTTATGCTAAGCTAGGCTAACTGACCACTCACTGTAGCATCATATTTACTGTACAGATATGACATCTAACTAAGAAAATGATCTTATTTTCCAATATGTCATAGTCAGTTCCACATGCCGTGATGGTTCAGCTGCAGTACAGCAGCAGTAGGGTCATTGTAACTTGTGAAGTGTAGTGCTGAAAGTGTTGACTTGAAAAAGATCCAGTATCTATAATGTATGAATACAATCTGGAGTAAACAGCATGAGGTTTTCAGCAGCTTTACAGCAGAGCAGCTGCACATAAAGACTAGTTTCTGCTTGGTCTGAATGGTTTTAGCTGATAAATCTTTCAAATGCATTTTTAACTGCGTTTTTCCATAAGCAGTCGTTGTTTCCTTTATCGATATGTTTCACTTGACGTTGGGGTGTTTATTCGACAGATACAGTAGAGTTGAACAGCAAAGGCTGCGGTTGCACAGTTTGTGCCTCAGGCTGTTCAGCACCACGACGCCCCTGCACTTCACTCTTAAATAAAAAATTTTGTTTGTGTCTCCTCAATGCCCCATAAAGCCTCTGTGTTCACACACCTGTTCCCTGTTTGGTTAACCTGCTGTTGAATGGATATCACACTGACAAAATAAACCTTCATCTGTATACCGTCCGTTAAATACAGTTGTTTAGAAGTGTCCTGCAAACTAAAATAAACACTTTATGTTGTATGATAGCAGTTATTTTTATACATCTGTTTAGTTGTTAAAGAAAAAGGCTATTTCTGGAAGCTGTCACTAGAATGTCAGAGCAGCCTTACAAAGCAAACTGTGTGTGTGTGTGTGTGTGTGTGTGTGTGTGTGTGTGTGTGTGTGTGTGTGTGAGAGAGAGGGAAGGAGAGAGAGAAACTAACACTCATATTTTTTGCAGTTGTGTTCTCTTTCCTCTCTCTCGCATCAGTGTTTATCAGATTACACTATACTATTTAAATCAAGATCAAGGTCAGCCTTATTGTCAATTTCTCCACATGTAGCAGACATACAGAGGAATCGGAAGGACGTTTCTCACTATCCCACTGAGAAAGTTTAAAAAAAAATGCACAATAACAAACGACTAAGATGATAAAAAACAAAATGAAAAAACTGATGTGCATCTTTGTGGCTTTTTGTCATAATATGAAAGTTGAAATAGTTTTGTAAAGCACATCAGGCCTTTAATGTGTCTTTTCTATCATTGGAGTGGGATGATTTGCTGCTCAGTCATCTCCACTGCACTTTTAGAGCTTTTCCTGAAAACAAACGATATGAATAACACTAATACCACTGATGTTATTTGGGCTGCAGCTATTGATTATCTTCATTATAAATCAATATTTTTAATAATTTCAGTATTTTTGTCTATTAAAAGTCAAAAGATGAAGAAAATGTTGCAATGTTTCATCTTAAAATTACTCTTTTTGTCTGACAAACCAATCAAGAATATACCAACCAAAGATATTCAGTTTACAATTAAAAGAAAACCAAGACACCAGACATTCTCTTTGGCTTTGTTTGTTTGTTACACCTTGCACACAAACACACACACACACACACACATACGCACGCACACACACACACACAAACAAACTGTAGGCTACCACCTTACAGAATTGCATTACTGGCATTATTGGACCTTCCCGCTGCTTCAGACTGCAGTCATTTAGCTGCAGATGTAACTCAAACATTCAGCTCTTACAGCCATGTAAAGACGCCGGCTTTATATACAACACACAACACGTAATGAAAAGCATGTGCGCTCACTGGGGACCAACCATACACACACATCAATATGTTTCACAAAGCTTGCTGTTATTTTACCGATGGCATGATGCTTCAGCACCTGCTGCCCTATGGATAATACAACTTCTTATTTATAACTACAACAGGCTAAAGCAATGATTTAAAGTTCATCTCGAGGTAAAATCTTTCTCCATTTCATTTACTGAGCAATGTAAAGAGGCTGCGGGATTGTTTGAAGCAGCTGTGGTGCGGACGGTCCAGATTCTGACTTTGTACCCCGGCTGTTCTGCAGCAGAGACAGATGATAAAACAGGAATGTGTTGATCCTTAATGTTTTCTTTTGTTTTAGACAGGACTAAGTCTAATAGTAAAATATTATTTCCTTATTGCAACATATCGATTACCCTAAGTTGACCTATGGCAGTTTACAAACTTTCATGAGCGCGCGGGTCTAAGCCAGGTCAGCAAACAGGAATGAATCAAGCAATAGCTGAGTTTCCCATCGTTTAAAAAAAACATTTATATGACAAAAAATAGGCTACCTGTAAGGGGGTCGTAAGATCTGTCCAGCTCTCTGGAGTCGGACAAACTCTGGTCCTGACTCCTGGATTTCATGTTTGTTTCAGTCCTTACCAGACCACCGCGCTGAACCTGCCGGAGCTGCTGTGTGCGCGTCGGAGCCGCAGCTCATCTACGACTTCAGTCCCGTTTGCATGACACTTCTCTGCACGCACCGGCCTGCCGTGTGAGCTGCACGCTTGTCTCGAATAGGGGAGGACAAAAGTGTAAAAGTCCGTGCAGAGCTCGCCGCTCCGCGTCCCTGCTCGCCCCTATCCAAACGGCTCTCTCCCCCTCCTTCCCCTCCTCCCGCTCGGCATCAGCGCGCACTCACATCCACGGTTTGCTCTTCACAGTCAGTTGAGAGGCTTCTGCGGGGTTAGGGTCCGGGTGTGACGGGAATCTTCAGGGGCTTCTCTGGAGAAACCTGGTGACTTTACTTTGCTGGGTGTCCAAACATCCAGATATGACAAAGCGTCCCGCTGCTGTCAGCTGGAGCATCTGCATATGTCCGAGCTGAGAGACGAACAGAGAGAGAGAGAAGCGACAAACCAGCAGTGCTGGAATGTAACTAACTACATTCAGTCAAGTGCTGTAGGCTACTTAAATACAAAGTTGAGGTAGCCTACTCTCTGCTTCTATTCCACTGCATCTCATTATTGTACTTTTTACTTCACTACATTTATCTGAAAGCTCTAGTTACTTTACAGATTAAGATTTTTTCACACAAAACATATAAAACGTTTTTTATATGTTTGGTTGTACAAGTACAGTTGAAAGGGTTACTCCATTAACAGAAAATTAATAGGCAGCTATTTTGATAATCGTTCACATCATTGTTAATGCAAAAACTGGTTCCAGCTTCACAAATGTGAAGATGTGCTGATTTACAACAGTCATAGGAACCATTTTTCTGCATTGAGTAATTTTACTTTTAATACTTTAAATACAATTTCCTGATTATACTTACTACATGCTTTTACTTAAGTAACATATCCAATGCAGGACTTTTACTTTTTACTTGTTTTACAGTGTGGTTTTAGTACTTTTACTAGAGGATCTGAATCCTTCCTCCATCACGGCTTAGAGGAAGAGGAGTGATGAAGCAAGACAGAGAGTGCTACAGACAGACAGACAGATATGTGAGAGTGTATATCTGCTGATCTATGCTTCACTGATGGATGGTCTCACCTTGGCTCGGGACTTGAGCAGCTTTGTCTTGGTAGGGAGAAGTAATACCTGCGGATCAATATCCTGTCAGCTCTACGTCCTTGAGCTGGTTGAGTAGAGTTAAGTCATGACTCACTCATATTTCAGAAAATGCACGCACCAAGGTCGTTTGGGGGAAAATAATAATAATTTTATTTCATTTGAATAATATATCCATAAATCCAAGCTGGATGGAAACAGAGGAGGCCACAACCTGATTTATGGGATAAACTTCAAGATTTCCACAGCTTTGTTTCCCACCAGAAAGTTCTATTTTAAACCCTCCACAATGTAATACTTTAAGCTTTTATGAGATAACCAGGGTTTGAAGGCTGTAATTGTGTAGCTTTTTGTTGTATATATATTTTTTTTTTCCATTTAAGCACATTTTAAATCTGTAAATCAACTTTTTCTAGAAGTACTTCACATTGTATTGGTCAGACATGTATAGGTTACAGGTCAACAGCGACAGTGTTAACAGCGCTATCAGAAGGATATTCTGTAAAAGTTTCACCCTTGTTTTAGCTCATAATGTATCAGGATCCTAAAGAAAAGATGATCACTAAACTGATAAGGGACTGGTTCGTTGTTTGATTGGATGTGTTCATGTTGAAATTCTCACCATCAAAGAGCTACTTTTGGACTGGGCGTCTCTAGGGCTTCTCTTTGATGTTGCAATTCCTTCTATAAGAGCTTTTCCTGTTGTAAAATGGCAGAAAAGCTAAATAATGCTTGTTGGGGAAAAACTGTGTGGTGAAGCTTCTTTAAAGACAGGCGGGCGGGTGAGGGATTATTTTGTCCTCCCCCCAGAAGACTGATGGGGAAAATATTATCAGGTGCTCAGGGAAAGAGAAGGACAAAGAAAAAGGAAAGACAAAAAGAAGCCTGGTGAAGTGAAAAGAATCAAAGAGAGGGGTAGTGGCGCATCTGAAAAGAAAAGGGAAGCAACTCTGTGAGAAGAAGAGAGAAGAAAAAACTCAAAAGAGAAATAGAAGAAGACAGAAGGAACTCACTGGAGCGGTATTTGAATATATTATGTGCCTTGGGACAGTTAAATCTTGCAGTATTGATGGTGTTTATCTCCCACAGCAGTTTGCAGAGAAGTTTAGCATTGCTGCAGGCTTGAAAGTGGAGCTGACAGATATCCAATAATGAGCTCTGATTGATGCCTGAAGCTATAGCAATGATACAGGTGATACAAATAACACACACATACATGCAAGTACACACATACATGTGAGCGGGCACTGGCTGTTCAGTGCTAAACAGAAGATAATATTCAGTAAAAGACCTAAAAAGTGCCTCATGTCCTCAAGAGGTGTCCCGCTGTTTTCGTGTATGCTTTGAAAGAGGTAGTTTTGAGTTCATTTAGTTTTTTTCATATGTTCTCCAGACTCAGGTGAGGATGCACAGATAAAGAAATGAAGGGGTGAAATGATGACAGAGGGAGGGTGGGGGACGGGGATTTCAGGCGAGACAAAGTAGGCAATCTCCCCTCAAATGAATATTTGATGAGAAGGCTGATATGCTTAAATGAAACGTTATAAATACACAGCAGCGTTAATGGGTTGTCACAGTAAAACGGAAAACGGCTGAGCATCTAAGCTGTCATCAGCGCGCGCGCACACACACACACACACACACCGCACAGATTATATCAGGGAGATGATATACTGCCCAATATACAATACAGCCAACAAAATTAGAGGATTTTGAATAGATTCATGTCGGGGGATTGAGATCCACCATATTAAAAAGACATTGCATAAAGTGATCTCCTCCACTCTCTCTCACACACAAACACACACTCAGAGTCCACTTCCCATGCAATAGTATTATTCCCAGTCCATACAAAATCCCATTATCATATCTGGAAATGGATCTGTTCACTGACATGATGCCTGCATGTCCATTAGAGGCTTATCAGTGTGATTGTCTTCCGCACTCCGTCCCACGATTCTAATTAAGCGTGCACAAGATAGAGAAAATACAAAAGCGAGGAAAGAGGTAAGATTGTTATCATTGATGTTTATGGTCCCACTGCTGCTGCATGAGAGGAGCCGGCAGGTGGCTCCACATGTCGTAACCCATCAACTACAAATGAAAAGTACCCTTTTCTTGATCAACTTGTGGTCTTGCAGTCATGAAGAGAGGCTTCTTTGAAAACGGTTCCTTGTTGGTGCATTCAAGTGTTAAAGGACATGAGGGTTGACTCCTGAACAGTAAAGTTTATTGCAAATGGAGGTGGACTGGTCATGGAAACATTTTACTCTAAAGGGCAAAACATGTCCGCCAAGTGGTCTGTTCCTTTAGACATGTAGGTGAATATATGGATTTTCTTTCCGTTACCTCAAGTGGCAACTCTACATCTCTCAAATGTCTTAATTAATTAGTTAATTAATGGCAAAGTTCCAAACGAAATGACAAGTTATTAAATACAGTTTAATTCTAGGCTCAAAATATGTGTTTACGTGTTGTAAATCAGATACTTTCTCAGCTCCTTTTTGTTTCTCCCTTTATAAATTCTTTGATGTCCAACAGTTCTCTTATTATAAATCATGATTTCTACTAGTACATGAACTACTAGTACTACTTTTGTCCTTATACTGTAGTTCAGCCAATGTGAAATAAAAAGAATTATCAGCACAGTCCTTCAAGTTGTTTTGATAGGCCCCTTGTGCTACCAGTATGCAGACGATGCACGTTTATCTACCACTAAAACCCAATAAATCAAAACTCGGACTTCATCGTTGGGAAATCTCCTTCTCCAAACTCTCCAAACGTGTGAATTATTTCAGAATGAACATGGCTTTTTATTAACTCATGTGAAACTTGAGATATGGGAAAACCCCCTGCAAGTCCATTCTGACCTCTGCTTGTTACTTTGAGCCACTTCTGACAAACAAAAGACTCAGTTGATGTTGTTTGTGTGAGCCTCAGGGCGCAGACATCATTTGGAAATAGCTCGAGGACAAAGTTTCAAAGTTTATCAGAGATATTGGCTAATTAGCTTCACAACAGGAGAGAGCAGGGGGGTAGATGGAGGAACAGCAAGGAGTTTGTTTTCTCAGCGCCTGCCGCTGCTGAAAGTACATCACAATTGAGTAAACAGACAGGTGTGTGTCCTATTTTCACACTAAATGTCTTGTTCACACAGTTCAGTAGATCAGAAATGGAACTTGGTAAACACACAACCACAATATGCATTTATGGGCCAAGACTGTTTGCCATTTTGTGACTATGTATAGATCTGATAATGAAGTGTATCAGTGCATACAATCTGTATGCAATTACCTTGTACTTACTGTGACTGCTAATGTCACATTATCAAGTGTCTCTCCCTTAGAAGTTTTACCTGCAATCATCTGGGCTCGACTGCTACAGAGTTCTTTATGGAGGTAAAATAAAGGACTAAAAGTATGTGAGTTGTGAAGAAGTCCTGAAGGTATCATGCAGATATTGTGCACGACAATGAATGGTGTTGTCAAATATTTGATTATTAGATCTGTTAAACGAGGCAGCAGAAAACAACTTGTGAACACATGTCTACTGTATATGGTGAACTTGTTCAAATTGTTTCTTATTTACAGCAGATGCCAAGCAACATTCATTTGGCGTTGTTTCTAACCAGCTGGTACTGTAAATCCAGTGCTCTCTTTTAGCACTGTTTTGTTCTCCACCAACTCCCGTGGGATACATCTGGCTCTTCAGCTGCTAAATCTCTCTTAAGTCTCTGAATGTTTGGTGCTGAGCAGGTAGTGAAATCGAATGAAAAGTCATATTTCACTTCTGCAGTGTGTGGTAATAAAGCCTCCCACTGACGCCCAATATATCAAAACTCAGACTGGGTCAGCAGAGTCAGCAAAGGACAGTGAGTGTTTAGATCGCAGAGATAAGGGTGTTCCCCGGAAAGCTTCCAAAAGAATATTATGGTTTGTTTGATGTTACAATATAGATGTGTTTTTCTAAATGGGTCTTACCTAGTCAAAAGAGGAAGCACTAGTTAAGTAGTAGGAAACCAACCTTTATTTTTAAAAAAGAAACATAAATATACCTACAGGAGTAAGAGATGAAAGAAACAAGACCCTATACTTGAAGGAGTTGCATAAGTCAGATCTGCTGCTTCCAGTCAGAAATAATAATTTCAAATGTTCTGAATGAGAAAAAGACAGGATGAGCTCAAAAGTAAAGAATATTTTTTCACTAAACTGACTTCATGTGCCAGAGACACACAAGCAGTCATCACTTTCAACAATCTTAATGTTCAACCATTGTCTGAACAGTTTTCCTTCTAAACTAACCGCATCCTTTAATACATTCATTCGTTAAACTAAATGGAGAAACGACTTGTGTGACGCACAGTAGTAAATGTTAAGTCATGGCTTTGTTCAAAAACAAAGGTTTGCTACAACAATTACAAGGTTTGTTTTTATCACTTCAGAGCATTCCCAACTTAATTACTGTTCAAAATGTTCTACCCCTTAGCGAACGCAAATATAAAATACATGTATATTTGTTTCAAACAAGTAGAGGTTTAAGTTATCATTCACACAAAGAGAATTCAGCCGCAAATAAAGGGTTAACGCTCTAATCAAAGAGGACTTTAAATGAGATTAGAACTCAAAAAGGCTCAAGGTCACCACTATGGTTGTTAGGGAGGACATAATGTTTCACTCAATCCTGAATCTTCTGAAATAATTACTGGAAAGACAAACCATAAACCATATTCTCTGATCAGTTTGACACTAGAAGCTACTTACAACATCATCAGTGGCAAAAAAAGGTGGAGCGGGACATCTCGGTTAAAAATACTTGAATCGGAAATCCAGACTTGCACGTGTCAGTTAACAGTCCAGCCAATACTGCAGATTGCACACGAGGAACCAGTGCAACACGGGCACTTCCTTAAAGTTATAACACACACATATGAACAACCACAAACAGGAGCAAGTCTGGAGAGTTTTCAGATCTTTCCTTAAGGTGCATCCAGCCTGCAGGGGTCTCCGTAGGAAATGTTTCCATCATTCAGGTCACAGGAGGGACAGAGGATGAGGGGTCGAGACGAATCATGGAAAGAACAATCGAGGATTGTACTGGTTGGTGTTAGTTCTGTATGTGTACATGTCCACACGCACACAAATGTACTGTGTATGTCCAGAGAAGGCTGGGGGGGGGTGTGGGTGTGTGTGTGTCTTTCAGGAGATGGTGGAAAACTCTTTGAGCAGGACGTCCTGACTCAGTGTGTTCAAAGAGACATTCTTCCTCACATTCAGACTGATGGAGCGCACCTGCAGACAGAAAAGCAGATTACCAGTTCACAGATTTCTATAAACACAGAGAGACTGAGGCTTATTCCCATCCCAGACACTTCACCCTCGTCCCAAATGAATTCATATGTAGCTGCAGATGCATATAAAACTCTCTGACAGCAAGTCTGCTGATTTACAACAATCCACTACCTCTTAAGGCTGCACATACGCCAAAAACTACAGAAAACATCATCAAAATTAAAGGTTCCTTCCAGCTCCACTCCACTAGGGCTGAACAATTAATCGAAACATTATTGAAATCGTAATATGGGCAAGTGCAATATCCAAATCGCAGGAGCTGCAATTTTTTGATAAAAAGGTACAATTTGTCAAAACATACCATTAAAAATGAAGTACTGTGGTGCTGCAGAGATGCCCCAGCCTGCAAATCATACTCTCCAGACGTATGAGAACATGCTTCTCAGAAAAAAATCACTTATTCATCACTTTTACATTTTTTTCCACTATTATTTTGACTCCTATCACAATATCTGTCAAAATAATCGCAAAATATTGAGTTGCATTATGGGAAGAGTAGGATCTAGCCTCAGGATATCTCAGTCTGTGCTGTTGTGATATTGCCCATTCTTTTTTTTAATCTTTGTCTCACTTCTCCCTCAACTTTATGGAAGTGCAATACTAAAAATATTGCATTTCAAGGGAAATGGCGCACATAACTAAACTAGTTGTCAATCGGTATAGTTTGCTGCTGGTAGTATGGGGCAAGTGCATCTCAGTTTACCTGCTTATTTATTTAAGTCTAGAAACACAAAAAATTTAAAAATAATCATAGAAATCATTTTAACGGTATTGTTTTTTTTGTTTGTTTTTTTTAAACTTACTCATTTCTGTTCACTTTCTATTACATACTATTTTTGCAGCCGTCGACTTTGCAAAAACACCTTGTTGATTGTAAACAGCAGTGACCAGTAAAATGTTGCAGAAGGAAACAACCACTTTCAGTCTGGGGGGAAAAATTCATTTGGGATTCATTCATTCAGTTTGGGAAAGAATTTAAGTCTTTGTAAACCGCATTAAACCATCAACAGCCACAAGTCATTGCCCTTTCTCTCTCTTACCAGCTCCTTGAAGAAGGCTGCCTCTTTAGGCTGCTCCGAGTATCTCTCAAACTGGTCCAAACCATCCTGCAGTTTGAGGGTCAGTGTGTCATAGTTGGACCGAACCACCTCCAACACCTAAGATGAGAAATGTGGGCAACAGCAAAATTAATGTTGCATAACTTACCCCAACTCCATAATACAGAGTGGGTACCGCACCGTACAGTAAACATGTAACTTGAACTGAACATTTAAATATTAATTAGTGTTTAATACTTTATTACAACATATTTACTCAAGAGAGGTCATGTGGACTGTTGAAATACTGTAATGTCACATCAGGATTTTTGTAGCATTTTATCTGCTTTCTTTCTTACTTGTTTGTTTTGTCCTATTTGTCCACATGATTGTGCAACATTAGCTACAGCTCTGTTAAACTTTTCACACAGTAGTTGTTTAATTATCTTTTTGTGTGTGTACACTATGGTTATAAGATCACAGGACGCACTTTCCTGTGGTAAAGTCCAGCTGAGATAAGAAGCAGAAAACAGAGCTAATTATGCAGAGATTCTCCACACTTCCACCCCTGCCACTCCCCCCCTGAGCCATGAAATAGCCCCTAGCAAGACCGTTCCCATTATTTTATTAATGTCCCATGTCTCCACACAGCATAAACATTAACAATGAGATGCACAAGCTGCTCTTTGTTATGCTTCCCGCAGAAGCTCTATGAAACACTCCTCTCAAATAAGCCCAGCTTTTAACCAGATAAACATACAGATGTTAACTCGAACTGACTAAACAGCTGAATCATCACTTTAAATGTTAAATGAAAACAGAGGGTTAGGAGAAGGAAAACATGCTACTTTTATTTTCTTCTAATAAATCTACAGTTCTCCGTTGTCTTTCTTTAAACGTCTGATGAAAAAAATCCTACCCACGTCTCACTTGCCTCTTTCTCCCTCACAACTCCCCATCACCCTCCTCTCTCTGTAGAAATGTGGCGGCAGGTTTGAGCTGTAACCTCAACTAATGTGTGTTTAGATGTTTTAGCTCATTTGCGGTGAATGCAAAGGACGGTAAAGATGAAAGGAGCAGGGGGAGAGAGTGTGAGCTACGACAAACTGGTTACAGGCAGAAAAAATGAACAGGTGAGGAATAGTAATAGAATTAAATAAAAAGTCAAGAGAAGACAGAGAGACAATGTAACATTTACCACTCGCTGTTTTGGCACTGACAGAAATGATAACACACACACTTGACTCAGCTGGGCAACATTCTGCATCACAGAGCAGATATGATTGTGTGCACGCAGTTGACATTGTGTTTATTTTGAAGCGCAGATACAAAAGCAGTTTTGTGTGCTAAAGAAAGTTTCAACTCTAAAATTGTATGACGTGTGTGTGAGAGACAGCCAGAGTACAGCGACTCGACTTCATGCTGTGTGTGTCTGGGAGGCCATCCATCTTCTAGTGCCACTGTAGGGGATGAAGACGCTCCAGGTGGCAGGTGGTCACTGTGTCTGCATGTTGAGCATGTACGTTAAAAGACAAAGAGAAGGAAATGCAAGGTTTCACACTCAGCACAGAGGCAGACGGGAGAAAAATAAAGAGCTTAGCCTGAAAAAGCCATAATCTAAAGGTCTCTCAAATGGACCAAAGTTCAGCCGATCATCTATTCTTGCTTTCTCTACCTTCGTTCTCCCCCATAGTCCACAGATGCTAATCTAGTTATAGCTCATAATCCACAGCTGATAATCTAGTTATATCTCATAATCCACAGCCGATACTCAAGTTACATCCTATAATCCACAGCTGATAATCTGGTTACATTAACGTTCATCAGTGAGATAAGAGGAAACGTCTTTACCTTTTACGTCCGTTTGTGGTGAGCATTATTTTGTTCAGCCTGATTTTTAAGATGTCTTTGTTGAGATGACCTAATTTTGAGAATTCTGAGAGTAGCAAAGCACATTGTCTAATAAATGAACAATGCCCTAAAAAAAACCTTTTTAAAAATTCACTCTTTTGGATGAAGACAGTAGGGAGATGACAAGAAATGAGGGGGGAGAGAGAGGAGGAATGACATGCAACAAAAGGTCCCCCGCCGAACATAAACAGGGGACGTTGCGGTTCATAAACCCTGGGCCACCAAGGCATCCCAAAAAGGACTGTATTGGATCATTTTTAGTCATAATATTGATTGCTACCATGAGAGCAGAACAAAATTATGAACATCAATGAAGTCCTGTTGGTAGCCATGTGAAGATATTGGAGCAAATTCTATGGTCATCAATTAAAATAGAAACGTCAGCATGCACTACTCCAAACACCAATACTGGTGTTAAGCCCTTAAAAAAGTCCTTCACATAATGTCCTGATCAAGGTTTTGTCCCCCACCTGAGTCATATAACATATCTGTCTTGATTCCTACATAATATAACCACAGTGAACCAAGTACACAGAGCAATATGAAAAGACAACTCATTCAAATTCAGCAGCGTTTTGTGCAATCTTTGTGGAGAGAGGAGCGTCAGCGTGAAAAGGTTGTGTCAGATGGTTTGGAAAGGATATGGACAGCCTCTCCAGCCTCTCACTGAAGCAATCTGTCAGTGTGGATGTCCTCATTTAAACGACTGGCTTCTGCTTATTTGTTCATGCAGCTCAGCGGTTTGCTCTCTCACAACACATCAAAACAAACAAAGTCTTCTGTTAAATGCATTTTTGAAACCATATTTGTCAATATGGGGAGCGCAACCTTTCAATTAGCGTAAGATTTGCATCACACAGTAGCTCCACATAGACAACTACAAGTGTGAAAGAAGAAACTGCCACTTATCAAAAAGTTACTTTATCTAATGAGGACAGTGTTAATATCGCCAGTTATATAAAACCACTGGCAGCTCATAAGACACCAAAGCTAACTTCTGCCTTCCCTCTTTGTTGTGAATAAATCTAGGAGATAACAACAGAGAGGTAATTGAGGAGTATAATGACCAAATCAATCACTCTCTTATCAGCTTGTAAAAAAGGACTCTTCCGGCTGTTTTTCTGTCCTCTCCGATTCGACATAAATGATTAAGTCTTAAATGGAGCTCACGACGCTCATATCTGTGAAGTTCAGCCTCCTTCCACACTAAGGTTTTTCCACTAATGATGAAGGAATAACTCAAGTGTTTCAGAAGTAGTCCAGTTGCTTAATGACTCAAATCGGTGTCTGCAGAAGAGTAGGGCTCTCACTGTCATTATTTCTACAAAAGCAGCTGCAGACCTCAGAGAAACTGCAACATTTACTGTACTTTAAATATATACACAAAAATCTACAATGTTTTTGTTTTTAGGAGGATGTTTCCTTCAAGAGTACAGTAAGAGGTGAATTCTGTCACATACGGTGACAACAGCTTCATATTGGTCGTGAACAGGGCCCTCCCACCTGCCTGACCTGTGTGCAGTGAATCAGCCATGATGCGTATAAAGCTCAGTGGCGTGTGGTAACGACTGCTTTTCTAGGTGTCTCACCACCACAAGTGTTGTCCGAGGGATCCATCTATGCAACGCAGCTGTAATTACGCTCCATAAATGCTCCATATTTGTATAGCGCCTTTCTAGTCTTTTTGACCACTCAAAGCGGTTTTACACTACATCTGCATTCACCATTCACTCACATTTATACTACTTACTCACATCATACACTGAGCCTAAGTGCTCAAACAGAAACTAACATTCACACACATTCATACACTGGTGGAAAAGCCGCCAGGGGCAATTCGGGGTTCAGTGTCTTGCCCAGGGACACTTCAACATGCAGCCTGGAGGAGCCGGGGATTGAACCGCCGACCGATTAACAGGCAATCCGCTCTACCTCCTGCCCCATAATTACTTCCTGAATAGACCTTCTTTCAAAATAAAATGTGGGGTGCCCCTTTCTCAAACACTTGGAAGCATTGAGTGTTTTCCACTGTGTACTAAAAAATTCATAAAGATTTACTTTTGAAATGACCAGAGTGATGTTTCAGTGGAGTACCGACCAAATGGACCCGAGATGTTGCTGAAGTTCATTTTTATTTACATGCAGCTTTTAGTCAAGAGTGTAAAAGGAGGGAAACAGTGTTTACCTGTTCTTCTGACAGCTGGGATATGTGGTTCACAGCAGCGTACGACTCAATCTTGGGGTTAAAATGGTTGATGATGGCCCTTAAAGATAAAAAACACAAATGCTTCTGAAATGAAGTTGAATAGACATTTTCCTCAAAGGATGTCCACTATATTCCAAAACCACATGCACACCTGAACACGTGCGATTGTTACACACCTCACTCCAAAACCAAGAGCGGTCTTATTTTGGGAAGACTTTCCTCCTGGCTTCAGGGATTTTATCCCATTAAGCCACAAGAGCAGTGGTGAGGTCAGCCAAAAATAGTACATTTGCTTTGGTAGTTTAGTGTATACGGGGGAAAAAAGAGCCTTTGCAAAGCAATGACGTTGCCCGGTCATGGCCAGAGGGTGTGTTTCAGTAAATAGACAGTCTTTTGTGGCCTTTAACTTTCACACTGCAACTGTTGTCATTATCCTGTATTGATGTTTACTTGTCAGACAATGTCTTTCTCATAAAATAATCTGATCTGCACTGCAGCCCAGCAGCATAGGAATCGCTGTCTGATATTAGCAGGAAGAATTCATGAGCCACAGTGACGTGGCTCATGAATTGTTCCGCTGAAACATAAAAATCTGCAAATGAGAATTAGATGGCTTAATGTGGATGTAGTCTAAAATATTATTCTATGCTGTAGCAATAAGATTCCCCTGAATTGGAACCAAGGGTCCCAGCATAAACCATGAAAAAGTACTTTGTATACTTTTGGTGTGGGCTGTAAAGTGTAGTGTACAATTGCAGCCACCTCTAACACTAATTAAAATGTGCATGCAGCTTTCTGGAAAAGCCATTTCTTCTTGTTTAGGTGCAAACTAATAGTACACTAATGTTCAAGGCGAGAGGGTTTGCAATTGGCAATTTTGACAAGATATTTGACAAGCAAAGTTCAGACATGCTGTTTAACATCTAAATTCATTTCTACTCATTCCTATTCAATTCCACCTCAATGCCACCTTCACCTTGTGTGAGCACATCAGAGAATTTAAGATGTAAATGGAGAGGCAATCTTTTCCAGCATATACATACACTGCTCTATAGCTCAAATATAAGTTGATGAAATAAGCTGTGTGACAAAATGGCTTATTTTGTACTAGTTAGAGTACATCATATATCAAATAAATTATCGTGACCAAAATGCAGAGCATTCTCCGCATTGGTAATTCTGTTATCATTTACATGTGAGAAGCCAGTATATGGGGGAATGAATTGATGGGAGTAAAATGGAATCGGTCCCTTCATTTGAGTTCATTTCAACACAGTCTCTGTGGGTTCTTTATACCTCTCTGCCTTCATTCATTTAATCTTTCAAATATTACCCTTTCAATCTCTTTCCCCCTGCCTCCCACTCAACCCTTGAAACTGCTTATTTAAAGCAGTGGCGTCTGCTCCTTCAGGAGCCCAGTTGAGTGGCCCCCTCATGGGGCCTCCAAGCCAGGGTGACCTGAGAGGATCATCTCCTCAGAGAAGATGGAGGAGGAAAGACAGATTAAAGGGGAACATAGTGGAGAAGAGACCAAGTACTGTGTGTGGACTAGAGCTGGGTTGGGGTGAAGGAGATAAAGGCTTAAACATTATCAAATAGAGGGGCTTAGAGGAGGAAAGGAAGGGAGGGAAGGAACTGGCTGGAGATGAAGAACCTACAATTATAGTTTGAAAGAATTAACTCCATTCACTTTATTGTGACTTTCCTGCAACACATTCTTATTTGCAGTTTCCCTCGATCTCTTTTCTCCTTCGCAGGACACAGTGTTTGTGCGTTGTGAGAGTGTGTGCATGTCATTTTACCGAACATTGACGAGGGCATGGGTGACTTTGCTGGCTGCCTCCTTCCACTGGCCCGTGTTTGTTGATACTCTCAGAACTGGAAGGCAGTAAATTAATGATAAAAACTGGTATTAGCAACAAATGAACACATCTCTTTTCAACTGTGAGGTTCAGAGCTCTAACCAACAATCATTTTTATTGTCAATTAATCTGACACTCCAGTAATCATTGTGTCTATTAAATGTCACAAAATAGTGGAAAACCGGTTTCCTAGAGCCCAAAGTGGCATCTTCAAATGTTATCCAACCAAAAGTCCAATGATATCAAATTTATGATAGAAAACCGTACACAAACAAACAAAAAAAGATACTTGATAGTTGCCAGTCAGTTTTCTGTCAATCAAAACCGTAAATTCTCAAATTGAACTAGGCCTTTAATTGGAACAGGCAGAAACACAGATTTCATTCACTAATTTAATCAGTAAAATTTGTTGACGGAAGTTTACCAATGATCGGGAAAAAAGTGAAAACAGTGGAATTCATTGGGGAATGAAGCTAGTGTTTCTGTTCAATTTAACGTGTGACCCTGCTGCAGTAGGCTACAAGTAATTCCACCTGTACCCAGTTTATATTTGTTCATGATGGCTAATATTTGAGACATTGTTTGAATAACAGCTTTTATTTGGGAACTCACAATAATCGTTTCTGTTCTGCTCAGGTTAAACACTGCAGTTCAGCTTCTACTAACGTACCCATACAGTAGAGGTTGTCGAACACCTGGTGCATTCGTACAATTTCGTAGTACAGCTCGTCGTAGCTGTTGGAGGTTGGCAGGAACGTGTCGCCGTATGTTATGAACATGTTGAACAGGTTCACTACCTGGATAAGGAGACACACGTTACTTGAACAATTCATTCACGAGTCTGAGAAGAAAAACAAACCAAACCGGTTAGGCATCTTTTGTCTCGTCTGAAATCTAATAAAAAGGAAGCAGTTTAGACTCCTGTGTGTGATTTGAGTTGTATGCACAGCTGGGCTATGAGTAGCACCACTGACACAGCATGGCTGGCTGGCTCTCCTCTTACTACAAGAGCAGACATATATCCCTGTGAAACTAATTTCCATGGTACACTGTGCTGTCAAGGCCCTGTCTGCATGTTTTGTGAGTGTGTGTGTTGCTCACCAGTAAGGCCAGATGAAAGATGTTGTGCTTGGCCAGCAGTGTGGTCTCATTTGACAGCAGGAACTTCAGCAGGTTGATGAGAGCTGTGCAGAGAGAGACACGCACATGTTAATGAAATAATCTGGAGTGGTGATCATCCAAAACAAGCTGGCACAACAACATGCTGAAAGAAGATAAACACATCTATTGCTTTAATTTGGCTCTTTTTTTCTCTCCAGTCTTATTTCATGGTATGCTATTATCACCACCAGGAGAAGAGGGTCGGTGTCATTCAGGGAATTAAGCTGATTATTGGTCTGATTAGAGGAATTTGTATTCTAATGAGATGGGGCCATTACAAGCTGAAACGTTATCCTGTTGTGTGTTGACCAGGCTGAAAACAAGGCCACCAGGACGGCTTGTGCTTCCTTTAGAGACTCATTATCCAATCTCAATGATGCAATACATTTCCAAAACAACCAGCCCAATGACTTCAGAAGGAAATTGGTTTTGCAAAAGCAGTGACTATTTACTCAAGTCTTAGGTGACGCCCAGCAAATCAAACTTTTTTCTGATTTAAAGTATGCATATGTTGTGTCCTGAAATTTCTTTTGAAAAATTAAACTATAAACAAGTCCTGTCGCAAAACTTCCAAAACACAATTTATTTAACAGTTTGTTTGCAAAGACCACAGAAAACAGCAGAAACTGTAAAACAAGGCAATGTTACCCCTTACCTTCATTCTCTGGTTTCACATAAAAAAGTTACAACTACCATATACAGTATACCTTGAAGGAGGGTTATTTGTGTGAGAATCAACTATAATTATTACAATCCATAAAAGCTACTTAACAAAGTAGGGAAGAAGAAGTAGTGATAGCTATATATGACTCAGAAGGTGCATTCTGGCAAGAAACATCCAATCAAACTTAAAATGTTGTTACATTTGCCACTAATGGTAGGTGGAAGCTAAACCTGATCCAAAATGTAAGTGAATAGATGGAATTCAGCAACTATGGCACAAACTTTTGTTCACAAATGCAATGACAGCGTGTTTGAACTAAATATGATTTCTCATACACAAAGTAGTAGTAAAACTAAAACTAGTGGCCATAACAAACACTAATATGATGTTTTATTATCTGGGAGATAACCAAAATGATTACACTTGATCCTGAGGGTGACATTAAATACCAAATTTCATTTGCTGTTGGTGCTTGAAAAAAAAAAAAAGATGGGATCATCAAAGTTGAGTTGTATTTAATGAATGAATGAAAGGGAGAAATGCAGTGGAGTTTGATTTCACTCTCATCACTGGTTCCTCTCTCTCATTCAGCCTCTAGCTTGTGTGACCATGACCACAACAACTAATACCTAATTTCAGTCCTGGGTTCCTCCAGTAGAAATGCAGGTTAAGTATCAGAGTTCCTCGAAAGGGTCTTGATCTCCTGGGAAAAGTTCCTGCCTACCCTATTATTCAGACATAAATGACACAGGAGAGAAAGCGAGGAGTCTTTACCTGACCAGAGCTCTCTCCAGGTGTAGTGTAACCTGATTCTGCACTTCTTCTGGTAGCACAGGAGTTTGTGGATGATCTGCACGCAGCGCCTGCACAGGAAATGAACACATAAAACTGTGGTGACGGAGCTGGTTGGTGGATGAGACGACTAAAAATGTATGATGTGCATGTGTTCTCACATGTATAAATCCATGGGGAAATCCTTCATCATATGGGTGACAATAAACTCTACCATCAGATCTACACAAAGGGGTACAGGCGAAGACAGAGAAAAGAATAACTGTTAGAAGGATTCAAACGGAAAGGGTTAACGGCAGGAACCTTTAAAGGTCAAAGGTCAAAGTTTATTTATATAGCACATTTACAAACAGTCACTACTGCCGTACTACTAGTGCTGTACAGATACAGAGAACAGCATAAGATAAAAAGCATAATAAATAGCCGAATAAAACCCTTCTAACACAGAATATGCCAAAAACAATAAAAACAGACAACAGATAAAAACTATACTTAAAAACAATAACAACAATAAAATGTCACCGCTCAGCATGTGTTAAAAGCCAGTGCAAAAATATGTGTTTTTAAAAGTGATTTAAAGCTCTCAATAGAGGTAGCTGCTCTAATGTTGAGAGGAAGAGAGTTCCAGAGCTTAGGACCTGCTACTGAAAAAGCTCTGTCGCCTCTGGTTTTCAGTCTGGACCTTGGACAGTCTAAAAGCAGCTGGTCAGTGGACCTGAGTGCTCTGACTGGAGTGTGCAAAATAAGCATATCAGATAAATATGATGGTGCCAGCCCATTAAGAGATTTAAAAACAAACAATAAGATCTTAAAATGGATTCTAAAAACGACAGGCAGCCAGTGGAGAGACGACTTGCTTAACCTCAAATAGTGACATCGTGATTGTTAGAGTGTGAGAAGCAGCAGTAAAGCAAAAACAGCTATACAGAAACTAAATTGCCGGTTAACATGGCAGGAAAAGATATCCCACCAAGTACTAGGGAAATGTGTAGTGAATAAATATATATAATACTATCACGTGAATCAATGTCATCTGCAGAACCATTTTAAGAATGAATAAATTAATAAAATGTTTTTATTGTTTCAATCATATAATTAAGATACCATAAATACATATAGACCAGGAGCAGAGTGCAGAGTAAATATATCCAAACAACAAAGTCCAAAAATAGAGAAGCAAAAACAACCTGAAACAATCCTTCTCTACAACAAAAGGGATTAAAAGCAGGCATAACTAATTCTACATATTCTAGCTATCTATCGAATAAATAGCTTAACTTAAAGTTATTTCCAATGTGTCATCATTTCACACACAAATAAAGTAAGAAGTCAAAAACACAGTGGAGACTGTAGAGTGGCTAATATTCCAAACTTCAATATCTGGTTTGTATCCATTACCATAAGAAACTACACAAACCCAGAAGGTAGATTAGACGCTCTAGCGAACTCATAGAGTCACTGCCGGTTTAAGTCCACAGTAAACAGCTAAATATTCCTCATACCTAGAAGAGCACACACCAGCGGCCGTGACGGGATGTTCTTGTCCACGGCTTTTTTTCTGTGCCTCATGGGCTGAAAAACAACATAGAATTGAAATATAGAGTCAGTATGTAAATGTGCATGAATACATTGTACTGCATATGCTAGAGATGGACAGGTGCATCCGCATACTACCAGGACTGACTAATATCAGTTTAATTAAGACAATATTGTACAAGACAATATTTTTAAGGCCAATATCTGGCTGATGGATCCAATTTTGTGAGCCTTTCTTCTAGCTGTATGTCACTAATAACACAAGTTTCAAATTTCGCAAAAATAATAAAGTGTCATGGTCTTTATCATGCAGCACTTAAGTAACCAGGCTTACAGTCAACTTTGTAAGCGGATTTCTTAAATGTCACGTAGAAAAGAAACTTTCTTCAGGTATTTTTCTCCTTGAGAACACAGATTTTTCTGCCATGTAACCGGGTTTCTAAACTACTTTTTACAAGAATGCACGTGCATGACAAAAGAAGTAGTAGCAACTAAGCAATGGACGAAAGGAGAGATCATTACATGGAGCGATGCATTCTCGTCTGTACAGAAGCAGCTTCTTCTATCACAGTTCAAATCAAGTAGTAGCTCCAAAATAAGGTCACTGGAGAAATCTGATTACTGACCTGCTGCCCGTGTACACAGATTTACTGTAACAAGGTTAATAATGTAATGGGCATTGTAATGTAATTTAGCTGCGTAACCTGGTTTCTCTGAGTAACCCAGATACTCAAGTGTATGTAAACTTACTGAATGTCATTAATCACTACACGAATACTAGCTGAAGCACCTGCATATGTACTTAAACTCAAACCCTTTAAAATAATACATGTTGATATTACTGATCGGGATGATAACAAATACCAGACATGTTGTGCCGCTGTAACTTTATAATTTGTTCCGTCACTTCTGTGCTCACGTTCACTAACTCACAACCAGCAACTCACCATTCTGTGGAGATTGACTCTGAAATTCATGTTGTCGTCGTGAAGAAAGGCATCGGCGTACTGGTCCTATCACACAGAGAGAGAGATGAAATCAGAACTAAGACAATCTGTGGAGGGCGCAAATGCTGCAGCAGTGTCGCTGCTCTTACCTCGGCTATGCAGGTGAGGATGATTAGGCACAGTCTAGCACTGTTGAGTCGATGCTCATCTGGAAACACATAAATATGAGTTACCATTCACAGGTAGAAAGAAAACAAGAGGGCCAGACCTTTTTTTTTCCCCCTCTGGGGTTTTTCAGACAGAGTGACTTAAACAAATGACTGCTATAAAGTGCGATAAGAACTGTTGGACTGAACAGCATTTATTTGTCACTGCTATCTAAGACAACTATCTGAAAAGACTTAAGGACAGACAGAGAAGAAAAGGTGAAAGAATGAATAGTTATAGGAAGCCGAGGTGACAGAGCCAAAAAGGACATGATGTTTTCCTATTTACCTTTAGTATCTTGCATTACAATGGAGGAGTACTTGAGGAAGGTGATGAGAAGGTTGCTAGTCTGCAGGTTGGGATCCAGAGGCAGTTCTGGGTTGTTCATCACTACACAGCAGATGTACGAGTAAAACTTCAATCAAACATAAATACTGCAGTTACAAATACCTAACTATATTTTATCTAAATATTATGGAGACAGGATAAATATATGTACTAAAGAAACAAAGTCACAAAAGTGTGTGGTTGGTTTCAAGTCAGTGATTCCATTTATACAAATCCCAAAAACCTGAGTCTAAACTCTGAAAGTCTGAACTCAAAGTCTACTGTAGGTTGAAATGAGCGGTCGCCCTTGTTTGGGCCGACGGAGTGCTCATTCAGGCAAATAACTGCATTACAAAAAGTGATGTCTTTGTCCCATTACTGTAGCTACTGTAGCTTGCTGTGTAGTCAAGACAAGCATCTTCATCCTTTTTAAAATCTCTGCTCGCTGAAACATACAGCTTGTATCATGGATAAATGATGAGCAGGTCATTTCCATCTCCCTCTTTTACCCCAAAACCCGCATTTGTTTCCTTTTTCCCCTCAGATCACAGCAGGCCCAAAGGAAGAAGATTTCACATTACAGAGAAACATATCATCACAGGAGGCTACACTGTGGAAGGAAAAAGCATATTCCTGACACGTGATTGCAGGCACATGTGTGAAATTATTTCTGGTATTTCTGGAGGGCCCTGTAAGTGCTGAAGCTCATGACATGCCATAATGCACGCTCCGTGTATTTGAAGCTGGAGGTTAATATTTCATACAGAAAATGGCTCTTAGGTTTGAGGCAAGGGAGGAAGAGTTAGCCAGAGATGGAAACATGCACATTTTAACAGTAACAGCGTGTGTGCAAGCTAAATGACCTGCTTTTGAATGTGCCAGCAAAAATATTCACCTTCCATGAAACCTGAAGTGACAGCCAGGCACCCACGTTTAAAGAGATTATAAGTGGGATGGTGTAACAATCTGATTATTAAAATGTATTAAACCCACATTAGAAGTTCCATATACTGTGTATGAGCATCTATCTTCTATCAGATGACCTTCAAAATCTATTGAATATTTGAAAAGGGCTGATGATGAAGGTGCATGTTTAACAGAGAGCTTTAGAAATCCGTTACTTCATTGTCCATCACTCAAGGTGTTTTGGCAGATCAATATTTTCAATTTAGTTCAATTCTGCTTAAAGGTGACCCTGCAGCCATCAAACTTTTTTAAATATACAGAACCGACAAGACCAGGTTAACGCTGTCCTCCCCTGTAAACTCTGGTGTCCTTTGAGGTGGAGACAACTATAGCTGAATACTGAAGCAAGTATTTTAGGCTGTAAGATACTGGAAATAGGAAAACATTTTCCTTTCTAGAAAAGGGAATAATTGAATTTGTGATTCAAGGTGAGTTTCTCTGAATGACGTACTTGCCTGTTGAGGTAAAGGGGGCATGCTTAAGATGTTGCTATGGCAACCGGCAGCGCTTGTAGAAGCAACAGCCGGTAGCTCCTTCAAACTTCGCTTTTGTTTTTTTATCTGTTTTTTTTCCTGGCTTTATTGCCAAAACATGTTTTACCTCTGACATAAGTACAGTCATTGGAGTCATTAAAGAGCAGCAGACCACGATCCACCCGGCCCAAACAACCGGAGATATGCTTAGAGGAGAGGAAAGAGAGCCAGGAGAGGAGCCATGCTGGCCCAAGCTTGGAGTTAATTCTGCTCATTTAAAAGCCGGTCTGGACAAAATGGGACTTATATTGACCAAGCAACAGAAGACTGTTGTGCCCACATCGTAACAGAGACCTGCACCATCAACATCGGCAGGTGGTCCATGTTCCAAGCTCTCAGCACAAGAAAATGAGAGGAGGTGGACTCTGTGTTTTACATCGATGATGTTTGGTGCACAATCGCAGTCAAGATGGACTCTGTTTCCCAAATGTCAGACTGTTTATTGTGAAGATCAAACTTTCATATTATCATCTGGTTGCTGCGGTTTACATTGAGCCCATGCAAATTCAAAAAATGCAATGTGGAATGTCCAGGGTGTAAGTTATACGTGTCTGTATGTATGTAAATAACTGTATTGTTTTATTTTAGATATTACCATATTTTAATATACTTTTAATAATAACATTTAATTATATGTTGTGTTTAGCACGGAGGAACTACAAATTTCATTATGCAGCCTTGTGCTGTATAATGACAAGTAAACAACATTGTACAACTCTGAACTATACACTTAACGATTAAGATTTATGCTTAAATATATAATTGCCTAAACACATTCTTCTACTCTGACAGGCGAAACACAGTTTCCATATCCTGCTGATTTTGCGGTCACTGCTTTGTAGCCTCAGGAACCAATGAGTTATATCGCAGAAACTACATACATGTTTTCTACAGTCTATGTCTCCCTAGATAAAAATATTAAAAGGGGTATGACTTACTGTCAAGAGAGGGCGGTGTTGTGCCAAGTGGTGTTGTTGGTGTGGTTGGGGTAGGTGTCACCGGTGTGACTGGGATGTCAATCTCAGGGTGGCTCTGTTGAAAGGCCAAAAACACATGTGAAATGTCATTAATAGTGAACAGCTGTCCCTTGTGTTGCGTAATGTACATAAACATCAACAGAACAAGCTGGGCAGAAGGTTTAAATGAGGTCTGAGAAAAGGGAGCATGATGCATTTCCACTAAATAGTACATTAATCATCGCTGCTAATTTATCGGGATTTTTACCTGATTCTGGCAATAAAAGTGCAGCACAGTGACTTAGTGGCCTCAGAACGGAAGTTAGTCCTGAGGCAGTGTTTAGTGGCTGCTGTTCTCACTGCATTAAATAACTCCTCGGTATTCAGGTGGTTAGTTAGGAAGGGTCAATAACGTGTTGAAGACCAACAACAATGTTTGCCAAATATTAAGATATTCCTGACTTGTCATAAAAGTCTGACTTGACTAATGATGCTTTCAGACCAAAAGCGAAGCGAGCGTTCGGGGCGGTAAGTTTACATGCAAAGTCAATGCAAAGACGAGTAGAGCCGCGATTTCCTGTTGGGCAGCGCGAAGGGAGCGGTGCGGGCGACGCGAAGGCAACGTGAAGGAATTCGCGTGAGTTGAATATTTTTAATTCAAGCGAGAAATTCGCATGACGCCGAGTCGTGATAGCCTATCAAAGTTGAGATTGTCCGTACGTCACCGACAGCTTCAGAGCGTTGTGTGGAGAGGACCAGGCAGAGCGGGCGATTGAAAATCTGCAGGCCGGCTGAGAGCTGCTAAACTTGGGCTAGAGGAGCAGGGAGCAGCGCTCTAGCTTTTGGACAAATAAAAACCCGTGGTCGGACTGGATTATGCTCTGACAACTACACCGTTTGCTCGAGGGCGGAACTCGGATTAAAATGTTTTTATTAAATTAGCTTTTTACTTTACGTTTTTGGGATTACAAGTTGATTTATCATCACTCGAGCTTCTCAGCAGCTAGATTCTGTGTACATCCGGTTCCAGTGTTGTTTGGCACTACTTCATATTTATATAAAAACCGGACAAAACTGGACATTACTTGTAGAAAAGAAAGCGAGGAGGTTGAACTACCTGGTGAGTTCAGAAAACACGTGTAACTTTATTCCAGCTATCGTTGTACTTTACTGTGACCAAGTTAGCATAGCATAGCACTGATCGATCCGAACTCCATTCAGAAAACAAACATTTTAGAAGTTGTTGTCCTGCTGTCTTGCTGACATACCTGACAAAGCATGAATTCATATGTTTAACAAAACTGCATCATATGGTAGTTATTTCGGTATCAGTTTGATCCGTTTATTTCTATTTAATCACAGCAAAATGTTTCCTTTGGGTTCATACAGCTGTAGTTGCGTTATCGCGTTGTGTGTGAACACACCCCATCCCGGCTAGGCTGCTTAAAGAAGTTTTACCCTTAGTTAGCACTTCTATACAAGATATGATCAATCTATCTTTATCAACAGGCTATGTACCACAGTACTAGCTGTAATTAAACCTCTTCTGAAAAAGCCCAAACTTGATCTAGATGTTTTAGCCAACTATAGACCTATATCTAACCATTTCCATTTCTCTCTAAGGTCCTGGAGAAAGCAGTTGCTAAACAGCTGTGTGACTTTCTACAGAGCAATAGTTTATTTGAGGATTTTCAGTCAAGATTTAGAGTTCATCATAGCACAGAGACAGCACTGGTGAAAATTACTAACGACTTCCTTATTGCATCAGACAAAGGACTTGTCTCTGTACTGGTTTTATTAGATCTTAGTGCTGCATTTGATACCATTGACCATCAGATCCTATTACAGAGACTTGAACATTTCATTGGCATTAAAGGAACCGCTCTAAGCTGGTTTAAGTCCTATTTATCAGATTGATTTCAGTTTGTACATGTTAATGAGTTCTCCATGCATGCCAAAGTTAGTCATGGAGTTCCACAAGGATCTGTCCTCGGACCAATCCTCTTCACTTTATATATGCTTTCTTTAGGCAATATTATCAGGAAATATTCCATAAACTTTAATTGTTATGCAGATGGTACTCAGTTATATCTATCGATCAAGCCAGATGAAACTAATCAGTTAGCTAAACTTCAAATGTGCCTTCAGGATGTTAAAACCTGGATGACCTGTAATTTTCTAATGTTAAACTCAGAAAACTGATGTTTTAAGCATTATCTAAAGATATAGTTTCCCTTGATGGCATCACCCTGGCCTCCAGCACCACTGTAAGGAATCTTGGAGTTATCTTTGATCAGGACATGTCGTTTAAGTCTCACATTAAGCAAATTTCAAGGACCGCCTTTTTTCACCTACGTAATATTGCGAAAATCAGGAACATCCTGTCTAAAAATGATGCAGAAAAACTAGTCCATGCATTTGTTACTTCTAGGCTGGATTACTGCAATTCCTTATTATCAGGCTGCTCGAAAAAGTCCGTTAAGACTCTTCAGCTGATCCAGAATGCTGCAGCACGTGTTCTGACAAGAACCAGGAAAAGAGATCACATTTCTCCTGTTTTAGCTTCTCTGCATTGGCTTCAGTAAAATCCAGAATAGAATTTAAAATCATTCTTCTTACCTACAAAGCTCTTAATGGTCAGGCACCATCTTATCTTAAAGAGCTCATAGTACCTTACTACCCCACCAGAGCACTGCGCTCCCAGAATGCAGGGTTACTTGTGGTTCCTAGAGTCTCCAAAAGTAGACTAGGAGCCAGAGCGTTCAGCTATCAAGCTCCTCTCCTGTGGAACCAGGTTCCAGTTTGGGTTCAGGAGGCAGACACCATCTCCACATTTAAGAGTAGGCTTAAGACTTTCCTCTTTGATAAAGATTATAGTTAGGGCTGGCTTAGGTGAGTCCTGAACCATCCCTTAGTTATGCTGCTATAAGCCTAGACTGCCGGGGGATTTCCCATGATGCACTGAGCTCCTCTCTCCTCTACTTTCTCTCCCTCTGTATGCAACCTCATCCCATTATTGCATGTTACTAACACAACTTCTCCCCTTTCCGGTAGTCTTGTGCTTTCTCGTCCCTCTCCTCTCTCCTCCTATCACTTCCTGCAGGTGTTTCTGGCTCTGGAGCTGTGGAGTCTGGATCTGTGGCTGCGGGTCGCCTGCTGCCCCCGTGTTCCTGCTCGACACCCTCTGCTACAACAACTATTGTTACTAGTCCTATTGTTATTATAATGATTAACATTATGATTATTATCATTAACACTATTATAAATATCTGTACCATTTTTCATTTAGTCTATAGCAACATCACCTTTACTGTCTGTACCGCTGTGTGTGCATATTATGTAGGCTGCCTCCCTCCCCTCTCTCTCCTTCCATCCCTCTTTTTTTCTCTGTGTTCCTCTCTCTCTCTCTCCCCTTCACCTCCGACTGGTCAAGGCAGATGGCCGCCCACCCTAAGCTATGGTTCTGCTCGAGGTTTCTGTCTCTTAAAAGGAAGTTTTTCCTTGCCTCTGTCGCCTAGTGCTTGCTCTTGGTGGGAATTGTTGGGCTTCTGTAAATAACATCACAGAGTACGGTCTATGAAAAGCGCTGTGAGATAACTGTTGTTGTGATTTACCTTACCTAAAATTAGCTCCCATTGGGCCTCTTTAAGTTTATTCATAACATCAAAAAAAGAAAAAAAGGGGAGCACAAATCTACACTAGAATGCATCTCACCTGTGCTAATACAGTGATGAAGTTGCGGTTAAGGTGCACTGCCTCATAGAGTGCCAGCAGAATCGCCTCATTTGTCCTTGAGAAGAAAGCATAGTTAGTAGACAGTTTACTCATTTCTTAAGTAAAATCTCCAAATCTTCACATAGCATTAATTTGTGCAGGAAAAAGCTTTAGGCTTTGATACAGTCATGCTCACTAACAAGTGGAGGGGCACTCTGGTGTTATAAGTTTATTAACAATCGCTTCATGCATCACAATGTCTTTATTTATCAATCTCATGCTATTTCATTACAGTTTGGTTGCGGTCTATATTATAACAGCAAATATGTTCATTTAAACTTTGTTTTCCAGCTGGAACCTTTTACAACGGCAAAACAGAGGACAAGCTAAAAACAGTGCAGTGGTAATGGATTCTCTCAATGAAGGTTAAGGCTCGAGCAGACTACATGACTTTCAGCGTCGGCTGATGGCCGGGCTGTTCACAATACACAACTTGCCGTCTTGTGACGGGAGTCTTGAAGTCGTTGTGGCGTTCACACTAGGTGACTGATCGGTGAGAGGGGGGTCACACACTACACGAGCTGACCACGGCTCTGTCACCCGATGCTGGTCTACAAACCACGTTTTGTCAAGAAAACACACGTGAAATGTGAAAAAGGAATTGACGCGAACCTATACACCAAACAGCTGTTGTTTGTTATTATAAAGATAGCAATTATAAAGACAAAGAATATGGGTAAAGAATGGATTAGCACGCACAGGCAGCAGGGATTGTCTGAGCTACAGAGAGAGCTGGAGGGGAATAAAAAGTGTTTTGCGGTGAAGAAGTAGCTGCCTGCTCTCACTAGCTGGATGTGGATGTCGAGTTGGCCAACTCTTCCAGATATTTGGCATGCTAGATATCTGGCAGATGTCGGCAATGTGTCAGAAATGTGTTGGGGGACCCGTTTTGTTGCGTCCTTGAGTAGTTCACACATAACGACTGGCGATCGCCGATCAGCTGCTGATTTACCCCCAATCACAGCCTGACGGTCGCCGAGCAGCAAATCAGGCTAAAAATCGTGTAGTGTGACTTAAACTGACTGATGGGTAAGAACTTAAAATCACTTTGCACTTACTGTACAGAGAGTTTCTCATCAACATCTGCAATAAACATGTTGCCCACCTGCAGACAGAAGAACGATCAAGCGATCAACAAATGGTGTTTCCCCGAAATGGAGCCACAGATCAAACTCTTTGACTACCAAATACATACTAATGAAAGAAACAACATCTAAATTATATCAACCGTAAAAATATGAAGTAATATAAGATCCTACCATACTAGTTAGGGTAGAGAAGAACCCACCCTGGTTCTCCTCCTCTTTGTCTTTGTACTGCCTAAAAGGGAGAAGACCAAGATGGACAGAAAGCAGGAAGTAATGAAAACATGGAGAGGATGAAAAATAAATTAAAGACAGGCCCACAAAGGAGCAGAGGCAGAGATATATGTTTTCACTCAAACACTGCACTTGTAACCTAACACACATTTACCACATCATCACAATATCTCCTTCTACTCCCTGCAATTTATTATCTAAAAAGGGGCATTCGGTTTATACACAAAACCAAAGAACTGCATGGAGCCATCATCCATTACTTTAATGCCTCCGTCTACGCCCGCAGATAGACAAGACCTCCTTCACAAACAGCATTTTAATATCCAAACCTTGCCTCATCCAAAAAACATTACCGACTGTCAAAGAAAACTGTCAGATATAAATAACTCAAAGTATAAAAAGAGCCTGTTTTTTTTTTTTTTTTTCAGGAGAATAGAAATAGAACATTTGTGGGAGACATCAAACTCAACAGATGACGCCAGCGGCCTCAACACATCATGCACCACATCATTAAAAACACATTTGTGACATTTTTGGATCTCACCTGTTATATTCTGTGAGAGCTTGGTGCACAACCATACCCATACCCTAGGAAAGAAAACATCCATTCAAACCTTTGATAATCTGCTTGATGTGAAGCCCAACGGCTATATCACAGTGGCTCCTTATTATTCTGCACAGTACGTGACAACATACTCACATCTAGCGTTGGCTCATCGTCCACAATGGAGAGCTTCACAATGTATGGATTCACAGACTAACAGACAGAGAAAGGCAGTGAAATTAGAAGCCAATAAATATTTGACACAGTTATACAGTTACACTTGACTGACCCTTAAAGGACAATTCTCTTTCCATTTGTCCCCTAGCTCAAGAGGCTCATCTATTTTCTTCAATTAAACAAAGATAAAACTGAAGTCATTGTTTTTGAAGCCAAGGAAGAACGATTAAAAGTCAGTGCTCAGCTTCAATCTGCAGATGTAAATTAGCCTAAGGCTAACTCTGGTGTAATGCATCAAATGTTTACATTTATGTTATTAATTGCACATGGTCCCTTCTAAATAAAAAAAATCAATCAATCAATCGGTAATGTTAAAAACCACAAACCAAAAGTATCTTGGTGTAGTCATGGACTCAGACCTGAATTTCAACAGTCTGCTCGAGTCCTCACGAAGACCAAAAACGTGGATCACATCATTCCAGTTTTGGTCTTTACACTGGCTTCCTGTCTGTCAGAGAATTGATTTTAAAATCCTGCTGCTGGTTTATAGAGCACTGAATGGTTCAGGGCCAAAATACATTTATGATCTTCTGCTATGTAATGAACCATCCAGACCTCTCAGGTCATCTGGGACAGGTCTGCTTTCTGTCCCCAGGGTCAAAACTAAATAGGGAGAAGCAGTGTTAAGTTTTTATGCTACATATATCTGAAACAAACACCCAAAACTGCAGGTCTGCTGAAAGGGTCAGTTCTTTTAAATCAAGGCTGAAGACTTTTCTTTTTGCCACTGCCTTTTAATAAGTCAAAATTAAGGCTTTTGATTAATATCTGCGCTGCACTGTAACTTTTACTCTCCTATCATTTAACTATTTTTAAATTGCATTTAAATTTCTTTTTATATTCCCCTATGTTGCTTTTATGTTTTATATAAAGCACTTTGAATTGCCTTTGTTGTTGAAGTGTGCTACACAAATAAACTTGCCTCGACTTGCCTTGCAGTAACAACGGACTACAGACTGCAACTGCTCAGGTTGCGTAATGCAACTAGAAATGAATGTAGATCAGTTTTCTTGAGAACAGAGAAGCAAAGCCTGTAAAATTCTGGATCACAAGACGACTCCATCTCCTGGCTGGAGTTTAGCAGTAGTTTTGGAATCATTTTGGAGTATACATTTTAGCTCAGAGTAAATGCAAAGGCGGCTCCTTGTGGTGTTGTTGCGCTCTTTGCTTGCATACAAGGGTGCATGCAAAACCCTACTCCTTATCCTTTTATCTCCTTCCACACTGACACACTTATCCTTCCAGGAAATGGCTGGGGAGGGAAATAAATTGAAAGTCATTTCAGAAAGCATGTTTGCTTCTCTGTCATCTAGGGCAACTGTCTCTTGTGATGTTCAGCTTCGACCTGCTAAAATCGTTGGTATGTTCATGGATGAACCTTTAACCTCAGACAACACTGACTTTACTCCGAGCTTTGCTTTAGTGAAAAACTGTAATTTCAAAACAGGCCTTTTTAAAATCTTAGGCTCTTGTTTTTCCCTTTTGTTTGCCTTGGGTGTGGTGTAACTCAGAAGTGAAAAGACTTCTTAGAAACCACACACATAACTGTACGGTACATCCTGTTCCGAAAGAGACTTCAGGAGCTGCTTCTACTGTATCCTCTATTGTTGAGACAATACAGCAGCAGTAACGTCAGTCTCAGAAAAGAAAGACTTTCACCATCTATTCAGTGACACTTACCACCGTGTATTCATGCTTAGTGCGCCTCACTGCTGCTCTAAAGGCTCTTTTATTGACAAAACAAATACAGCTCCATGTGAGTATATGTACACACCTCATATTTCCTGTAGTTCACCAGGAGAGCCAGGAGGACCACAGCATCGTAACCATGCTGCCCTCTACTGGACACATCTGACAAAATCTGAGAAGGAGAACAGAGATGGCCAAAGCGGGAATAAAAACACTCCAGAATTACTGTAGTCGCAGTCCTCTGCTAATCCCTTACCTGTAAAATGGCTTCAAAGATGCTGTTGATCATCACATACTCCAGTATGGTGTTCTGACTAATATTGTCTGTCACCTGTGAACACATTTGTTTAGAGTGTTATTAACAGCACAACAAGCATTCCCCAAACCACGTTATAATTCATGTTGTTGTTTTGATCTGTTCTGTCTCACCGTCACCAGACACAGCAGCAGTTTAAGACAAAGGCTCTTCAGACTCTCTGAGCCATCTCCACAAAGAAGGCTGTCAAGTCTCTCCATCAGGTCCTGCAGGAGACACAAACACAAGACATAACGTGAATGAACACAAATCATTTCTCTCCCCCCGTTCTTTCCCTCTCAAGCTATTTCCCCACAAACCTTCATCCTTTGCTCAGCCTTGTCAAACCCCATGAGCATGTTGATGATGTCAAAGCCAGACGCGGACTTGTTCTTCTGGTGAACCCCCCGGAAAAGTGCACAGAGAGTCTGGGGAGAGGGGCAGAGAAGCACAGGCGTTGCTAAAGCTAGCTATAGTGACGAAACAAAACTGAATCCATGAATCTGACCAGCCAAGATCATTGATTACAGCCACAGTCTCATCAGCATGCTTGAGATGTGATAGTCAAATGCAACTTGTAGGTGGAAATCTAGCTGATCCTCCTGAGCTTTAGTTACCTGCAGGGCATTGACTACTTTGATCTGGTGCTCCTCTGCCAGAGCCTGAACACAGTGGTGGAACAGAGAGTTGATGTTGTCCTGGATCCGCTGAACCTCCTCCCCATCTACACTCTCCAACTTGGACTCCAAGTACTCTAGGTTCACCTGAAACATGGTGGAAGGAGGGAAGTAGAATGTATTAATAAGAGGACCTAAGCTATTAGGAAGTATCAATTGACTAGTACACAGTAGCCTCAGCTTAGCCAATCAGAAAAATAGGGAAGCAGAGCAGCTACACAGTCAATGAGGCTGAAAGTAAGTATTGGAGATCAGCTTCATTTTTACATAAATGTTGCCATTAAGCCTCCTTCTGGAGTTTTTAAAAAGCTAAACCTGTGGTATTTACATGTGCTGCACGTACTGTCCACAATTTTTATATTTATAAGTTCAACAACAGCTCACTGCATTTTCTTCATATAGGCAAGGCCCTCCTATAAAATCTAAACAGATTTTAGCACATTCATATATACATATGTTGTCAGATTTTGATCGCATTATGTTTTAACTCAAATGTAATGCATACATTTTTTTTACTAGTTCAATATCTTTGGCAGACTTTATCCTTAAAACTGTATTACAGATAACATCCATATGTATCAGTTAGCTTTACTGCTGCCACTGCAGAACACATTTCTGCTACCTTCATAAGAAACAGCTCATCCCAGAAGCGAGGGTTGTTTTTGGCAGGGTCTTCTTTCTAAAACAAAAGAAACAGGCAGGACTTTGTTTACACTTGGGCACAATTTTATTTCTGTTTACTTTCCATTACTTACATTCGCCCATTGTGATACTCACTGCAAAAATCTCATCATACATCAGCACCACCTTCTCTTTCAAGGGCTTCTTAGAGGATGACGTCCTCCTCAGCAGCCCTGACTTCTTTTCCACCTGAGACATAATTGAGTCTGAGGAAAGAGACACAGTGAGCTAGAAAACGGATGTGCACGGATGACGTTTTTTAAAAATGGTGTAAACCACCAAAACTTCTTCCATTCTACAGATTAATTTTAACTAGTACAAGGCGAACAATGTTTTACATTTATGTTACACTCAACAAATCTGATGACAGGTCCAAAACCTACAATGCGTCAGTACTTTCTGTAAATGCAACTAGTGTGTTTGACCGGGACTTTTTTCAGCCATGGATTTAGTGCACAAGTGAGTTGTTTACACGGTGTGTGTGGAATGCGAAATATGTCAGCCAGTACAATGATGTGGCTCATTAACTTGTTTATAAGAGTATTTGGGCAGCAATAAAAGGTTTATGGCACAGAGGAATAAGTTATATATGGCACTGGCTACACAGGCAATACTTAATAGGATCAATTTATTGATTTTACTAAATACTGAACACTTTATGGCCATGACACATTGTCCTCAGCAACACATAGCCACTATGTTACTATCAAGACGGTTCTTGAAAGGAACAAGTCCCTTTTCTGTATAACCAGGTCACCTAGAACCATCACCTGTTGAAAGGCATAACAATCTGGCTTTAATGGCTATTTTACTAACTTACTTTGCTCAGAATGACAGAAGCACTGTGCTTGGAAACAGCTCTAGTATTAACTCCACACTGTTAATAGGCTGGCCAAGAGAAAGATTTCAGTGACATAGCAAAAGAAACTGTTAGCATAATAAACATCATACGTTTAGATTAGGTCAGTAGAGTAACCTGTTATAGTTGAGTAACGTTTGAATGATTCACTGGTCTAGCTGTTGGATTAGCTAAGCAATTATCAGCTGACATTTGCTAAAATTGATGGCACATGATTTTACGTTAATAGTTAGCTGACGTTAACATAAGTGTTAATGGGGATGGGCTGCTAGCTAGTTAGCTAACATTAGCTCATTTTGACCCATCATTGACTAACAGCAACGTGGCCGCGCTGACAGGCAGGTATTGTTGTCGAGTTGACGCTCGATGAGCACTTCGTTTATTAGCAGTTAGGTCACCAAACGTAAATCTACTATTATGTTGAGTCTTCGCAGCTAAAGCTAAAGCTACCTAGCTAACTAATGCCTGTCAGGCAATGATGGTACCGTAGATTTAGTGTTGGCTTTTTAATGTCAGGTGCGATAACTGACATTATTACTGTATTACATCCTTGAGGTAGGTTCAGCTTAGTTAGGAGTGTGGTTTGTTCTTACCTCAATTCAAGTATTAAAATCTGTGTCGTAAATGTAGTTCATGAATCCTTGTAACAACACTAGCATCTGATAGCATACTGCTATGATAGCCTCCTGTCGGTCTTCAGGGTCTTAGCACCCTACAGATACTCCTTCTTTCAGGTTTAATAAAAGCAGCTGGCATCTTTCACAGCCTCTACATTAGTGTTGACCCCACAGATACTAACACTGGTCACATCATCTATTAAATCTTCATCTGCGGGATTATGCCACAAGTCTAAAATTATTAAGTAAAATAAGGATATGTATTTTGTGTTAAGTAGAAAACAATCTAATCCTCACCATTTGGAAAAAGTTGGATTTTGTAATGTCATCGTATTAATCAGACCTCAAATGCATAAGACCAGTGAGTTAATAAGTAGGAATAATAATTGCTCAACCCTTGAGAGGACAGAAACAACTAATGGGCTAGTAGCTGCTTTAGAAAAAGAGTGAAAAGGGCCAGTGACTGTCCTTTGTCTCTGTGATCTATGGCCACTTGTGCTGATTTGAAGCACATGTGAATGTGTATCGAAGATAACTGATATTTATGTTTGAGCTGCTCACCTCCTTACATATGAACCCCCAGGTTACAAAAAGTAAAGAAATATTCACAATATTGCATAAATTACAGTGTTAAATAACAGGTTTCTGCCATTTATTCATTCCTGATCAAACACTTAGAGAAAATAAGACATGTCAGTCCGATGCAAAATGTATATGCTATGATTTTCTTTTTTAAATGTTTCTTTCTTTGAGAACATAACCACCGAGACCAGTGGGAGCCTCAATACAAGTTCATCTCATAACAACTCATAACTTGTCTCCAACAAACAATACTTTATTCCCCAAACATTTTTAGTTTTTTCACCTGTGAATCATATTTGTGATTTTGTCAGGAGTGGTTCTCAGTGCTACAGAGAACTGTTCGTATTTGATTCAAAACAGTAACATGGCAGACAATCTTGTAATAGAGAGCATGTGTTAAGTGGCTCAGCATATTATTAGTAGATGACTAATTAACATGGCTCCACAAAGAACAACAATATCATATCATAATACACCACTGATACTTAAGGATTAATGAACTGTTATACCAGAACATATACAATATAAAGTTGTTTTATTCAAAGTGTCAAAGGCCACCCATGAGTTCAATCAAGTTTGCATGTTTTAAATTTCTTTTCAACAGCTGATAACTGTGGGTGGAGACACAAAAACTGTATCTGCTTGGATTTATGTTATTTTAAACACAACAAGCACTGTCATTAGTGTGTTCAAGGCTTCGAATTGGAGAAAATACAGATGAAGAAAAGAGAATAAAAGGACAACAAGAAAGAACTACACATGCAAAGAAAGCAACTTGACCTGGATATATGAAACATATGAAGTGCTGTAATTTACATGGTGATGTGGCCTTCCAAGTGCAGAGCTTAGGCATGTAGCACCTTCTTTCAATCATACACTCTCTTTCTGAAAAAGCCAGAATGAGGCCAAAGAGTGTGTGCTCTTCCATGGAGGTGATAGTTTTCATCAGGTTGTTGCAGCTTCACTTCAGCCCCAGGAGACTGGCTGGAAGCTTCACTGACAGCCTTCACAGTTCTGCCGGTACAGTGTGACACGGGGAGTGGAGTAAATGCCTCAAGAGAAAGCGTGCTTGTTTTACCTTAGACACTGCTTTAAAAGCAGAAAGTGAAGAATCGCAGTATTGTAAGGGAATGTGAGAATCTGTCCCACACGCGAAGCCTTTGAGCACTGGTCTACAATCTGGTCCTTGGGGCTCTTCCATTTTGCCTGCCGTTCTCCTTCAAGGGCTGATGTAGTCCTGGATCCACAGGTGAAAGCATTTAAGCACCCTGTAGGATAAAATACCAGCAGGCCTCTCTTTGCCTTACATTTGAAGAGCACGGGATGCCCAGAAGCACAGTCTGAAGCCTGTCTGATAGCTTCGCTGACAGGTTACAGCAGCCTGCCTGCAGAGGGATGCGATTACACAGAAGACGGGTTTCTTTCAAGGTGAAAGAAGAAGGAGAGTGACGTGCTTTATAGCAGTCAGTAAAGGAAGGGGGAATGGGGAGAAAAGCAAATGAAGCTTTATTTTTTTGCTGCACATCTTTCCCTATCATTCTGATCACAACTTACTTACTTACTCATCACAAGGAGTAATACTCAGCTATTGTTTAATGTTTTCTGTGGCCCGGGATCTCTCTGAAGTCTGAAAAAAATAACCCTTGATGATGTCACTAGGGTCATCTCGGCCGTGGCCTGGAGAGTACGAATGTTGAACGCAAAGCCTGCTTTGCAAACTGGAGGTGCCGAGTGTGAAAGACATGGGCAAATACCAAACATGAGATGCTAGTGAGTTGCATTATGGGATTTGTAGGATTGCATGTTTTCATACTAGTAACTGAAAGTCAGGTTATCTCTGCTTCTGCTGCACCACTTTTGTCCTTTCTTTTTTCATCCCTCACTGACAAGCCCACAAACTTTAGTAAGTTTACTTTAAATTTACTTTAAGTCTACAGGTGCTTTTGCACACTTGTTGCACTGGTAATAAGGACGTCATGTTGCCTTCAAGAGTTCTATTTATTTAATGTAAATCCAGAGAGGGTACGCACGCTGTGCTTTTCCTCACACTTCTAAACAGTGGCTTAGCTTTCATCCTTGGGCTACCTGCTGTCACATACCCTGGAGCAGAGGCCCAGTTAAATCAATGTTCTGTCAAAACTACAAAGCAAAATGAGATTTCATAGTTTCAGTGTTCGAAAGTGACCAACGCCCAGAAACACTGGCACCAACTTCATTATTTAGATGTGTTGCAATAACTACAAAATCACCAACTACACAATCTTTTAAAGTGAAAATGTATCTTTTTATTGGTACCATACATTAATTATCAAGGGCAGAAACTAACCAAATCAAAAAAATATATATCAAACGATGATTTTTCTACAGGAATTGGAGAAGGTACAAGTCACCATTCAAACTCAATCATAACTGTTGCTGGAATCAACTGTGACAAAACGGAAATGTACAAAACAGTAAACGGAGTGTCAGCTATTTTTTTCCCCTCAGACTTTACAGACTCAGCATTGCTACCAAATATGCCGACTGAACTTAATGTTAAGCTGGCTTTAGAACATGTTTGAATGATTGATGGTATCGTTCTGCACAGATGAAGGTTATTCAGACAAAAACAAATAAAAAAATCTGTTTTGGTGAGCAATCGTACGGTTAAACTAAAATTCAGTGAGCAAATTCACTTGACATGAAGTTGAAAGATGCAGTACACAAAATTGTGATAAAGTGAAAAATCACTTGTTGTATAGATGAAACATGAGTGAAATTTCTAAAATTTCCAAAATAAATAAAAGGGAAAAATAAATCAACTGAAATAGTAAAATCATCGCTCCATGGTGCCATTGTACCCCCGGGGGGTTTGTAATTTAATGTACACAAGTTTTTTTTAAAAAAAGAGGGAAGAGTAAAGAGCAGGTGGGAAGGTAGAGGGGTCGGGTTCATGAGTGTTTTTTCTCCTTTTTCCTATTTTTGTTTCTTTACATTAGATCAGGATGGCTTTAAGTAAATCTAAGTAAGAATACATTTTATTACAGTCAGACAGAACTTTGCTACTACCTTAAATATACAAGCACAAATACACAAAAATTTAAATCTCCAAAAAAGGAACAAAAAGACAAAATAAAAACATCCACACTAAATTATTTCTCTTTTATAAACATAAAAGATAAAAACAATATATTTTAGAGGGGGGAGGGATAAAAGTCCTGTGTTGCTCCTTGGTCTGTAGCTTTTCAGTATTGGTAGAAAATAAAAAAGTAACAATTGAAATGAAGGCGTTTAATACAAATTAAAAAACATTCTAGGGAAATATATACTGTATAAAAACTCTTAAAATGTGTAACTGTGTGTATGTGCATGTGTTGTAAATGCTCTGTTTGAAAGACTGCAGCCACTGTAGTCTAATCAGAGATGGCTCGGGCACTAGGGGACTCAAAATCCTTCAATCATTATGTTTATTCGTGTGTGTGTGTGTGTGTGTGTGTGTGTGTGTGTGTGTGTGTGTGTGTGTGTGTGTTTTCCCTAGTGCCGCATTTCAGCTCTCCTACTGGAGTGTGGATTTCAATGGTTTGTACAGGTTGATTCTAAATTCTGGTCCGCCTGCTTCAGCAAAGACACAAATAAGCTCAGACTGCCTCTTTTCTCTCCCCTCGCACATTTCTCACACACACGCAGACGCACGCACACACATATACTCCATCAGGAAACATTACGAGTGACTTGTGCATCAACAGAGCAGACCAGAATTGAGTGTCATGTTTAGAGGTCGGGTGGGCAAGTGGTCCCTAAGCAACTCGCCACCATCTCGAAGCCCCGCTGCCAACATCCCCTCCACCCCGCCTGTTCCTACATGTGAACTTCAGTACGGATAGTTAAGTGTGCACACTTCTCCCCTAGATTAAATCCCTGCGCCTCATTGGTCACATCTACCCGGTACGCTGTCCAGACTGAAAATTAGCGAGAGCAGATGGGACATTTTGGGCGTGAGATGAGGAAAGGGGAGACAGAGGTGGGAGACCGTGCCTAAATATGGGGAAGTCACAGCAATGATGAAAAACGTCCTCTGGCTCTGAGACATACTGAGCTCCTTCGGGCCACCTGTGTGTGATGAATCTGAGGTCTACAGTGATGTCTAGATTGGTGAGCAGGCCATAGACTGTTGCATTCGTGGCTGTTGGGGTGGGGTGGAGTCTGGGGAGTGACAGAGAGGGGTTTGTGTTGAGGCTGCGGGGCTCTGGGCTCTACTGCGATGCCTGTGAGGTGGGGTTGTCGCTCTTGCTCTCCTGGCTGGAGGGGGCCTTGTTGTTCCAGGGTGAGTTGGAGCCCAGCGCCGGAGAGTTGTTGAAGCTGTCCTCGTCGTCAATGCCATTGGCCGCGTCGAACTGTGTGTTCTCCAGCCTCGTGATCAGACGCTCGTCTTCATCGCCGAACTCCCCTCCCATCAGTGTGGGCTCTCCCACCACCATCACGTCCTGCAAAAGACGCAAAAAAGAAGCGGAACGATTGATTTATTGTTTTAGCGGGCAGGAATGGGTGTAACAGCTGTCATGTGAAAGAGAGGGTGAACTGATCTCTATACCTCTACAGCTCTTTTCACACGCCCATACCCAACATCAAGCCTGTTGGTGCTTTCAGCTGTATTTGCTTTAAACCCAACATGGCATTTAATATAACAGGTTCTCATTTAACCATTCGACTTTCTTCCACTTAGATCTATCATCTCCCACATGTCTTCTGTCAAAAACTATATCCAGACTAGTGGTGAACAGATATGGGTTTTTAAAGGCAGATGCTGATGTTTAGAGAGCAGGGCGACTGATGGCTGATATAAAATACAGATATCAAAACAAAGAAAAGTCATGCATGTATTATATTATTTCATGCAGAATACAATGTAATATACATGGTTATCTTAGCCAGTAACGTGTTGCTTTAAAAAGAGTTTTTATTAATTAATGAATTCGATTACATTAATACTAAGTTATACTGTAGATTTCACAACATAACTGGTGTTTAAGAGAGAGTGGGGTACAGTGTGTCAGAAGTGACATCAATCAACTGCATTATTCTCTACAGTTTAACAACATATATTTAATGCTATCCAGCAATGGTTCTAGATTAGATCTGCTGTCGTTTAGGATGATACATCCGCGTTTTAAGTGCAGGTATCGGCCGTTTAATCAGGCACTGTATTTAATGCCTCTTAAATTGTCTTGTCATTAATTCTTTATGACTTTTAGTTAAGTTTGTCAAAAATGTTTGGTTATAATGTGCCTTTTTTACTGCCTTCTTGGAAACTGATTGATACAGGTGTATTTATCCCCAAATCGCTTTATCACACCTTTAGTTTAGTATTCAACTCATCTGACTTTAAAACCTGCATGCCCACGTGATCATTCATTCATAGTTATAATCTAATGTGTCATATGCTAATATTTGTACTTTAAATAATAAAATCCTGGGGGTTTATTGTTATAGAAACTTTATGTACACAGCACAACATACTGTGCCATCAGATACAAAAACAATTCTTTGGTTTTCATTGTGACACGTGAACTTCCCTCTATTCCCTCTAATCAATGCAGCGGGTTATCTCTGAACATAGTGGCAATGTTCCTTTTGGAGGTGTAATAGCAGAGTGCTGACACTAGAGGGCAGTGATGTACTCACTGGTACTTGGCTGGACAGAGGGAAGCCACTGCCAGGGCTCTTCTTTTTGTTGTTGTTGTTGTTATTAGTTCCTCCTCCTCCGCTGATGGTGCTGCCACCTGACATCTTGCGCTTCCGCCGTTTGTTTGGGGCCTGTCTTGATGGCTCAGCTGCAGAGAAGGGATGAAGAGAGAGAGTTACAGATACATTTACTGTGGGTTTATTTGGTTGTGTGAACCTATATCCGTGCATGCTTCACCTACCTGGTGGTGCCACCATCCTCTGCCATTTCTGGAAGAGGCAGGTCTTGAGGCAGTCTCTGGGGCTGAGGCTGTATGTCTTGTGCCTGGACATCAGCTCCTGCATGGGCTCCAGAATCACACACAGCTGGAGAGGGGAACAAAGAGATGTGGCAGGTTAGAGATTACACAGCGTTTAAGATCATTACAGGTGCTCCAATTGATCGAGCACCATCATTATAAGCTGGTGTTCAGCGCAAATTAACTGCTCCGATGGGAAAACGTGATTGTAGAAGACAAGAGCCAAACAAATAAACACGACTCAAGTGTTTTCACCGAGCAGCCACATTACGGTTTCTCCACCACAGAGGCAAGCAGTGTGTAGAATTCCAGATGCAGACAGACGAGCAGTATTTTTGGACTGCCAGTATCTAGTAAGCACCCAGGTAAGACAGGCAGAACGTAGTTGTTATTGAGAGTAGTCTTTTTCCAGTTGTTTTCTATAGGCAGTAAGCACTTTGCCCTCATTTTAGATGCTCTGAGATGCATTTTTGCAAGAGTGTTCTGAACATTTTGAGTTGAAATAACCTTAACTCGGAGCAGAAAAGCATATGACGTCACTTGCGTTGTTCCGCATTGTCCAATCGGATCAGATTTGTGAATTTACTTCACAAAATCATAATACAACAAGCTGCTCCTTTTTTTAGTTGTAGGCTGCAACAAAACAGAGACATAGTGGCAAGATGCAACAAGTGAGGCGCTGCAATAGTAGGGAGTTTTAACTGGTGTCACAAAGAGATGATAGATAATAAGATATAATGAATTACTTTTCAAATTTCTAGTAGTGTTGAGGAATATGTTAATATTTTGTAGAAGTGACACCAATTTAAAAACTGACGTGTACCAACATGAGGCTGTGACTGTCGCACCGTCTCTTATGCACAAGCTTCCTATAGACAAGAGCACTGAACCTGCAGTTTGAGTCCAACTTGTGAAGCCTTCAGTGTTTGTTGGTATAACACAAGATACATGTAACATGGGGGACCCATACATCAAAACACTGATCTACAGAAGTGAAAAGCGCTCTACATAGTACCTTTTAATGTCTCCATAAAGAAAGTAGTCGAGCATCATAAAGACAATCGATGGCAACATTTATTGCATCGATTTCTCAAAAATTACAATTATGTTATTATTTGATAGCAGGGACTGTTTGACGACAGCCCCTGCTCTCAACTAAAACATTAATCCCTCACAATGATGCTGATGAATTACAAATAAGTGAATAGTCATATTAAACAGTTTCAGTTTGTTAAACATTCCTACTAAATGACAAGACCATTATCAAGACACAATGAAGAGAAAAACATTAAAGGTCGTTTGCGTGCCTCACTCACTCGGAGGTAGTTAAGGGTGGAGTTCGACAGGCCACATCGTGTTATGTTTTTGGACAGCTGATCCAGCATCTGTGAGTCCTGGGCCTGAAACATCAATAGGGGACAGGTTACAAAGTGGACACTCACATACATCATTATATACATCAGTGGACAATATGTAGCCAGTCCCACCCCCTCTGTATCCACTCACATGCATGGCCAGTATACTGCGGGGGATGAGTTCACGGTGTTGTCTGATGCTGAAGTGCCACGTCTTTATCCTCATCATGTCGTCAAACATGAACTCCAGGTACAGGCGTCCTTCTACACACACCTACAGCAGGTCAGAGGACTGACGTCAGTATACAGCAGTTGGACTCAGACAGACACTGGTACAAGCTGCACCTCTACTCAAATACATAATGAATTGCTTTACATCTAAGACTTGGGTTCAGGGTATAAAGTTAACTTTGTGGTCAATTAAATGGCGTAAGATATGATGTACAGGTATACAGTGTTTCTTCTGTAACGAAAGGTTTGCTTGGGGGGCAATGTTACTGGCGTTTTCAACTACTTTGATAAGTAATTTTTCATTTAAACACATTTCATGGTCACAGCTTGAAAAAATGTGCTGCTTTTATCTTTAATTATTTTAATTTATCCATAATGAAAATAATCACTAGTTGCAGTCCGATACAAAATACTTCAAAATGAGCAGGGTGGTGCATTTTTCTACACAGAGTACTTTTAAAGCTTTATGTACATTTTCATGATTTTTCCTGAAGTTTTACTTAGTAACATTTCCAATGCAGGACTTTTCACAGTGTGGTATAGTACTTTTACTGGAGTAAAGGATCTGACTACTTCCTCCATCCTCTCTCTCTATTAAAGGTAAACAAACACTTAACTATATATAAGGTTACTAATTAGGTTGGCACACCCACAGCTGAGCTCTGCAGTGTTACCGGCTGAGCCCCCCCCTTTAAGGAAGGTGGCGTTGTGGGTAACACATGTGTTTAACGTAGACTAGCAGGTTTCTTGGGGGAACTGAGTCTCTCCCGGTGTGTGAATAAAGTACCAACACGTTGCCGCTATAAAGGGGTAGTTAGGTCACTTAGGTCAGGCATTTTGTGGCTATTTAAAGTGTTGAGTTTGCGTGTTTGAGTGTTGCGACAGTATCCTCCTGCATTCTTCACAGCAGAGTTGTGTGCAACTTACAATGGATAAAGCAGAAACACTGAGCTAGCTAGATAACGGTAGCGATGGTGGAAAGCGAGGGTCAATCAAAAAATTGCAATTAGGGATGTCCCCAAATAAGGATTTACATAGTCGAATCAGAATCGTCAAATCCTGCCTATAGCCGGCTATTTAAAAACAATAAAATATTCTTTGTTCATCAACGGTGATAAATTATCCGAAAGTCCCGCGAGGTGCGGAAAACTCGGCACAACACCGGTGAAGCTGGGGCGCGGTCTCTTCAACAAGTGTTCCTCTTCTGCCACTACACCTACACATGCGCACTGACGACCCAGGGTTAGGGTTACAATTTTGAATTTATTCATGCACTTTAAAAACATTTATTGAAAGTTTTATTCTTTTTACATGTTTATTTACAGCATTAAATGCTGAAATGTATATTGTTAATAGGCTGTATATGAACCTATTGGGAGAAAACTGGTAGTTCTATGTAACTTCGAATCTTAGACTGTGAGATTGACAGGATAATCAGGCTCCGCCCATCAAAGCATCGAATCTTCGACTATTTGTGGTCAGCCCTAATTGCAATACAATTATTAAGACAGTCACACGTTAAATGCCACCAGTGTGCAGAGTTAATGCAAAACAAAATGGGGTCAGTCGACTTATGTGTTGTAGTGACTAGAGTTTGTAGTACGTAAGGTCTATTTCAGCAAACCACTAATGGCGTCTAACCTCCTTTAAGCAAATGTATTTTTTTTTTACTCTCATTCGGCGAGTGCCAATTTTGGACCCTGCTACAATTGTACATCCAGATAACCACAATGCTGAAGAAAGAGTCCAAACTATCAGGTGGCTTGCAACCACTTTGCATTAATTTGCAAACATGTGCTAATTTAATTCTGTTGGCATATGAGTTTTTTTTTTTTACAGAGGAATAAATAAGAAAATAACCACCAAAATCACCATTTTGTTAGGAAAAAAAATGTTGTATTAATCAGGCTGTGAATGATATATGAACAAAGCTCTCTGTAACCTTCAGACTATAGATACAACTGACAGGTTTGGTGAAGTGGAGTCTCAATGTATGAGGAAAAAAACTCATTTTGAGAAAATGGTCTTTAAAATTTGTATCATAAATTCCATTACAATTCCAGTAAGATAATTATTTTTTAAATATTTTCTGAAATGTTATGTTCAAGTATGCAAATGAGGCATTATGCTAACTTTCAGTGAATTTAGAAGAAAATCGACAGATGCAAATAGACAAAGTGTAGTAAAATAAACACCTAAATGTATATTTTGGGTGTTTTCTTACCATTAGTCTAAAAGAAGACATGTTACGGAAGCAAAATGTTTGAGGTGTCAGGTGTGCACTGACTGTTTAGGAGTCACAAGCTCAAGCGTTTCTACTTCTTACAATTCATGAAGTGATGGTTATTCAATAATACCTGTGTTATCTGTGTAATATACGAGTTGTTTTCTAATTAACAACAGAAATAGCCATACATATTTTCAACAACAAGGAGTGGACACACACCTGTGTGAACATGGGCTTTCCATTCTGGGTGACCATGGTGCACTGATCACAGTCAAGGGAGACAAAGTTATTGTGGAAGGACTCCTTAGGATGTTTCAGCACATAGTAGAGCTCAGTGGCACCCCCCTCAAATATACTCCGGAAGTACCTTGGAATCAACGTCCGGCCAATTGCTTCAGAAGAGAGAAAACATGAAGGGCGTGAGACAGAAAGAAATTAGCATGTTACAGGATGTAGTCCATTTGTGACAGCGAGACTTTGGATTAAATGGGCGGTATACGTATGAAACAGAGAGGCAAAATGTCCCAGTGACTTTGTTTCTTACTGTAACGTTTGGGTCCATCCTCCAGACAGAAAGTAATGGTCAACATGGCATCATCTTCAAAGAACTCTGTAGTAAATGCATCCCACCACAGATTATCGCATTCCTACAGGGTGTAGAGGGGGAAAATAATCAGTTACCGACACAAACATTGAATTGTTTTTGAGCATGACTGTGTGTGCCTACGAACCTCTGTCCAGTTCTGTAGCCGTTTGTTGAGTTCAAATATTCTGTAGTCTGTCTGGTTGCCATATGGTGTGTGCCTCCTGGTCCATCGTGGAAAGACAGTAAGATGAAAAATAAAAAAGCGGGACAGGGTGCGAGAACAGTTAGCTTGTGGTGAAAAACAATCATCCTGACCTCAGCAACGTTAAAGCTCTTACAGCTTCCACACATTTAGTGCTGTTTCACTACCTAGTTTAGCCTTGTCACAGACTAAATGCAAACTCTCTAATAAGAGAGAGATAAGAGCACAACTTGCCACAACTTTATCTTTACTTGTGTTATTATTGCCGTTTTCACACTAGCTGTAGATAACAGGAAATAATGCATTGTTACCCTATTCCTGGCTCCAGGTATGTGGGAGGATACATTGGGGTGGGACTGGAGAAACAAGAGACAGAGAGATTATTACATTCAGCTATAGTGCTAATATGCCCTCCTCCAGGAACTAGTCTGTCTTTGCGACCCTGGGACGCAAGCCAAACATGGCACAAATTGGATGACACAAGGAGACAGTAAATAACACACTTGTCAGATACACACACACACACCAACTGCAGCTGATTTGTTTAATGCAATAAGACAAGCTGTGAGGCACAGCTCACGATCCTGCAGAGGTATACTCTAACCTTACCGACGCTGGCGTTTCTTTAAAAAGAGAAATAAGCTATGCAGCTTCTGAAACTTAATGTACATCTTGAACTAAACATCTTGAGTATAGTAGAAGTTTGTGAACCTCCTGAATATAACCATTTACAGAGTCACAATACAATGGTGCTTGTTCATCATCTAAACTACTTTCTACAGTTTGCTGATTGGTCAGACTTCCATCTGCCAAGCTGAATTGATTACCAGTGGATGTTTTCCAAACTAAAACTCTTGATATTCAGGCTGGATTTACAAGGCCATATAAACATGGTATGCAATAATACAAACACCTGTTCAAGCTAGAATGGTGAACACCAAAACATACAGAAAACACAGACATAAAACTCACCCCACGTCTCTGTCCAGCATGGTGCCGGGGTGGAAAGGGGGAAAAGTGCTGCCGTTGGGGGGCTCCTTAGGGGAGTACAGCTTGAATGACTTGGAGGAACAGCCTGGAAGAGAGGTGAGGAAAAAACAATAAAGGTTTGATTTTTTTATTATAGGTTCAGAAGTTACCTTAAGCAACTTCATGACATAAGAAAATCCTGATTGGTGTGACTGCTAAACCAGATAAGACATGACTAATGTGTATAATTTGGTAATAACTGCCGTTTAATTTATTAATCCACACATGTATTGACACTGCATAACACACTTTGCATGGTGGCCCCGAAAAAGCCCAAAATAGAAAGGACATAGGCCTAAAAGAGAGAAGATTTGAGAATTACAGTGTTAACACTAGTCTTTTACTTTTGGAGTGACACCTGACTGTATCATGTGAGGTGAAGGCACATGCAGCCTGAACTGGCCAGTAAAGCCCTGTTTCATTTGGCTGCAGTCAATCACAGGTCATCCCCCAATATACTGTAAACAATGCGCTCATGGTACACCCCTAAAGAAAATACTGCCTTCCATCTACAATTACCAAACACAAACAGACCAATACTGTCTCAGCTCAAACCCTTGTTCTAGTCTAATTGCCCAGCTCTGCTATAAAGGCCATCCAGGCGTGGCGGCCTCTAGGTCACGACCCCTGCCATCACCATGGTGAAGCCCCGCCTTCTTAATGTCTCTGTCCTGTCTGTGCATATTAAACATATCTCTGACACTGTGTGTGTGTGTGCGTGTGTGTTTTGTGTGTGTGCAGGACAGAATGATATACATCATAATACATCTAGAGGGACGGACAGGAAAAAAAGCCTTAATTGGATTAGTAGGATGTTTAAAGGGAAATTTTGGTTTGAGAACACAACAGTGATGCAAAATATACTTTTCTAGTATACGATAAGACAATTTAGAGTAAAATAGCCTCTCCGCTGTTAGAAGACGTTTAAAAAAAAAAAAAAGGAGACTTTACAATATAATGGATAAAAAATGTCTTGCTGTAATTTGGTTGAAGACTTTACAGTAAAATAAACCTGCCGATGTCACATAAGAGACAGACGGACACATGGACCTTAGGGGCCACACGAACATACATCAGAATGGTGTTCTTAAAATCCCTCATCTATGTTCATGTCCATTTAAAATGAATCCTCTTGTGAATAATGGCAGCTTATCTCTTAGAACACATCTCTTACGGTTTATATTCTACTGTATGTAAACAGCAGCCACATAGTCTATCATAGCTCTTATAGACCATAGGTGAACAGATAATGCATTTACAAAAAAGTTTGTTATGAGGAGTACAGATGTTCAAAACAAGATTTGAATCTTCTACATGGAAGAAAAAGCCACACAACCTCAAATGCATTTGAAACCCTGCCTTCACTTTGTGTAAAAACCAAGTTGTTTACTGTGTGCGTCAGCACCGCTATGCTATGGGCTGAATGCACCACCAGAGGAAAACAAATGGGGTTGATAAATAAATAAATAATCGATGGTTATGTGTCCATTAGTTGTTGAGAGCTCCATTAGCTCCTCTCCTCTCCTGTTAGCGGTTAATGACGGGCAGTCACAATCACATCAGCTGGACTCCACTTCCTCCACGGGGAATCATGTTGCCCTCTCTCTTATAAGTAGTACATATATAATATACATTATAAATGCACATCTTCCTGGCCTGAGTGATGGTCGGCCAACCTTCAGAGCAAAGCGTACCTCAAATGTTGAGGGACATGGGTGTCAAAAACATCTTAACACGTGATTTCACGTGAACCTGAGACACAAAAACCCACCCAGCATTACCAGGTCTCCTCTAAATAAGAATATCCTGTGGACTCCTGCCACCATGATTACTAGTGGGGACAAGAAGTCCATCCAAACGGAATATTGGCTATAGCTAATGTTAGGTTACACTAACTGCTACTTTAGCAAACTTTTTACAAAAACCGACATGATTCTTCAGTTTTTAATTAAGTCGCACTGAAATGCCCTTTTCTCCATCTATGCGGTTCATTCCTCTAACAGTCAAAGCACATATGACATGGAGTTGTCTGCTTACAAAGGCAATTAGAAAGGCTGCAAGCGCATAATGCTAACACCTAGCTGTTAGCCAGGCTAAAATGTAAAACACAGGTGATTTCGGGACGCGAGAGATCCTCACTACATAACGCCAACCAACACTCATTTTATCAAACAAGACAGCCGTGTAAACATAGACTAAACCCAACCAATAACCTCGACATCTTCAACCACCCAAACGTTGCCTGTCCACAACACTGCTCTGTAGGCCTGCAGGGCAAGCTAACGTTAGCAAGCCAGATAACTGTTAGTAACCAGTTAGCTGGTGTTAGCCGTCCTGCTAACGCCTCAGCGTTAAATCCCCTTTCAACGAGAAATCACCGACATAAGACGCCAAATTACAACCGCGCCAGCTCGTAAACCACATTTAATCACCACAGCAGATATACATTGCAGTCCGAGTGTGTGTTTGGGAAAAGCGACCCCTTTACCTGCAAAGAAGTCCAATCAGAAAATTGATGTTTACAGATCCGTGGTGATAGACCGTGTGTACGCTCCGTGCGTAAAGACGGATAGGCCCGCTGGACGCAACGTACCAACACAATACGTCCCTGTGAAGAGGATCAATGAAAGAATCTACTCAAACCGCGAGACTGAAACAGAATAAGGCCTTAATTGCGGGAGTCGGTCGGTTATGTTTTGTCCCGCATGAGGCCTTGTCAATGGGCTGAAGCCTGCTGTGGGTTTACATACGGACCCAGATGAGCCCTTTGTTCACGGGAGGACATGAACAATAGCTGTAGGCCCTCCTCCTCCTCCTCCTCCTCCTCTCCCTCCGCAATGCATTTTCTCCTCTCTCCTCTGCCCTGCACCGCCAGCCGCCCTCTCCCCCCTTCCCCTTCCCCTTCTCCTTCTCCTCCTCATCCTCCTCCTCCTCCCTCCACTAATGCACAACTGCACATGAAGGTTGTCTGGTAAGCATTTTTTTCTCCTTCATTCCTCCTCCCTACATCCTATCCTTACTCGTAACTGACACAGATGAGAATTGTCCTAATGCAGCCCAGTGGAAGTGTGTGTGGAAATAAAGAACACACTGACTGCAAAGTGGTTTTCATGTTTGCCTAATTAATGGACATCAGCTTGCTGTAAACAACTGAACTGAGACAGAGACAGCCAAGACCATCGACATATGCATGACACACTGTGGGCCCATACAGTGGGATGCATGGGTAATGCAGCAGCCTGATTAGTCAAACGTAGATTGAGATGTTATTAATTAACTTTCATGTAATTATAATAATCTTGGGTTGTTTACAGTAAATTGTGTCTTTGAGTTTGCACACTTAAATGTCTCCAAGGTAGGCTTGTAAATCCTTTACCATTGGGAATCTCTCTCTCTCTCTCTCTCTCTCTCTCTCTCTCTCTCTCTGCATAAACACACAGGAAGCACTAAGCCAAAAGGAGAATCCCATAGGCCCTCTAAATCTGCTTAAATCGCCTCAAATTATAATCAGATATTCAGATCACAGCCAGCAAGGACTCACCCTTATGGGCAAAGTTGGGATATAAAAAGAACAAGCAGTTAGGTCAGTAGTTTTTCATACATTTATGCAAGTGGATGTCATAATATTTGCTCATTTGATATACAGTATTCATCCCTAAAGGAAGAAACGACTAGGACTCCTAACATGTCTGACAAGTGATTCCATATCAAGGTTGAAAAATGGTATCCTTTCAAACACTAAAGTGCTTTCCCCTGCCTCGATTATTTAAGGACGCTGCAACCACCAGCATGAGCATGGTTCTGATTTATTCACTACCCGTGTACACAGGGAGTGAAAACACAATGTTTCATAAATGATTTATTCGCAAATTAAGCTGCTCTTGGGAGCCGCTCTGTGGAAACAGCTAACAGGCTTTCACAGAGGCTGCTGTACATTTGAACACCGGTAGGTAATATTATTATAACATAATCTGACATTATTTTGGTTCAAGTAGAATTAATTGAACAATTTATAATTATGTGAACCTTAGATAAAGTCTTATTCTGTTTATAATAAATGTGTAATCCACAGTGAACCGTAGCCTGGAACAACTTTTTAAAATGTTTTTGACAGATGAGCAGTGGTCAGATTAATGTAAGTTTGTAGAACCAGTTTCCCTCCAGGGTGCATTTCAAGCATCAGTTCCACAACGTTTTACAGCTGACGAATTTCTATATTGTGAGCACGTGAACCTGGGATTTTTTCGTATACCTTATTCCAAACTTGCATGTTTTTGCCTTAAAGTAAAGAAAAAAGCTAAAAGAAGTTACATTCATAGTAATATGAAAAAATGAACATACTAATAATCTAAAGATATTACCAAAATTAATACAATAATAATAAGTCATTAATTAAAGCAAACACTTCATCTGTATTAAAGTAAGTGTGATAAATTGAATGACCAACTCACTGATTTGATTTATCATTAATGTAATTATTTAAATCAGTTAAACATCCATTCCACCCCTATTATGTCACTCCTATATCCGCCAGTCCATTGATGTACTCCTCTACTGTTTAATTGTGGCCCTCATAATCAAACCATTTTCTCCATCTCCTCCGCTATTCAGACATTTATGAGACGGTGAAGTCAGGTACAATGATCTTTTGTTGTATGTTTGTTTAATTTTTTGTTTGTGTCTGTTCAACTGTACTTTTCTGCTGTCTCGTAGCAGAAGTCGTCACTTCATTCGGACATATTTGCAGATCTTTGAGGTCTGGATGCGTAAACTTGGAACATAACTCATAACTCCCTTTACATCTGCAAAATGGAGACGGCAGCTCAAATGCGGACTTCTTTGCAGAGTCCCAAGTTGGGAGAAATGTAGAGCATGGTGAAGCGCAGTGTCTCTCATGTAGAGAGGATGAGCCGCTCTAAGGCCTGTCTCTCGCCCGACCAGCAACAAAGATGCTTGGGCTAAGTTTGTGCATGTTGTTTGACCATGGTAAGCTTGTGACATGATCACTTCACAGCTCACGAGGCTCCTGTCAGTCTTTTGGCAGCATCTTTGTGTGTCTAGTACCAGGGGGAGGTGTAGTCAGTAGTAGCTTAGAGTGTCTGTTGTGGGTGACTTATGTGGATTTGCCTATCTTACATTCGCTGGCCCCTGTAGCCATGGCAACACAAGCAGTCAATGCTGTCACAACCGGAGCGAGGCAAAGAATCATCCATGGAAATGGACACACAAGGGTTAATCCTGTGTGTGTGTGTGTGTGTGTGTGTGTGTGTGTGTGTCTCTCCAGAGCTCGCCCATTGAAATGGTACATGACGGGGTTAATCCCCACTGCATGTGGCTGTGTGTGTGTGTGTGTGTGTGTGTGTGTGTGTGTGTGTGTGTGTGTGTGTGTGTGTGTGGTGGGGTGATGGAGAAGAGGTGGGGGTGGGAGGTGTGTCAGGATAAAGCTTGAAGGGCTTACACACACCGTTTCTTTCGCTCTCAGGCATAGGGCACGCCTTATCTTCAACCAGCACCCCAGCCAGTGAAACACACACACACACAAACACACGCACACGCTGCTGCCTAACCTTCACTTCACCAGCTAGCCTCATTTTCCAACTTGCAGCCACACATTCACACCTAAAGCCATAAATCCATGTACAATAAGTGATTAAAGCTGGTGCGTACGGTGGCTGAATAAACTCCCTAAAGTGCACAGTGTGATTTCACTAGGCTTACACTTAAACCTACAAGTGCAACTTGTTTAATTTACCTTTTTATCAAAGTCAGAAAAAGAGGGAAAGGACCCAAACTTGCATTTCTCTGCACATCAACAAACCAAGAGATACATCAAGAAAAATGGTGATGATTGTCTTTTTGAGCTGTTTAGTTTTCTTTGACCTCGGGGCGTTTGGTTGCTGAATCAGCTGTGAGAAAGACAACAAGCAAAAGATCAGAATAAGAAAGACTTACCTCCTTCCGTTTCTAGCTGTTCTAACATCGCCATTTTGTCACCCACACATGCACTTTCACAACGATATACTGATCTAAGTCAAAGACTCTGTTTTCATGCCTCTCCCTTTCACTGATATCTCCCATGTCCAGACTGTCAGGCTCAGGGGCACTAGGAGAGGGGGAGAAGTGTGTGTGTGTGTGTGTGTGTGTGTGCGTGTGTGTGTGTGTGTGTGTGCGCGCCTACATATGTGCAAATGTGTGCAGCGTGCCACTTCCACTCACTAGTCAACAGGAAAGCGAGCAGCGCACACATCTGCCAGAGTTCTGATAACGACTGTCCCAGTCGCCTTCCCTTGAGCATGCAGAGACAGCCTGATCTGGGGACAGTCTCATGTTGGTGTGAGTGTAGGAACAGCCCTGACCAAACTGATCCCAGCATAAAGACGAGAGCTTCCTTTTAATGAGATTGACATCAGTTAATTGTTGTTTTTTCCGTTTTTTCCCCACCAAACAGGAATAAAAACACAACCACTCCTGTTATCATATTGCATTCACTACATTACTTTCCCCAAGTTTAATGCCAAAGCTACTGTTAATGGCATTTTAACTCTCCATAGCAATAAAGTCAGAAATACTGTAAACACATCAATAGACAGTCCCATTCCTTTATATTGAAGCTAGATGTCTGTCTCTGTCTGCCAGATTTGCTACATTTGGCAGCTCGGGCTTCTTTACTCTCTTATTGGATCAGATGGAGAGACAGAGACCTATCTCTCTGATTCAACTCTGATAAAAGATCCAAAGGACAAGCTGCCAGGTTTTGGAAGAATGAGCACTAACAGAGAACATTGGCCAGTTTCAAATCAAATAGCCTGTGAGTCAGTGACGCTTCTCTGCACTAGTACTTGCTTTACTTTACTTGAGTTATTCCATTTTATACTACTTTATAATAAATAAAACAATTGCCTATTTAAAGTAATTAAGACAATGTTCACCTCAGCCAACTACAACATAATTTGTTGGCCCTACAAAGCCAAACTGCAGTAATTACATATTTAGTCAGTATATCAAGACCAGATCTGATTGTTGACATTTGTTTCAACACATAAATTATTTTAAGGCATAGAAATCTATAATTTTGAATCTCAAAACCAAACAAACATCTAAAGCAAGAGAGCCAAATCCAGTTCAACTTAGCTAGTGAGATAGCCACAGCTATATATGAAACGTCTTGTAGTAGGAAGGAAGTAGCTAAATCCAGTCATGGAGAATAAAAACAGCTAAGGTGCACCCCAGGAGCCTGATATTATATGTCAAGGCAGAGTCCTTACAGGTGGAGTCCTTTGCTGCATGTCATCCCCTCACTCGGCTGCCTTTCCTGTCTCTCTCTACTGTCACTATCCAAATAAAAATGCAGAAATGCCACAAAATAAAGCTACTAAAAGGTAACTAGCCTAGCTTATCAGAATAGTAGTAACTGTCAAGAAGAATTACATTAAATGAAGGCATTACAGTCGGTCCATCTGCTGCACAGTTTGTTTCAGTCAGCCTGAGAACTTCAAACCCCTTTTCTGTAGTTACTGCTCTGTGTTTGTAAGGCAATATTGTGAGATGATGTAAATTTGTCTGTCTTTGGAAATTTTTGCCGTACTGTTTATACCTAGGTATCTCTCGTGTTATTATCTCTAGGTGTATTAGGCTGTTGAAGACAATATGGCAAATGAACGAGTGGGTCTTCAGACTTCCTCAACGAGGTATGTAGACCTGGTTACAAATAAAAAAAAAAAAAACTAAAGGAAGAGAAATAAACAAACAAACTTAGCAAGATTGGTTAACTCTTATGTTAATAGTATTGAATATATTTTCATATGGATTTATCTATTGTTTAACTAATCTCTCATATTCAAAACCAGAACAAAGTAATATACAGTACTGTGCAAAAGATGTGGGAAAAATGTTTTAAAGTAAGAATGCTTTCAAAAATAGACATGTTGATGTGTATCAATTAACAAAAAAGTGAGTGAACAGAAGAAAAATCTAAATCCAGTCAAAATTTGGTGTGACCACCCTTTGCCTTTAAAACACTTCTAGGTACACTTGCATAAAATCAGGGATTTTGTAGGCATATTGTCAGGTGTTTGATTAAACAATTATACCAAACAAGTGCAACTGATCACCATTCAATATGTAGGTTGAAACACAATCAATAACTGAAGCAGAAACAGCTGTGTGGGAGGAATACAACTGGGTGAGGAACAGCCAAACTCAGCCAACAAGGTGAGGCTGCTGAAGACTGTTTACTGTCAAAAGTCATACGCCACGGCAAGACTGAGCACAGCAATAAGACACAAGGTAGTTATACTGCATCAGCAAGGTCTCTCCCAGGGAGAATTTCCAAAGCAGACAGGGGTTTCCAGATGTGCTGTCCAAGCTCTTTTGAAGAATCACAAAGAAACAGGCAACGTTGAGGACTATACAGTAGATGCAGTGGTCAGCCAAAGAAACTTACTGCAGCAGATGAAAGACACATGCCACATACCATCTGCCATCAGCTCAGAACTGCAGAAAACAGTGAGACCTTGGTACATCTATCTGTTATGAGTTAAGGATTCTGGTCTTGTTTTGGTTCCATGTCTGGTGTTCTACTGTTTTGCCCATGTTTGCTCTTTGTTTTGTTGATCCTGTTTAAGTCTGTTTTTGGTTGTTCTGGATCAGTTATTTATATTATTCTGTTTCTTCCTGGTTATTATGTTTTCTTATGGCGTTATTTGTGTCTGTCTGTTTTCCCCTGCTGTCTCTCTGCCTGCCTGTGTCTCATTAGTCCTGATCCCCCTCACCTGTGTTGCTCCCGCCCCGCTTGTTAGTCCCTGTGTATATATGCCTGCTGGTGTCTTCAGTCTTGGTCACGTCCTTGTTGTCTGTGTTGAGTGGTCTGCCTTGTGCTCTGTTTTCCCTGTTCTCTGGAATATTCTCTGGTTTTTGGATTGCCTTGTGTTTGTTGGATTTACCTCAGTTTGGACTTACCCTTGTGCTTCCATGTAAGCTTGTTTGAGTTTGTTTTTTTTGAGTTAATAAATCCTTTTGAACTGCAACCTCGCCTTTTGGTCTGCATTTGGGTCCACACCTCAGCCTTCACTCAGCCAACCCATGACACTATTTACTGTCTGGAGAAGTCTGGTCAGAAGTTGCTGTTGTGGAAGATTTGCAGCCCAAAAGCCATAACTCCGACTTGGAAACAAGGCCACGTAACTCAACTATGCAGAGAAACACAGGAACTGGGCTGCAGAGAAATGGCAGCAGGTGCTGATGAGTCAAAATGTGAAATATTTGGCTGCAGCAGAAGGCAGGTTGTTTGCCGAAGGGCTAGAGAGTGGTACAAGAAGTGTCTACAGCCAACAGTGAAGCATGGGGTCCTTGCAAGTTTGGGGCTGCCTTTCTGTAAACGTAGTTGGGGATTTGGTCAAAATGAAGTCTTCTCAATGCTGAGAAGAACAGGCAGATACTTATCCATCATGCAGTACCATCTGGGTGGCGTCTGATTGTCCACACATTTATTCAGCAGCATGGCAACGACCCCAAATGTACAGCGAAAGTTTTTATGGGCACCTCTCAACCCAAACATCATTACGCATAATTTAATCAAACTTTTTTATGAAGCAGGTTGGTCCATGTGGTTATTTCATTCATCATTGTTTTCTCCTACCTCAATGAAGAAATTAAGTATTTTGATATTGCTGGATTGCTACTTTTAGCAAGGATCAGAATAACTCCTCCACCACTGCTTATATCAGGAAATTATTGACACAGCTCCTTTGCAAGAGCAAATAAAAGCTAAACAACTTCACATAAAAGAACAATATTCAAAGCTGTTATGCAAATATGCTTCATAAGTAAAACTATGCAAATGATGCTGTTATTCTGCACAAAGCAATCATACTCCATTTGATTTACTGTCGGAACTTCACCATGCATCATTACAAGGGGAAGAAATTACAACTGACCTACAATCAGCTGTTGTCCTTTGATAGCAGTGCCCTCTTGTGGCCGCAGTGAGCCATTGTGTTTGTTTTCATACTGCCCTACAGTATTTTCTCACACCCTGGGTGAATTCCCTAGTCAGGATTTTCTCTGGCAGGCAAACGCAGACTGCAACAAGGGAACTTCAGCAACAAGGCAAGTGTGTCACATGTTAGTACAGGCCAATGGGTGAAGGGATTAAATCAGAAAAAAGGGTTCTGGGTTGTGAGCCAGTTTGTCATTAATAAATAGGATCTGTCTTTCATAAAAAAACATGTTATGTTGTGTTGGCAACTTAATGATCAGCATTATTAGCCATCATCCCCATCCCCCCCCCCATTCCACACACACACACACACTGGCATTTTGCAGGTGGCTGTGTGTGTGTGTGTGTGTGTGTGTGGCAGCGGTTGGTGTCAGCTGACAGCTGTGTGAGGGGAGATGACAGTGCCCTGATGCTGCGTGCTCTGTTCTCTGGGAGCCATTTTGTCTGTCTCTGATCTCAGAGTCAGGTCTGCTCCCCCCCCCTCAGCCAATCACGTCACCGCTCAGCCTTGCAGAAAACATAGAAACACAGTCTGATCTCTCTCTCTCACTCTGTCTCCCCTCCTGCACTCCTACAGTGCTCATCTCCCACTTGCCTCTCTCTCTTTTCTTGGCTCTTCTGCTTTCTGCCTCCCCCGCCCCCCTCCGTCACCTCTCGCCTCTCCTGTTTTCTCTTTCTTGCCACCCTCCCTGCTCCTCCTGCTCTTCCTCTCTCTTAATCCACATCTCTCCTCAGTATCTGCTCACTCCCTCTCTCTTCCCCTCCGTCACACCCTCCTCCTCCTCTTCAGGCTCTCTTGTTGTGCAACCCGTTTCTAAACAGCTCAGCCTTTGTGCGTTTTTGTCTGTTGCCATTTCAGCCAGGCTGCAGTCTTTACTCATTTTCCTCCAATCAGGGACACCATGTGACTCTCTGCATGAGAGGGCACAGTCCCTTCCCCCTTCTCTCCTCCCTCTCTCATTCTCTCTCTCCCCTTCTCCCTTCCCTCCCTCCTCACCCCCCTCCCCTTCCCTCATCTAGCCAGCCAGCCAGGCAACATACGCTAGCAATCAGGGGAGTCAAAGAGAAAGAGGGAGTGAGGGGAGGCGAGGGGGAAGGGAGAA